CGGGGGTCAAAAAGCTCAATAAATCGTGTGCCGGCGGGTGTCGCACATTGGCGGTTGTGACACATATTTTGAGCGACAGGGAGCCGCAGCAGAGGGATGAAAGAGCCACATGTGGCTCCGGAGCAGCATGTTGCCAACTCCTGCTCTAAACAAACATTTGTTTCAAATGACTCAAACTACCTGAATCCTGGGTTGTTGTGAGGTTATTTGTACAGCTCAGTCTGGGATCAAACTGCAGCGCCGGAAGGCCATCTAGCTCCACACTGCGTCCAGGCAGGACCATCCAGGCTGTCGTGTGTCACAAACTAGTTGAAGAACAGAACGGGTAACTTCCATGATGGTGCCGCCAAAGCGAATCACTCCGGATGACAAATAGGCAAGGCCAGTTACAGGTCTCTCCCTAGCTTGCAGAATGACACAGGCCTGACATACTCATGGTTCACTCTCACCCTCTCTCCCACACACCTCCCACTGGGTTTCCGTGCTTTCACAGCTCCACAGTAAGCAGAAATTCAGGTGAGCAGCTGCTCGTGAGTTCCTGCAAGCCATGGGCAAGTTGAAGAGAACGGGCCTGGTTGGGAGCACGGTGCAGACACAGCCAGCTCTGGAGCTAGATATTAATAGATGCTGCTGGCTGCCCAAGCTCAGCTGCTGGACTTTGCCAGTGGTGGAGGAGATCAAGGAGAAGGGGAATTGCTCAGGACCACAAGGCATCTCGTGGCACGGTAAAGATTTAGCGTGGCATTGGCTTTCATTCTGTTTATTGGATTGTGCAGCAAATGAGGGCGTCCTCTGCTGGGCTGTTTCCTGTCCACCTATTTCCTCACTTTCTAACTTTTGCAGATAGCTAATTCCTAGTCACCTTTGGGAGTAGTTTCTAACTGGGCCCACCAACTCTGCTCAGCGCGAGGCACCTTTCTTCTTCCACGCATCCCATTTGGACCACTGATGTCAGGGCTAATTCAGCCTTTCTGATTGCTGTGCTGAGCAGGACCCACGGCCGGGCGGATGGGCGGGGGGATGGTCACCTCTAAGGGAGTGACAAGGCCCCGTTCCATATTAATACTCGCACTTGCGCGATCCATCACGTATTGATTTTTAATGCACGGTGAGAAACAATTTGCTCTTAGGAGTGGCAGAGGCATGGGAAAGCGAGATGCAGATGGGGTTCTGCATCCTGCTCAGGGAGGGCAGAGCGAAGGCTAGACAAATGACCTGCGGGGTTGGTGACGCCCCTCTGGGCTTTTGTGGGCCATCCATCCACCCGGCTGACAGAGCCTGATTCTGTTTGCCCTTGTCCTTCATGACTTCAGGCCAGGGAGTTCTGAGGAAGAAGCAAGGAAGAGCTTCTTCAGGTGCTTAGTGGCTGCATCTTGTTGGCTACTTGCCAGATCCCCTGGACTAAGATGGTGGCTCAGGAGCTTCAGTTGAGCTTGACCTTGCTATGAAGTCATTTGAGGGAGGGACGGGGAGAGATTTCCTGCTTTGTTTCCACCTCTGTATGCTGTTTAAACAGTGCTTATGGGAGAGATGATATTCTTGGATGCGCAGTGAGGCTGCCGTTGTTGCTCAACAGATTCTTAAGCCTGTTTCCTCAGAGAAAGCAGTTTGGTAGTCCCTGTAGCCTGCTTCTCCTTGGAGTGATCCATGAACAAGGGTTGTTGTTTTATTTTGTTAGGAAACAGACTATTTCTTGACTTCCGTTTACCTTTCACACCTTTCACATTTTATAAATTAAGGATTCTACGTACACACATACCTGTAAGTCCAATAAACTGAATGGGTCTTATGAGTAGATATACATGGGACAGCTTTCACAGTCATTTCATGCCTGCTAAATCAATGCAAGTCCACCACGTTCCATCCATCTAACTTTCACATGCTAACACCCATTGGTGTCAGACCTGTTATTTTAGGTTTGCCCCTTTCATGTGCTAGCCTCAGAGCTACAAACTTTCAGGTAGCAAAAGGTCCCACTTTGCTAAAACAAAGACCCTAACCTTGAGAAGAAATTCCGGGAAAGGAAGAATCTACTGAGGCCCACAATCTCTGACGCCAACTTTATTTGAAGCTAGAGCGAAGTCAAAAAAATGTGTTTACTGCCCAGACAACGCAGTAACTCACATTCAAGGGTTGATAATGGCTGTTGTTGAACTATAGGTTGTTGAAATATGGGTTGCTGCACTGTCGGAATCCAAAAACACTAACAAACCATGGAATAATCCGCAACAAAGCATGGGTTCTCCTTATGGGTTATTTGTGGTTAACAAGCTGTCATTTTTTTAGTGTGGCTCTAATGAAGGCAGGGAGCAGCAGTGAGGAGGCGCAGGCCCAGGGTGTTCATCCGCGGACTTCTGCTGCGCTTTGGGTCAGCAGGTTTCCAGCCATGCCTACCCTCGATGCCAACCCTGTGGCAGTCTCAACACTGCCGGCTTCCAAAGCTGGTCCTACACGTTGGCACAGGAAGCTAAAGTCTCCAGCTGAAGTGTACTCTAATTCCTTATGTTTCAGCCCAGTAATTCAGCCCAGTGATCAAATATCAGATTAAAGCTTGTTTCTTACATTTATCACAGCCCCCATAGCTTATTTAAGCCGGGGCAGGATCTGACAGAGAGAGCAGCCGCTGTGAATATTCAGGCCATGCTGGGTTGGCACATGGTTGATCATGAAGTGTGAACCAGGGGAGGTGTCTTTGTTGCTGTGGCTAACAAATCATCCACACTCCATGGGCTCCTTTGGTTGATTAACCACAGCAACAACCCACCCTGCACTGAATTTGCATGTCAGGACAGACTTCCCGCTGTGGCTTGAATTGTCACAACGGCCATTAGCATGCTCCACAATAAGCCAGGCTGGGCTGCAGTGGCAGTGCAAACGGGCATATGTGAGGCTAGATCATCTGTATGTTCCAGGAGAATGTTAGGTTACCAGAGTACCTTAAAGCACCACTTGTTTCACATGCCACTATTTCAACACTGCAAGTTGGGGATGGTATTTTGTGTATCAGATGTGCATATACTGCATTATCTGGATGGTTTTTGTGGAAATTGTGAAAAAGCTGCATCAGGCAGAAGGGTGTGTACTGCTCGGTATGGTGCTGTGAAGGCTTATCTTTTCACCAATGTGGCTACTTAGCCACTGGCTGTGACTTCCCTTATCATGCCTGCCTCATTAGAAGCTGTTGGCGCCACCTTGTGGCCAAAATCGAAATTTTGAAGCCATGTTGATGCCCCACAAAGCCCAGATGGGTATTGCCAAGGGAAGCCTTTCTGGGCCTGGACTTGCCCACTACCTGGAAAACACCCAAACCTAAGTCAGGCCTAGCCTGAACCTTGGCAGTGCTTTGGTGCCTGCAACAACATTGTTTGAATGTTGACATTTGTCTGGATCAGGTTTAATGGACAGAGGATCAGAAAGGTGGCAATTCGAAGCAGCTGGATAATGCAGCACAGCTGTTTTCTAATTTGGAAGTCCAGCTGAATAAACTCAATCTGCCCGAGAGAGACAAAATCCTAAATATCATGACAAAAACCTTCCACAAGTTCTACACCAAGGGTAGGCTCTCTTCCTGCCACTGTACTTCTTGCTGCCAAGCATGCCACCACACCAACTTTTAAAAAATTAACCTGTGACATAGTTTTCTCCAGGTGCCAAGCACTAAGGGCTCAAGGGATTTTAGTGTGTTGGGGGCTCAAGCCTCCCCTCTGCCTTGCCCTCAAGACTTTGGGGCAGTTGACTCACCCTTTGCCTTCCTTCCCATGGCAAACATTTTATGCTGGTGCCACGGAGTTGCTCAAATTACCAGAAATGCCCATGGTCCAGAAGGGTGGCCTACCTTTGTTCTACATAGTGAATCTGGGAGCTGAGCAGCTAATGCTCCTCATTACTAGCTGTAGTTACCAGTTAGCAACCTGAAGATCTTTCTTCTTGCATTGTTCCACCACTGGTCCTTTTGCCCGTCTTCCATCTCCATCTCCAGCAGGTGAAACAGAGCCACTGAAGGGACTGCAGGATGGGGAAGAAGCACACAGTGCCTGCTTACCTTTCTCATGGCCTCAACAGAATTGGAATGGACAGACAGGATACCAGATATGGTAAGAAGTCCCTGAGATGGGATGACCCAATGCAAAAAAATGGGAATTCAAGCCCCAACACATCTGGAAGGCAGCCAGTTGGGAAAGGTTCGGCTGGCTCATTTGCCTACCCAGCCCTAATTACTACAAGAATGTGACCCACTGATGAAGACCACTTGACATGTAGAAAAGCAGAAGCCAAGGCACAGCATCTCTTTCAACCTGAAGTCTTCGGAGGCATTTTGGGGGCCACAACCTCACGGTGCATGGGGCGGAAGAGAGCCAGGTCCAAGTATCAAAGCACACAAGGATGGCTTAGCTTAAAGCTCTTCCTGCCAGCAACTGTGCTTTAGGAAAGGTCTTCAACCTTTCAGAAGGCAGGAGGTGGCATGCATGAGGAGGAGGATGGGAAACCACCAGCTGATCGGAGACGGGAGAAGGGCAGTGAGGCCAAGGGAAGAGGTGTGGTCATCTGAGGAATCTCAGAGAGCTGGACTGGGAGCCTGGAGGGCCAGACCTGGCCCCTGGGCTGGAGATTCAACACCCCTGATTGGGAGGTAGAGTATTAGCTCATTGCAGCGGGAAAAGGCAGTTGCTGGTTCAAGCCAGGCCCAGCTCTGTTCACCAAGCCCGTATCTGCACCGGCCAAGCACACTTGGCTCCTTGGCTTGAGCATCACTGCCGTTGTGAGTCACAGCTCCCCTTGCCCCAGATTAAGGAAGAAGCAACTTAAATAAATTCTGTTAGTTTTTAAAAATTTTATTTATAACAATATCTTTTTTTAGTTTTTTTGTTTTGTTTTGTTTTTAGTTGTAAAGTAATCCGGCAAAAATTATTAAAACATTTGGCTCCCCGCTCCCACAAAAAAAAAGGCTGAGGAGACCTCCTTTCCCTCCCCCCACATGCATGTAATTTCTACTATAAAAGCTAGTTCATCTTGTTTATTTGTTTTTGATCTGTTTTCATCTTTTAAAAAAGCATGTTGGAGAGAAACGAAAGTTGAAACAACATTGAACCTCTTTCCAAAAAAGCATGACAAATTGTAGTCATGGAGAGAGGAGGGATAGGATCAGAAAAGGGGGCAGAGATGGGATGACTGCTGTTACTTAAAACTTGTAAACTCTGTTTAGTCTGAGATGCAGGTGCTAAAATAAAGTGAGATACAGTCAACGTAATAACGTCCCCACCCCTTACACCCCCCCGAAAAAGAATAAAGATTCCCAGAAATAAAATACTTTCAGAAATATGGTTAGTGTGAAGGGACAGGGTCAGGGAAGGGTGTGTGGGTGGGTGGTGGGGTAGATTAGACTCTTATTGGTGGAAAAAATAGTTAAGGCGTTGCAAAGAGAAGATGTGGCTGGCTAGATGCAGTGAAAGAAAAGGTGCTTATTGGCAAGACATGCTGAAGGCTGCTGGAAGAAGGTGGTTTGCACTCAACGGGATGTGGACAGGACATCTACACCAGTGGTTCTTAAACTGTGCCCCACAGATCAGGCACACATGTGGCCTTCACATGGCCCATGACGCCATGAGGAGCAGAAGAGAGGAAAGCACCCCTTGAGCGGCCAGCAGGGCAGAGGCCCATGAAATGTCCCCCGTGACTCCTGCACTCCTCCTGGACTGCACACTGAAGAGGAGGAGGGAGCATGGGAGGCGTGGGAAGCAACTGCCCTGCCTGGGCCTACTGCCAGCCTCTGGGGAGCCTGCTGCTTAAGACATCATCTTTCGGCAGGCCTCTGTGCTAGAGCTCCCACAAACCCTGAAGACAACTTGGAGGGTTCCTTAGGCAAAGCAGCTGAGGGATTTCAAAGGCATGTAAGTAACTTGAATGAAAATGCCCATGGAGGTTTCAAACACATCCAAAGGTTACCCGGTGTAAAGTCTGAAGTGAACTGGGGGCAGTGGGTGCGGGGAGATCCCTTTTCAGCTAAAGATCTGAGCAATTCTGAAGGAAGCCGAAGGGTTTTGATAAGATGTGTGACATTTCTTTGGGGGTGGTTGGGCAGCAATTGAACATCCCCAGTAAAGATCTTTCTCTCCATCCTCAGAGTGTAACTTTCCAGGTTGGGGCTATAATGGAAGAAATGATGGGGTTCTGCAAAGAACAAGTCAAACTAGGGCCCCCCAATGCATTGACATTTAAGAATCACTGGTGTATGGAGCAGGATGCCATTAGTTTTCCTAGATCTGCATTAAGATCTTGTCCAGCTACTATTATAGTGTGGTCCACATCATCAAACCAGCATCTTTTCCCCCCTGTGCTTGAGAAGAAACTGAATTTCTCTCGTGTACTTGGATCCAATCCCCACAATCCCCCCTCCATCATCGCCTCCATTGACTTCTCCTCACATTTACAGCAGGAGGGGGCCTTCCCCAAGCAGCTCTCCCATTTGTTCATCAGCGGCACCCAAGAAGGGTGTGAAATTTATTCCAAGTTTTTAAAAGGCTGGCAACCTACAACAGCCTACACAGGAAGCAAAAGTGAGTTGATTTGTGCAGCGAGGAAAAGGACACAGCCAGGTTAAGACCATGGAGCCCTTCAACCCAAACTAGGGTCATCTTGGTTTCTCCCCCACCTCCCAATGTTGCCTTTAACTCCGTCCACCCCAAAGTCCAGTGACAGAGATTCAGCGGCTGGTAGATGAAAGGGAATATACAGGTAATAATACTGCTCACATATAAAAGTAATAATCCTTCATTTGTACATTTATACAGTATCTCTTGCTCCCCCATCCCCTGCCCTCCCCAACCCCATCTTGTCTCTTTCCGTCTGGTCTCTGTCTGGGCGGGTGGCCCATGCCCCCGTGCCCTATGCCAAGGGGTTGCCGAGATCGTCATCTGCCCCTCTTGACAGGAGCTCCCGCTTCTCGTCTGTGCTGGCTAGTGAGTTGCGGCTGTTGTGGGCGCCCATGTAGAGTGTGGCGTACACGGGGTTGGTGAAGTTTGTGGGCTGTGGGGGAAGGAGAGAGAGAGAGAGAAAGGGCGTGAGGGACAGCCAAGCAAGGGGAACAGCTGGCTTCTCAGGGGCATCTCCAGACCTTTTCCCTGTGCCATGCTGCCTCCCGCTCTCAGTCTTAACTCCAGCACCTTCCCAGGAATCCCTGCTCCATGCTCTCCCATGATGTGACTGCATTCCAGCTAGCCTGTCGTGTGGAGAGGAAGGTGTGACCCTCCTTTCAGCTCAGGACTTGGCAACTTTCGTAGCCATGAGGCTAGCAAGAGGCAATGCTCCCTGCCTTGAGGGCTGCCCTTGAAGACTGCCTGGAAGCTGCAGCCAATGCAGAACACAGGGTGTTGCCAGAAGCATCACACTTCACCCTGTGCATGGGTTTTCTTTCGCCTTCCAGGAACAATCTAAAGCACGGGTCTTGAATGACACTGACCAAGATGCCTGGGCCTGCATAGCTTCTTTGGGGGGGGGGGGCAAGGAGCAGCTTGGGGTCCTCCAGCGGCAGCCTTCCACCTTAGTCAGCACAGACAGTGGAAAGGACTGCAGCTGTTGCAGGTCAAGATCTCTGGAGACCCATCCCTGCCTTATGGCTGGCCTCCTTCCTCATGCTCGCATCTGGTTATTCACAAGACCAATGGAGAGTGCCTTTGTTAAAAGCTGCCATCGTCTTTGGGTAATGCTCAGAACACTGGGAGCCCATGGTGCAGGGCTCACTTTCACCGGACTTTGAAAGCCAGCGCTGTAAATGGCTTGGCAAACCACAGTTCAGTGGGAACTTGCCTGGTTAGTGCAATCACACAAGTGGCAAAGCACTCTGGTTCTTCTGGCGTGAGGAGGAAATATGCAAGCCCATGGTCTGCTCAGGATTCTGCAGCCAGGGCTACCTCCGCATGGGGCTGCGTTGCTAGTGAGTGCCCTGCAAGTTACTATATTAAGACCCTCTACATTGCCTTTGAGTTAGGAAGCCTCACACAGAGATGCTCTGCAGGGTGACAACCTCATCCAAGCACACAAGCATCTCAGAGGCACATGCAGGCTGGCTGCCCAGATCGTTGGGACAGAGCCACCCCCCCCCCCGCAAATAAAAGGAGGATCCCAGGAAGGGCCTGGGCTCAACCTACAGGCCTTCCCCATAGCAAAGGCCTTGCAGCATTCTCTGGATCCCATCGGGTCTCTTTCGTGGACTCTACTCCCTTGCTTCTCTCCTCCGGTCCATATGAATGGTCACCCGCAATTTTATCATCCCTGCCAAAAGGCTTGCTGGACTCCCTTCCCTTCCTCACTCTCCTGGAGTCTTTCTCCAAGAGAATCTCGGGCAGCCTTCGCACATTTGCCTCCCCACCCCTCTTCCAAACCTTGTCAGGGTCTAAGGCGAAGTCGGCATCTAGCAGCTCCCCCACATCGTCTGTGTCGGGGTCCCCTTCATACATCTTATAGGTGGGGTTGCCGATCTCCACGTTCATGGCACCGTTGGTCATGCGCTGGTGTTGGAAACCTTTTGCCCTGGGGATGGGAAAGAACAGACATGAGCAGAAGTCGGCAAACGTAAGATTTTGGGGGAGAGTTACACAGTATCGCAGGTAATGCGAATGCCAGGCTTGACTTTGCCCAGGGGGAACTTGCTGGAGGAACTTGCCAGAAGGGTGGGGTGCAGATCTCTTCTGCACCTGCAGGGAAAGAACCGGTGGAAGGGGAAATTTAAGCACCCCTTGGCACCCTGTGCCCAGAGCTCCAAAAGGAACACAGGGAAGCAGAACCGTCGGTTTCTCTTGTGCAGCATAGTCTTGTCTTCTCAATGAAACAGTGTGGCATGACCTACTTTGCATTTGGGCAAGAGATTTAAAAAGAATGATCTCCAAAGGCGGCAGATGCATTGCCCAGGACCACTCAGGGAACCTGTTACGAATCTAAACGTGCCACGAAACAAGGTAACTCAACAGTCTTCCCAGCGCACGAGGAGGCCCCCACCACTGGAGACAGATATGCGATGTGCAACAAGAGCTGGAACAGGAGTAGCCCGAAGAGTGGACACAGTGAAGAACTTGCCTGTGGAATGAAGTTTTGTATTTATGCGCGCACGTGTGTGTGTGTGTGTGTGTGTGTGTGTGTGTGTGTAGGTCTCTGTTGAACATCCTGCCTTGGAGCTGAAAGCCCCCCCGACCCCCGTGCCCAGTTCAGGAGACAGATGCAGCCCTGCAGCAGCTGTTTCTCAGAGCCTTGCTCACCCTTTAATCCGTTTCTTGTACCACACCACAGCGCCTGCCACCAGTACCAGCAGCAGCAGCAGCAGGATCGGGATGACGATGGACACGGTCCCTACAAGAAGGCAGAGAGATGCTGGTCATTCCACGCTCTCAGGGCAGAGCAAACACTCAGGCCGCTGGTCTCCTCTTCTAAACATGGGCACAAGCTGCCCATGGAGCAAGGGGCTGCTCTCCTCCCCAGATCCAATGGTGGGCCATTGTGGTGCCATCTCTACTTTCATTCTGGTCCCAAGCAAAGGCCACCCTCTCTTGCAGATTTTACAAAACCTGAATTTAAGAAATGATTGTGCTTACTCCAACAAATTTCCTCTCCTCTTCCCCCTGTACTTATGTTTATTGTATACTGTTATCTGCTTAGAGAGTCCTGTTGGGCTATTGAGCAGCGTATGAACTTGAAAGTAAGTACAGTGGTACCTCAGCTCATGAACGCCTCAGTTCACAACCAAATCGAGTCGCGAACAGAAAATTAGGAAAAAAATTTCCTCAGGTTGCGAACTATGCATCAGGTGATGACTGCGATCGCACTTGTCTTCCCTGCACAAGCACGCCCGCAATCACGCCCATCTCCCCGCCCCCACAGCACACCCACGATTGTGCCCATCTTCCCTGTGATTAAAAAAAATATTTACAGAATGGATTAGCCTTATTTACACTGAACCTTATGGGGAAAAGTGACTTGGGTCACGACCAATTTGGGTTGTGACCAGAGTCCTGGAACGGATAAAGTTCGTGAGCCAAGGTACCACTGTAAGAAGGTAAGTAAGTGAGCAGGAAAAGCCCTGTGGGATCAAGCCAAAGATTGATCTAATTTTGTTCCCAGACCTCTGTTGTTTCAGTACCCCTGTATGGACAAAAGTCTCCTGGCCAAGCTGGCCCCATCTCACACCCATCGAAAACACATGGGCACAAATGCCACAAATGGATTCCTACAGCAATTGCCCATGATCTCCTTTCCCCAGTCTACGTACGGTTGCTTGGCTGCTCGCTGAACACTGACTTCTCGCAATGATCCCCTGTCATATCTGATGTGCACCTGCAGAGCAAGAAGCAAAAGAACAAACAGAAACCAAGTGAGCCTGCCACATGGGCACTGTGGCCATGGAACAAGGCCAGAAAGCTCCTGGGAGCAGGATTGGCTGCAAGGTTTGCTCAGAGAGCAAGGAAAGGGATGATGCTGAGAACTGCCCTGCACTCAAGAGATTAGCAGCCAGTTCTGTGCTCGGCTTCCACAAAGCACTGCAGAAACAGTGGGCCTCGGTCACTGTGCTGGATTCCCAGCAGGTGGGAATTGCTGCAGCATCTTTCTCATGCAGAGCCCATGTCGGAAAAAAGCTGGCAGAGCCATGCAAGGGTGGAGCACGTGGGCCACTTGAGTTGTGCCCAGGTCAAATACAGCTGGGAAACAGCCAGCATAATGAGTTTCAGGAGGCAGGAAAACAGAGCAGCGAGGACCACTTTGAAGAATGACATGTTCTTTTTCTACACTCTGAGACTTGTCCTCTTGTTCCCTTCTGATCACGTAAGTGCACAACAGGGAAATGATGTGATCTGGGGAAACAGGTTGTCTGTGAGCATGTCTGTCTAGGAATGGGGATGGACATGGATGTTAGGGAATTGGGGCTGCATGTGGGATGAGCCTCCAGCAGCGCAGCCACCATGGGGAGCTGGCAGGCGTGGCCCTCCCTTGCTCCATCTCCCCTCCCTGCTCACTGGCATTTTGGCATCGCTGTTTCGGCGTTCATGGTGCACGTGCCCCCGTTCAGGCAATAGTTGTTGCAGGTCAGGCAGCTGGGGGCCATCCGGCCGTCAGGGCAGCTGTGGATGGAGAAGAGAGATGGCATCAGGGAGCGCGGGTGCCCTTCCGCGCTGTAGGTGAAATGCGAGGAGTTGCAAGCCCAGCCTGCCTGCCCTGTCTGCTACCCGGGAGTCTGCCTGTGCCCGAAGCTGGAGCTCCAACAAGCTGGGAGTCCCGCCTTGCCATTCCTACTGCCAACACAACTCCTCCCCAGCCGGTCAGAGATGGAAGCGTGGCCCTTTTAACATGCAGAGGGGCCTTTACAGGCTCTGCTGTTCTCTGTCTTGTTGCACTTATGGGCCGGCCACTACAATCTCTCTCTTTTAGGCCTGCTGACCAATGCTCAACAGGTGGCTGAGTCAAAGCCAGAAGCCTGACCAAAAAAGGAGAGTTGAATTTGAGTCAAGCCTTGAACATCCAAACACACAGAAATACAACCTAGGCTGTGCCAACCTACTGCCCTGGCTGAGATTCCAGATTTAGCAGGTTCCTTCTAAGTTTTCTAAGGCCAGATGCCACCCACCCACCCATCATTGGTTGTAGATCCACTGCAATTTTTGCTTGTCCTCTCCTGCTGAAATTAGCTTGTCAGCACTTCTTCCTATTCCATCAGGCCTTACTTCCTCCTCTTTCAGGACAAATCTCTTCCTGTGGCTGCCCTGGGAAGCCACCGAGGCTAGCGAGAGCTAAGACAGGCCTGGTCTTAAAGAACAGCTCATCATCCTTTGATCTGCTTTGCCTGAAGCACCAGAAGTGTGCCTGGCAACATCTCCAATCGCACCCGTGCCCCCATGCAACTCTCCTCTGGCCCTCCCAGCAGCTACTGATGCCTGCGCTCCAGCTTCCCTTGCCAAGTGGGTTGCACTACCCTTCTCCAGAGGCCTTCACGTGCAAGAGCCCTCGAAGCATCCCCACCCGCTGTTGCTCAGACCCGCTCCCTGCTCCCACGGCCAACCCCCAGCACCCACATGCAGGTGACGTTGCCGGTCTGCTTGTTGATGGAGCAGTTGCCCTTCAGGCAGCGATCGCACTTATTATGCTGGCAGCGGTCGCCGTAGAAATTTGGCGGGCAACGGCACTGGTGAGTCCCAGAGGCGGTCAAATGGCACACACCGTTATTCTCGCAGTAGTCCGAGCACAGGCCTGAAGGGGGCGGGAAAGAGTGCCATCAGTCTGAGACGGGGGCTATCTTGCATAGCAGGGCCTCAACTAGCGCTCTGCCTTATCCCGATGTTTGTTAAAATTAAAATAAAAAAACTCACTGCTAACTCACTTATGAACCCTTCTGATCTCCATCCTATTTTATTTATTTATGTACACTTTTAAAACATTTTATTATGTACATGTAATTGTTAAAGTTTAATATCAATATATTTTTTAAAAAATCCAAGTACCCCAATGTGTGAAGGTTAAGCTGGCCTTTCCCAGTGGGTGTCCTCCAGATGTTTTTGAACTGTGATGTCCATGATTGCTGCCCCCTGGCAATGCTGGCAGGGGCTGATGGGAGTTGGGAGTCTAAACATCTGGAGAGCATGACACTGAGGAAGACTAGGTTATGTGGAGCTGTCCCCCTCAGCCTGGCAGGGGGGAAGGAAGGCACAGAGACCCATGTCCGGGATGGCCTATGTCCACACCACAAACAACTGGAGGCTCCCACTGAGAAAAGGAAGGTCTGTGAGGCAAGCACAGGTCCAGAGCAGCTGCTCCACCAGCCTGGAAGCCTTTGCAGAGCCACTGAGATCCGCTCTCCCCCCATTTGCAGGCCACAGAGTTGCGGGAGGGACCAGGTCTGTGTTTTTCAAGGGAGAAGGCAGACAGACTTAGCACCTCCCTCACCAGCACTTCTTTCCCCCTCCGGTATTCCCCCAGAGTGGAGTGGGCAACTTGCAGCCCTCCAGATGGTTTGGCCTACAACTCCCAGCATCCTTCCTTACTAGTCATGCTTGCTAGAGCTGATGGGCACTGTAGTCCTGAAGATTGCAAATTTTTCCTGGTGACCCAACAACAAGGGTCAGTTATCTAGGGTTGTATCAGCAGGGCATAAGGGAGTCAAAAATATAAAATAAACCCCCGCCAGAGGTTCAGAATGTGTAAAAGATAAGCCTGGAGCCAGTTGTTTTGGCACCAGAAGGGCAGGTTAAGATAACCATGTACAAAAGTAACAGCATGTTTTCCACACGTTTTTCTACATCTAATCAAGGCAAAAAGCTAAACATATAAAAGCACTGTCCATAGTGGCTGTGGCAGCTGGTCTTGACTGAAGATGGGCTCACTTTCTATTGATAGTGTGCAATTACCATAAAGAATCTTTTTTATATGAAATAATTTGCAGGTGTTGCCTGTCCCACAACCAGACAATGAAGAGGGACCTCTTTCCTTTTGTTCACAACAGTCCCAAGCACCTGGAGGGCAACTGGAGGGCACCCACAGGAACTGTTGCCCTCCCGCGCATCATCCGAATGCCTTCAGGCTGTTGTCCGGTCATTCAGATGCCCATCAGCACAGGTGATGCTGCTTCCCTGGCTCTAGGGAAAAGCTGATGGCCACCAGCTGCAAGACTGTGGGAATGCCCCACTTCCAGATGTTGGCTGGGGCACAGAAGGCAGGTGGTGTGTGCATGTACAAGAGAGACCCCTCCCTCCAAAAGGCCCCCAAGTTCAAATTGGGGTTCTCTTAAACAAACTTTTGGCTCAATGTTGATGGGGTCAGAAAGACTGCTGAGGCCCAGCATGGCTCATCGTTACAAGGCATACGGGATCAGCTGCTCGGTCCAAAGCTCCCCCTCCAGCCAAATCCTTGGTTGGGGGCAGCACATAGCCAGGAAACTCCTCCCACCCCCCCGGAAAACCCTTGGGCCTCCCTGTTCGCACACTTGCTGCGGACTCCAGACCCGTGATGCACTTACGGAATTCACACTTGTCGCCGGTGTAAGCAGCTGGGCAGCGGCAGTTGGCCTGGTTACCCTGGTTAACCGTGCAGCTGCCGTTGTTGAGACAGTAGTCTGCGCACACCTGCTTGTTGCACTGAGAGCCGGTGAAGCCATTGGGGCAGCGGCAAGTCGGCATCCCTGGGGTGGGAGGGAGAAAGCAGAGCTCTTTAGCAGGGCTGGGAGAGCAGGGGGAGAACAAGAGAACAAAAGGCAACACTGGAGAGCATCTGGAGAGCAGGAGAGCATCTGGAGAGCATCAGGATTGCCTGGAGGAAGTCGCCTGGCTTGGAGGATGCCAAACTTGCAGCTGAATGTACGCAGCAGCCCCCTGGAATCAGCCGTCCTGGGCATTTCTTGGACAGCGCTGCTTCCATCCTTTTGAAAGGATGGGAACTTTGCATGACAAGAACTCACACAGAATCTTTGGGTGTCAAGGATTTGAGCTTGTTGCAAAACAAAGTTGTCCACTGAAATCAAGGATCAATCTTTAGCTGGGAACGAGGACTCAAATCAGCATTAGCTGGGACCTGAGACCACAGAAATATGTCTGGGTGTTACTCTTGAAAGCTCCCAGCTAGCCACAGATCATAGCCCCTTTGCACGGGTTTGTCCTCAAGATCCAGGTTGAACACAGCTCTCCTTCTGCATTGCTGAACTTGCCCTACTCACCAGATAAGGAAGCGGCACAGGTGCCCCCGTTCTGGCAGTAGTCGGCACACTGGTCGTGCTGGCACTTGTCCCCACTGTAGCGGGGCTGGCAGCGGCACTTGGGCTGCTTGCGGGCATTGAGGAAGCAGCTGCCTCCGTTGAGGCAGACCAGGTCACAGGTGTCAGTGGGTGGGACTTTGAGAGAGAAAGGGGGGAAAGAAAGCAGGCAAGTGAAACACTTCTTAGTTGTGCTGCTGCTGCTATCATCATCACCACCACCACCACCACCACCACCACCACCACCACGCTTGACATATTTCAGAGCAGAAGAAAATAGTGCCCTGCCCTGAGGAACTTCCAATCTAAAATTCAGCATGGTGGAGTAATTGTAGAAGGGGAAGGGCATACAGACAAGGGTAAGCACAGCAGTAACACTTGGCCATTCCAGATGCTTAGGACTGGAACCTGGAACCTTCTGCCTCCAAAGCTTCAACGCCACTTGCGGAGTCTGGTCCCAGCGATGACAAGGCAGAAGGTGGCCAGGCTGCATCTGAGAAGCACCAGTGGTGGCTCACAGAGTCAATGCCTGGCGGCCTCCAACAAGCAGAAGGGCCTTAAGAGGAAGAGCCGCTGGTGATGAAGGCGGGAAACCACCATCCAGCCTGGGCAGGGGGGGATGAGGGTGCACATACCAACAGGCGAGACAGTCGGTGAGGGGATGAGCACGCAGTTGCCATTATCCAGCCTCCTGCCGTTGGGGCAGGTGCACACGGGGCCACTGGGGCTCAGGAGGCAGAGCCATTCGCATTTCTTCCTGTCGCATGGGTTGGTCACTGGAGAGGAGAGGCACCAAGAAGGGCGAGTTCAGCAGAGAAACCTCTCTCTCTACCCTCTTTGGACAAAGCAGCTGGCAGCCCCAAATTCAGGGCATCTTGCATTCTCAAGCTTCTGAACCGCCTTCTTCCCACCTGGTCTCTGCGCAGCCCCTCCACTATCCAAGCTTGGGCCTTCCTGGCACAGAGTCCACTCCAACCATATTTCTTCCATCAGCCAGCCATCATCTCCCCTTATTATTAAACTACAAACACCTACAATCTCATGCCCAGCCCACAAGGTGCCTGCATTGATCTGCCTGGACTGGGGCAATTCCACTCAGGTGAAACCAGGTTACTGCATGCAAAATTGTACCTGGAGATCAGTGCAGAAGGCACAAACCCAGTGGCTTGTCTGCCCCTCGCCCCTGCTGGTCTGCAGCACTTTTAAGCCATTTCTAGAAAGCCTTCAATGATGAAGTCTGCTACCTTGTTATACTGCTTGTTCTACAGCAATATAAAACCAATCTTATGGCACCACTTTTCATTTCTCACCACTTAACTTTATGGCTTTTTTGTCCTTTCCCCTACTAGTCAATATATTAAAGGCATTCTAAATACAGTGGTACCTCGGCTCACGAACACCTCAGTTCACAACCAAATCGGGTTGCGAACAGAAATTTCCTAACAATTTTGCCGCAATTTGTGAACTTCGCATTGGGTGACGATTGCGATTGTGCCTGTCTCCCCCGCAGTACGCTCGCGATTGTGCCCATCTCCCCACCCCAGTGCACTCACGATCGCGCCCATCTCGCCCCCCAGCGCACCCATGATTGCACCCGTCTCCCCGCCACCTCCAGCACAATTGCTGAGGGGGGTGGGAGATGGCCGTGATCTTTGTTGTTCTTTGTCACTTTGCTTCAATTTTTTGTGAATAAAAAAAATAGTTACAGAAGGAATTAACCTTATTTACATTGAACCTTATGGGGAAATTTGACTTGGCTCATGACCAATTCGGGTCATGACCAGAGTCCTGGAACAGATTAAGTTTGTGAGCCAAGGTACCACTGTATCTTCATCTGCTGTCATGCCAAACCACAGTATGTGCTAACCACAGTTTACAACCCAAGCCATGGGTTAGGACTGCATGTCTGCTTCCTCCCCGCCCCCAACAATTCTCCTTCTCTGGTGTAGATCCCCTGAGAGCCATGCCTGCAGTTGCACATTCAGACACTGCATGAAACCATGGCTTGTGTACCCATTTTGAAATATGGATCCTGATTTTCTAACCAATTGCAAACCACGAGTTGTCTGTGTAGACATCAAGTCAAATCACAGGTGAATTTTATCATCTTTAAACAATAACTCTGTTTGCTCACAATTGTTTTCTGAATGTTTGGTTCCAGAAAGACAGTGTAGAAATGCAATAAATTAAAAAAAAAAACAAAAACGCAGATTCAGGACTATGAATACGTCTGTTTCCCTAGATCTCTTGCATACCAGACCCAGCATGGAGGTCCTAAGCCCTACCATGGGATGCACTACTAACCATCGGGTTGCTTGTACTGGTGGTAGAGTACCACATCGGTGGCGTGGTTGAGTCCGGCGGTAAGATTGGTGACAGAGCCGTGGCCAAACTTGTGGATCTTGAAGATGTGGTTGTTGATATAGGTGACGCCATAAATGTAGTCCTCGAAAATGTCAATGCTGAAGGGGTGGCTGAGCCCTATGATGGGAAGGAGTGGAAGATGGGTCAGGAACTGGCTGCAGAGCTTTGCTAAGGACCACATGCCTGTGGATACTGGAAGAGGCTGATTGTGTGATATGTTTGTCACTGGGCAGAAACAGACGCTGCAAGAAAAAAACAACAGCTCCACTGCCTGGTGCTACGGAGAGGCCAGAGATCAGGAGTGCGGTGGGATGAGCAGAACAGATAGTCCCCCTACTCTGAAAGAAGAGCCCACCCATTCACTGGGTGATGGTATCTTAGATTGCATCCAAACAGCTGCATTTCCCCACCGGTGGCACTAGTGCAGAAGTGGGACGAAGAGAGCTCTCTGGGAAGAAGTGCCAACCGAGCAAGGGGGTCCAGTAGCGCAGGTGCTGATTTGGGACTGTCTGGTTGTTTGGGCGAGTAGCAATCACCACGCGCGCTCTTTTGCAAAAAGCAAAACGCAAAAAGCCAGCATGATTCAGCATAGGCTGGGTTCACACAGCATGGTAAACAACCCTGCACTGCTTTCATGGTGCACAGACTGAACTTACCCGTCGGTCAGTCATGGGGTTACCAGGGTAGTGTGGTTTCTGTGCTCCCTGCCCCGCCATGCCATCTTGGCCACATGTCCCAACAGCTCCCGTGAGTGAAATTCCTGTCCTTTATCCCTGCCTATGGACTGCAGCAGACCAATCAGAAGGAGGCTGCTGCAGTCCATGGGCAGGTCCCACCTCCCCCTCCTGAATGTACTAATCCCACCAAGCAGAAATTTCAGAACTGGGTTCAGATGACACTAAAGGCCTACACTGGTTCAATTTCACCATGGCTTCTCGTGTCATGCAAACCTGTCCACACAGAGAGAGTACCCATTTCCCATTTTTAACAAATGTACCTTTCTTGCTGTCAATGGCCACCACTGGGTCAGTGCCATTGAGCCGGATGCTGCCAATCACAGAGAGCTTAGCATCAGCCCAGTACAGGCGCTCATTATGGTAATCGACAGCCAGACCTGCAGGTAAACCATGTGGGCAGGTTTAACAAGTAATCATGCAAAAGCTCTAACAACGTCAAGCACACTCGCTCCTTTCCCATCATGGATGCAAAATCTTATTTATTTACTTATTTATTTAAAATATTTTTACCCCACCCTTTGCACAAGCCTTAGAATGGCTCACAAAATCTTGACCCCAAATATTCCATCTTTCCTCCTCCTTTTGTTCTCCTGGTCCTTGCCCAAAAGTTCTACACTCCTGGGGGAAAAAAAATCTGCATCTTGCATCGGCAAGACTGCAGCTCTACTGTATAGTGCAGAATGCTGTCCCAGACTCAGTCCTTGGCATCTCCATCTGAGAGGGTCTCCAGCACATGGACGAAGGAAGGACTCTGTCCCTGACTGCCTAGAGAGCTGCCCCATGTCACCACAGAGTGGGGTGCAGACCCACAGCCTGCGGGACTCTTCCTGGAGTCTCCATCTGGCCTTCCAGAGTTCCCCAAAAGGGCATGCCCCCTTCCCCCATAAAACTCACCCTCTGATGGTTTCCCATTCTGAAAGGCTGAGAGCCAGTGTGGTGTAGTGGTTAAGAGCATGGGACTGGGACTCAGACGACCTGGGTTCTAGTCCCCGCTCAGCCATGGAGCCAACTGGGTGATTTTGGGCCAGTCACAGACTCTCAGCCCAACCTACCTCACAGGGTTCTTGTTGTGGGGATAAGATGGAGGAAGAGAATGATTTAAGCTGCCTTGCGCCCTTTGTAGGAAAAAGGCAGGATATAAATCGAATGAATGAATGAATGAACGAACGAACAAACAAACAAATAAATAAATAAGGCTTGCTGCCTAGACAGAAAAGCTTCCAGCTACCATTTCCTGGTGCTGTAGACCCTTTTGCCATCAGACCCCAAGAGCTTTTCCAAGATGGAATTTCCTCCACAGGTTCAACACTCCTGCCAGAGACTGTTCTGGTGGGCAGCCCAGGAGTCAAACACTCCACATCTGGCAAGCACCCATGTTCCTGTGTGGGGAATGAGCTCAGCGTACCATGCCTGCAAAACCTCTGGAAGCCCTGACCGCGCTGCTCAGCACCAGTGAAGACTGAAACTACCTGTGGACCAGCTCACCTGTGGGCCACTGGATGTTGTCCTGCACAAGCGTCTCCCTTTGGGTCCCGTCCATCGCTGCTGTCTCAATCTTAGGGTGGTTCCCCCAGTCTGACCAGTACATGGTGCTATAAAGAGAAACAGGTTTCATGACCTAAGAGGCAGAGCACATCGGGAAAGGAGCAGGTTAACAGGTGCCCAGGCCCATCTTACCCTCGAAGCGGGTCCACCACGATGGCGTGTGGCTCATCGATCATGCCTGAGATCAGCGTCTTGCGGTTCTCGCCCTTCATCTGTGCCACTTCAATGACATCCCGTCCAGAGTCTGTCCAGTAAATGTTTCCAGCCACCCAGTCTATGGCAATGCCCCGTGGCATCTTCAGCCCAGAGATCTAGCAGAGGACAAGAAGCAAGGTGAGTGCTCGAGAGTCCAGGCATGGCCGTTTGCCCGCTGCAGTTTGGGTTCCAGGTCCTCAGCCTGGCTCCCCCTCGGTCACACGTCCTCAAGAATTCCTCCCAGCCACCTACATTTAGGTGCGTGACGCCACCGTCGATCTGCCGCCGATTACGATTGGAGGCACTAGAGCCGGCAGAGGAGGGCAGTTCCCGGCAGGAGATGCGCCCGGTGTGCCAGTTGGTCCAGTAGATCTTGTTGCCCTTGACATAGACATCCATGGCAGCGATGCGGACGTTCTCGTCCCCTTGGAAGGCAGGTTCATAGGCTGAGTTGGGGTTGAAGAGGTACATGCTGCGGATCTTGTTGTCATCAGCGATGTAAAGTATCTGGTACTCTGACCCTGGAAGGCAACCGACAGAACTCTTGAATTGATCATTAGGGCCCCATCCACCCATATATACATTTATGAGCCTCTTTTTTAGGGCAATCCCTATCACAAACAATGAAAAATACATGCAGCACTAAGACACCGTATACACACTGCCCACAGTGGAGTCCTCAGTAAAATACAAGCTGAAGTAAATGGAAGTCTAAAAGCCTTGAAAGCCTAAAGCCATGGACCCTGGCAAACCTCGACCAGAACAAGGAGCTGCGACGGGGAAGGCCCTGTTCCTCATGGCTACCAAGCCAATTGCTCTTATGTGGGGACTCAAGTGCCTATCACAAAATGAAGGCAGACTGGAGTAGGTGGCAAGCAGTCCTTTAAGTAACCCAGGACCAAATGATGTAGGCTTTTAGAGGGCAATAGGAGCACTTTGAATTGGACCCTGAAAAGCACTGACACCTGGTGTAATTGGTACAGAAGAAGTGCCACCGGATCTGGCTGCCTGGTATCTACCAGTACTCAAGTGGCTGCTTTTGGTACCTTGCATTGTGGTTTTTATATTGCCCAACAGTGGAAGATTTCTGGACAGTTTACAGCAGCACATGCAGCGCAGCGCAGCACAGCACAACACAGAAATTACCCTATAAAATTTAGAAGCCAAATTTAAGCAGCTATGACAGCTAACAAAAATTAAATCACAGCTGTTATACAGCTGACACAATGCTCACCCCCATCATAGAGGACAGTCTTAACCTTACAGCAGAAAGACAACAGATCTGGCACCAAGAGGGTTTCAGTGGGCAGCCCGTTCCACACTTGGGGAGCCACCACTGAGAAGGCCCTCCTCCTTGTTGCCAACCAAGTCTCTTTCAGAGGTGCAATTAGAGGCAGGCCTCAGATCTTGATTGTAGTGCCTGAAGCAGACTAGAGCTGGGAGAAGTGTTCCATTGAATATTGATGTTCCTAGCTATGCAGGGCTTTAGAAGTTGGAACCAGCACCCTGAACCAGCCTGTGGAGTTTCTTCAGTGGTGGGCAAAAGGCAGAGAGAACCCCTGGCTTCAGAGACTCCCACTGAGATTTCCTCAGCCAGACCACGGCTTTTGCTACCATTGCCACCACGCTATCCCAGCGTCATGCCTAGCTCTGTCCTGCTCGGACAAAAAAAAAAGGACTGTGTTTTTCAGTGCAAGGAGGCAGCCTAAGAGGAGCCGGAGATGTTGTCCAGACAGGAAATGGAGTTGTATGTCATGATAAACAGTATCTGTCAAACGGCACATGCATATGTACGTGTATGTACACATGTGTGCACATGCATGCATACACGCACCCCCCAAAGCTGCAGTGCCTCTGGGATAAAGCTCCCCTAGCGAAGCTGCTGGTACCTTCTGCCTTGCACATCTGATGCGTCTTCATGAAGTTCTTGGCACATGTGCACATGTATGAGCCTTTTGTGTTGTTGCAGAGCTGACTGCAAACCCCGAAGTTTAGGCATTCATTGATGTCTGCACAGAGCAGGGGAGACACAGAAACAAGGTTATCGGATGCAAATCTCAGAAGCTGTAGACAAATCTTAGTCAAGAACTTTTCAGAGACCTGGAGGCAGCATTGTAAAATGATTCTTTCCTGAAGTACTCAGTTTCCGCACACTCTCTGCTGAACTTCCTAAAGTAATTCAAAAGCAAAAACACCCCAGAAGTACAAGATTTGTACTTCTGTCAGTGAAAGGTATGGCTGCTACAGTCACCTGGAGAGCAATATATGCCTCTCTTCTTCCACCCTCTGCATATCTATCTATCTATCTATCTATCTATCTATCTATCTATCTATCTATCAATTTATATCCTGCCTTTTTCCTACCAAGGGCTCAAGGCAGCTTACATCGTTCTCCTCCCCCATCTTATCCCCACAACCACCCTGTGAGGTAGGCTGGGCTGAGAGTCTGACTGGCTGAGCGGGGACTAGAGCCCAGATCGTCAGAGTCGCAGTCCTGTGCTCTTAACCACCACACCACACTGGCCCTCATCAGCTGCACATGCCCCCCCCCCACAACTATCGTCCTCTTTAGTTCTCTTTAGTTATTTAATGTACTCAGACTCTGCTCTGCAATCCTGGAGGGCTCCCAGAGCTGATAATAATGGCAGGAATGTCCCAAGGGAGAAAAGAGGGAACTCAGGGCTGTCCTGCCAGCCCTGTGGAAGTAATTTTACTCCCCTTGTCCCTCCTTACTCTGTTTTCCCTCTGTGCTGAGCCCTTTCAAATTGTAAGCCAGCAGGCAGGGACCATCACCTTTTACTGATTGACTGCAAGCCGCTCTGGGAGCCCTTTTGGCTGAGGAGTATGATAAAAATACTCTAAATAAAAATAATAACAAAATGTATATATTTGAACTCCAGCCTCTATGGATGCTAGAACTCTCTGCAAAGCTGTATCTAAAGCAAAAGTTCAAGCTGGTTCTGGAGGTTTCTTCCTGCTACAGGCAACACACGCTGGGAGTGAAAAATATATTTTGATGAAAACTAGCACGATTTCTCCACAGGGGGTTCTGCACATCTTTGTGACATGCCTTTGTAGCGGGTGGAGTTTGGGGCTGGTGGATTCACTTGCTATCTGATATGTTTTTCCTGTGGAATTTACAGTGAGTGACTGAGGGGACTCTGGTGCTTTGGTCCCAGGGCTGGCTAGCATCTGGCCTTGACAGGACCCATCTCTTGGCCCCGTACCTTCACAGGAATTCTTGTCTGCCACTTTCTGGAAGCCGCTGCGGCAGGTGCAGTACACAGATGAGGGGGTCTGGATGCATTTGGCCTCATTGCCACACATGGTCACATTGGTGTGACAGCCGTATGTCTTCGGATCTGCGGCCAGAAAATGGGAACAAAGCTTGCATCAGGCAGGACTGAAGAGAGAGGGCAGCTGGAGCCGAGCAGGCAGCACATGTGACCTGCCAAATTGCACACGATTCCAAACTGGCCATCACTGCATTTGGCCTTCAATGCTCTACTCCCCTGCACCACCCTTATTCCAATGTCTATTAGCCATCCCACTGCTGTCAGTCCTTCAGCCATCTGCCCTCTCACCCTGCGAACAATCATCCTCGTCAGACCCATCTCCACAGTCATCAAATAAGTTGCAGCGAAGATCAGCACTGATGCACTTCCTGTTCCTGCAGAGAAATTCATTCTTCTCGTGGCTGCAGCTCCTGGGCCTGGCAGTTGAGGAATCTGCGAGATTGCAGAGATGACAGTGAGAATCCAAGACAGCAAGTATAGAAGTCACCATTTCTTTGGCCATGCCTCTCTTTCTCCTCACAACGGCCAGAATGGTGAAACTAGGAAGCTGCCTGTCCATAGCAGAGGATCTTGGATCACTCAATTGCCCGAGCAGCTGAAACAGAGCAGAGTGACCTGTCCATGGGAAACCCTGCAGCTCTGAGCTTGCTTCTGTCCTGTCAGGAAGAGCCACTTCTGCAGAAAGTTGAGGAGTGGGCTCCTCCATGTTTGGGTTATTCTGGCAGCAAGATATTGGGAGCTTAGGAGGGATGGGTCGCTCCAGTTTTAGTGCAGCAACATGGTTATTGGAAAAGTCTTAGAAACATCCAATTTGCTGCTATCTGGCAAGAAATCAGTTCTAGAACAGCACTAGTACTAGTGACCTAGAACTGGAAAGGCAGTTGTAAGGCCTTGTGGGGTGTGTGAGGGAGGAGCTCTGGAAAGGGGCCACGTTTCTGGGGGGGGGGGGCAAAGGCACTCACCACAGAATTGCTCATCGGTGCCGTCCCCGCAGTTGTCGATGCCATCACACTGGCGGCCGATCCACAAGCACACGCGGTCATTCTTGCAACGGAAAGGTCTGTTGGGAGGGCACTGGAATTTCACTGTGCCCGCAAATGGAAACACAGGATCCGAGTCAATATGGGAGTCAGAGGAGCATGGAAAGGCATGAGGCTGCTGCGCCCCAAGGGAAGAAGAGGTGCCCAACAAGCAGTTCATAAGACTCCAAGCCAGGTTCTTCCTGCCTGGGGGGCTCGGAGACGGGCAAACTTTTTTTCATGCATGCCATCATTGCATCACCAAGAAATACAAGTGGAGTACACAAAGGATCATGCTGTTGGAAGGGGCAGTTGAGGCCATGGAGCCCAGCTCCCCTCTACCCCTCTAAGTAAGAGGGAGAACAGGTTAAGCAAGGAAGTTTTGGAGCATGCCAAGAGGACTAGGACACTCACGGCATTCCTCATGGTTCTCATCCGAGTTGTCACCGCAGTCATCCTCACCATCGCACTTCCAGGCCAGTGGTTTGCACAGGGTGTTGTTGCACTGGAACTCGTCCAGGGGGCAGGTCCGCACTGCAAGGTGGAAAAGAGCCCAGAGTGTGTCAGCATCAGACCTCTGCCTGAAGATTACACATGGAGGGCTGCACACTCTCTGAGAGTCTCATCTGAGCCATGGGTAATTTCAGGAGGGCTTAAATAATGGACAGTGAATACTCCTACAGCCACGTACAACCTGATTGGGCTGGGATTAGCACCAGGCATCCTTTAGCAGCTGGCTGGGCCCTCTTTCCATTTTGGTCTGGGCCCAGGACTGTATCACGTCAGCCTTTCTATTCTGAAAGGGAGTCACTCGGCGGCATTGCGTCTCAAGCACAGCCCCCGGCAGAGCTTGGGATGCTGCTGTTGCAGCCATGAAAACAGCTGGTGTCCACTGAGAAACAAGAAGGCCCACCAGAAGACCTTTGCCCAGTGGCCAGCCTCCCACCTGAGAGCCAGGAACTGCCAACAGACATTATTTTGGAGCGGGGCAGGGGGCTGAAAGCATCTTTATAAGGTGTCATTGGAAGGGATGCCAGTTCCACTTCTGTTGCTGTTGTCTCAGTGGATGCCCTACACCCAGTTTAGAACGTAATGAACCAGTCTGATCACTGCTTCCAGGAAGAGCACCCATGAGGGCCATTACCACGGGTGCCACAGTCCTCTTCGTCGCTACCATCCATGCAGTCGGCATCGGCGTCACAGCGCCATCGCAGGGGGATGCAGTGGCCACTCTTGCACTGGAACTGATCCTGATCACAGCGTGGCTTGCACTCTTTCTGTGGGAAGGAAGCCAAAGGAGCAGGATTACCAATCCCAGGCGGGCTCTTCTAAGGTCAGCAGTCTGACTGGCACTGTGCCTGTTTGTGTGCAGAGCCTGGTGCTTTGCCACGGAGCTGAGGTTTTTCCATGAGAGGTTTTTCCATGAAAGATTTGACAAGGTTGGTCAAACCGAGCCAAGATACTTCAGTGGCATCAACAGGCTGAGAAAATGATTGTCAGCATGCAGTAAGACATAAAAAAGCAAAATTAGCCAATGCAGCTGTCAATATGACATTACATAATGAAGTTACACAGAAAGGAAAAATTCTGCTAAGATGTTGACTCCTACAGTATGTGTGTACATCGGCACCATGGCCCTAACTCACGTGAAAATGCATAAAGATGATTAATTAGAGAAATCTCAGCAAATCAATCCTTACAGTCTTAATCAGGTGATGATTCTACCAAATAATAGCTCATCTTCATCAAAAAAAATACCATTCCTACCTGCCTTTCTAGCAGTTAATCATTCTGTCAATCAATGACTCGCTTTTAGTATGTCTGGCCTAGTTCTTTCCATCTTACAAAAAGTACCCAGTATTGTTCTATGTGTTTATTCAGCAGGATTTCTTATAAACCAGCCTGCTCTGACCTGGGCCCTTCAGATGTTGCTGGACCACAACTTCCATCAGTCCCAGACAGCATGGCCAGCAATCAAGAATAATGGGATCAAGAGATGCTTGAGAGCATCAAGTCAGGGAAGCTTGTTAGGTCAGGCAGTTACAAATGTGACTCAGGTCAACTTCTGCTTGGCTTTTCCCTCCTGAGCACTAAATTCCAGTTCGCTCGCAGCAAGACTTTTGGCTGATTAGCAGCCAAGCAGATGCAGAAGCCAAACTTAGGTACCCTACTGTTATCAACTGCAGCATCCCAAAACACCCCAAAAGTAATTGACCAGAGAAAGGCCCCAAAAGTAGTTGGCCAGAGGAAGGCCACATAGTAAAAACATCAGTTATACTGTCCCAGAAGGGAGGGGGGTAAGAACAAAATGAACTTTGTGTAACCCACAGCTAACACGCTAGCCTGACCTCGAATACGGTAATCAAAGGGACAGTAGAAACTGGTTCGAGCCACCAGGAGTGTTGCAAATGCGCAGGGAGTAAGAACATGGCAAGCCTGTGTGAATCTCGAGCAGGTAAGAAATGGACATGGGAAATGTCTGGTCCTTGACAGAAGAAAGGACTCTTTCTCCAGCACAGGAGGGGGTGCATACATTGATGTATTGATGCATTAGATGTGTATTAGGTGACCTAATTGGTTACCTAGGGTATAAAACGCATGTACTGGGGTGCAACTTTTGAGACACTGCTTTGGGCTGAATGTCCCCTTTTGTCTCCCTTTATTCTATAGTGCACTAGAATAAAGCTGATTTTGGCTCTAAGTCTCGTCTCAGGCTCTGTTTGGCTTGGGTCTGGGGTCCACCCAGGTTTGCCCCAGCTGTTGACTGGCTCAGTCTGGTAACACCACAGTATTCACAGTGTACCTGCCAAGCTTGTTTCACCCTCTCCCAAAATCCCACAGCAGGCTAAGCCTGGTTCCGCTCTGTGCCTCCTTACCTCGTCAGAGCCATCGGCACAGTCATGGTCCCCATCACACTTCCAGCGGCCTGCGATGCACCGTCCGTTGGCACACGAGAACTCACTTTCGGAGCAAGGTCTGGGCTCTGCAGGCAAAGAGAAAGCCCTGAGAGGTGAGCAAGAAGGTTTCTGTGGGCCCAGGATGGAGGGGGTGACGTCTACTGTGTAAAACAGATTTCCCTGGTGTATCACCAGACAGACAGATGCAGTCTTATAAGGCTAAGAAAGCACACTCTGGACTGCGACACAATGAGGAGAAGAAAACGGGAGAAGTCACAGAGGAATGGGAGGGTGCGCGGAGAAGAGGTGAGGCAACAGCTGATCCCAGCTGTATTGATCCCCACTGCCTACATCCACAGCTTCTGGTCAACTGGAGTGGCTCTCAGCCATGGGGCACAGGAAGCTGCCTGACATGGAGTCAGGCCCCTGCTCCATCCAGCCCAGCTCTGTTAGCACTAACTGGCAGCCACTGTCCAGGGATTCCAGGCAAGAGCTTGGTCTGTCTTCTGTGGAGGTGCTGGGATTGAACCTGGGACCTTGTGCATGCAAAGCAGATGCTGTACCCCAAGCTCCTGCCCTTCCCCTAAGTCTGTTGCCCCTTGTTTTGTAGTACTTGAGTTCTATGAGATCCCTGATGGCCCCCACACACCTTCGCCATGGTCAGCCCCACCCAGTGCCCACTGGCAAGGGAAGCCCTGCTAAGGAGAAACTGGATGCATGCTGCTTTGCCCTAGCCAGGTGTGGGCAGGTGAAGGAATTAATGTTTTCTTTCCCAAAGCACTTTATTCAGGAGAAGCAGGCAAAGCAGAGACATTAGAAGGGAACAGGGCAAGCCACCATCCGGCCTGCTTTGCCCTGCAAACAGGTCTTTGGGCTGGGGGTGGGGAGTCTCTGGGCACCCAAGCAAGCAATACACACAGAAAGCCTTCCCATCCAATTCCCGGCTGGGGGCAGTGGGGAGGGGTGGGTGGCAGAGGAAGAAATACATGGGAATGTGGATGAGATCCCCAAAGCATCCTGCTGCTTTTTCCCTTTCAACACAGTTAAGGCTTTAAAGGGGGAAGAAAAAATATTTTCAACAGCAACCTACCTCTGCAAGCCCGATACGACAGTGTGAAAATGGAGAAAAACGTAAGATGAGGTGAAATGGCACAAACTCAAATTACACGACATGGTACAAAAAGAAGAAGAAAAGAAAAAAGAACCGAAAGAAAGTCACGCTCTAGATTCTACAGGAGTGGCCGGGCGGTGGGAGGGTGGGGAGAGATGAGGAGTGGAGTCCATCTTGAAAGGGCTTAATTCTTGCTGGAGGTATGTTTAAATATGGAACTGTATGTGCCCCAATCCCCCTGTCCTCCTGGGATAACTACAATTATTCCACAATAATTGGCATTTGTTTTCCAGCCAATTCCCTCAATTACTTGTCAGCTCTCAGCTGGAAAACATTTTCCTTCTTTTCCAGGGATGCAAGCAGCATGACTCATAAGCTGCAATTTCTGGTGGCCCACCAGATTCTCCTGCACTGGCTGTAGCCGTGGCATTGCATGGCACTTCCCATACTAGCAAGGGATTTCCTGCTTGTCCAATCCCTGAGGATGGACAGGAGATAAAGAAGGGAGGCTATCCCAGCAGGAGCAAAGGGAACTTCAGGGAATCCCTTGCTGGCGCTAGCAAGAGAATCCCTGAGCTTGTGCATGCGTGTGTGCATGCGTGTGTGTGTGCATGCATGGTCCCCTATCAGCCCCCTGTGTGTCCCATGGATTTTAGAGCCAAAAAGCTTGTGCACCTCTGCCCTATGGAGCCGTGATAACAAGGCAACTGGGATGAGCAATCCATGGGTGCAAAGCCCCCTCCCTACTTCAGAGATGCCAAAGATGGGGCATTGTTTGGTGCACCTCATCAGGGCTGAGAAGATGACAGTGGATTTAAACCAGTATTGGTGATGTAGGCTGAACAGTAAATACAATGGTTTAGATGTGGAGAGGTGCTTCTTATTTTGATCCCAGCCAAATCCTTCTTCAAAAGGACTTGCTTCCGACCAGATAGGACAGAGGCCACCTCCATGTTCCAAACCACTAGATGGTGACAACTGCGCAGAAGGACAGCTCAAGGGTGGTGTGATTAAAAACTGGTCCAAACGAAATCCTGTGCCGCCACGTCCTCAAGCTTGCTTTGCCCAAGGCTGATGAGGCTTGGGGGTAGAAGCAGTGCACTTACCCTGCACCTGCCTCAGAGGGCTGCAAGAACTGGCAGAGGTGGCAAGGAAGGAAGAGTGACTGCCCTGGGCAGTGCTGGGGTGTGCGATGTACTGTGGGTTTCTTGACATTCTCCCTCTCAGAAGTATACCAGAGTGGAAAGCAGCTTGGCCCTGAAATCACCCAGTTTTCCCCTCTCGAGTTACTTTCTCCGTGGGTGTTTATGAGCTTTCATGGGACACCTAATTTCTGCAGTTCTGCTTGCCCTGCTCTCACAGGCAATGCCCATTTTACTTCTTCTGCCCAACTGGGACTGTATGGGAAAGCCCAGAAACAAGCTCCTTCCCCGCATGCAAACATCCCGCTGTCCTAGCACAGGCCTGAAGGGGCACATACTGCATCTCTCCTCATCCGAGTTGTCTCCACAGTCGTTGTCGTAATCGCACTGCCAGCGGCCTGGCACACAGCGGTTGTTCCTGCAGCGGAATTGGTAGGGCTCGCAAGTTCGCTCATCTGAAAAAGAAGGATGCAATGTGGGGAAGGGCACAGAGGAAAAGGCAGGGAATGGACAGCATCAGCAGAGGATGATGCCTCGGCACTTTTATGGGGGCTTCTAGTTCACAGATCAGCTTCAGCATGGAGACAAAAGGCCATGCGCTTGTTGCCTCCCAAGAAAACTTTTCCACCCTTCTGCCTGAGCATTGTCACTAGGGATGTGCAAGGAAACTGTCTGGGGGTGGGAATCCAGTGGATTCCTTGGGCTCAGCTCTCCAGACTCTGGTCCACTTTGCAGCAGTCCTAACTCTGAGCTCCAGAGGCTGTGTGGTGTAGTGCCCCTTTTCTCTGACTGGCACTACTGCTGCTGGCTGCACCAGGTGAGCTACAAGATTTGTGCCTAGCAAGCAGCTTGCAGCATCCCGCTTCCATGCCCAGTGCTGGCACCACTGGCTGCACCAGGCAGAGAAGCAGGTTGGTTGCAGCGCCCCTCTTCGGCATCCAGCAGCCACTCTTTGGGTGGCTGCATCTGATGGGGAAGGTTACTGGTTGCGCAACTGGGAGTCTGCGAGCATTTGCCATCTTCCTCTTGGCTCAGCTTGCTTTGCATGAGAGGAAGCCCATGAATGCTGGAGGGATGGATTCCAAAAGGGTTCATCCCAACCCTAACTGTCACAAACAACTGGTACTGAGAGTGTCCTGGAAGATCTGAGACCAACTACTGTTAAGGGAACTTAGTGCATTTCAACATCACGATGCATGTTTATTTGATATGGTTATGAAGGCAATTGTTCAATACCTAACAGACTGTCAACTTCCTGTTATGAATAATGGAGAAGGTACGGACTGATGGACTACAACTCTCAACATCTCTCACCACTGGGTAAGCTGGCTAGGGCTGATGCAAACCAATAACACCTGGAGGACCACATGTTCTCCACTCCTGCATTAACTGAACCCACTGGCAGGGACTGCATCACACTGGGACTGGGGTACCAGGAGCACTGATCCAGAGCCCAAACCCAACTGTGTTGGGTCTTCAGGGTTATTGGGAAGAATGAATGATCAGAGCCTTTGATTCGGATCATCCTATCTAGATTAAGAGTGTCCAAATCTTGCAGCTTTGTCCCTGCTCAGTTTCTCATTGCTCTATCAGTTTGTTTTTAAAAACCATACAGTCTACACAAACTTGTGCTTAGATGCAACTTTGCCTATTGAATGCAAATTTGCAGGCAATTTTCTCAAATGTAATGCATTTTGTATGTTATTTTTGCAAATATACACATTCTTTTGCATACATTCTCCCTAATAAACACATTTCATATGCTTTTTTATAGCCAGGGAAGTGTGTTGCCAAATTCAGAGCAGCCTGAATATCCAAAGGACAACTGTGTTTCAGTCTATATTTTGGTTCAGAAAATGTGAATCTGTAAATTGGCATTTAAACTAGAACCGAATGAAATTCTCCCCCATCCTTAATCAGACTTCTCTAAGTTACAAAGGGCAGTGCTTCCCTTGCACTCCAAGCCCTTTCGACATATGGAAGTGGCAGGAAACGGAGCATGCCAGGCACCCAGGCATAGCTCAGCTCAGCTCAGCCAGCTGACTACGCCATCAGCTCACCACACTCTTCCTTGGGTTCATCTGAGCCATCTCCACAGTCATCCTCTCCATCACATTTCCACCGTGCCGGGATGCATCGACCAGAATCCTTGCACCGGAACTCGTCCAGTCCACATCTCATTTGTGCTGGGAGAGTGATGAGAGAGACATTTAAAGGACTGAGGAGCTTAAATGCCCCCAGAGACTGGCCATACCTCTACTGGTCCCCAAAATTAGGATAGGAGAGGTAAAGCAGGCACTTTTTCCATCAAGGGCTTCTTGAGAAACTTCACATGCAAATGATTTTAACATGCATGCACGCGCGCATGCGCGCGCGCACACGCTTCCTCTTCCCTAGCCTAGCTTTATTTGCGTCTGTGATCTGTGAATTTAAATAAATAAATAAAGCACCCCAAGCCACACAATGTGCCCTCTATGCCTGCTGGGAAAGACCACCAGTGGTGAGGAAACTATATCAGCTTGCCTGCCACTATTGTTTTTCTCACTGGGGAACCACTCAGGTGCTCTTCAAGAAACACGCTTCTCAGAAGCATAGGCTTAAAAATCACAGTTTTAGAGTGAGATAAGCTTGTGAAGTTCAGACAGTGATTTCAAAATACATCAGGGATTTTCTGTGGAAAGAGGAAGCAGAGAATTTCGGAGCCCCCACTTTGAAGCCCCCTGATCTGCTGTTGCATATGGCTCTGATGTTAAACGAGAGCACTTTGCAACGTATTTTGGACACGTGTCTTAATGTTAACGGAGCTGCAGGAAGCAAGTTCATCTTCTCTGAAGCACAAAGGAAGGCAGGGGCCTCCTAGGCCCGATTCTTGGGGTACTCAATCCATTTCCTTTTTCCCAGCCTGGGGAAGGCTGCCATAAAGCACGGTAGCTTCTTACTGCAGTTGGCAGGCTCATCAGATCCATCCACACAGTCGTTGTCACGGTCGCACACCCAGACCCGTGGAATGCAGCGTTTGGTGATGGCACACTGAAATTGGTTTGGTGCACAAGTCACTTCCGCTGCAAGAGAAAGGGGGATCAGGAGACAAGGTCAGGGCAGAAGGCAGAGCAGGAAGGTGTCTGCTTAAAATGAAGGCTTGCTCATGCACAGCCTAACAACCACCACAGTGCTGAGGGTGCCGTGATCCTGGCATTCAAATGCAGAAACTGGGAGCACATAAAACATACAAACAAAACATCATAGCTATGGATGAGGGCAGAAGTCAAAATGGTTACCTTAAATATATTGCAAAATCACTCTGTCTTTAACATTATTTATCTTTCTCATATGTACACACTTATGTAGTCCTATAGATCTGAACCCAGTAAGTGATGGGAGATGCTGCTGCTTATTGTACGGACCATGAAACAGCACCTGGTTTTCCCATCAGTCCCTACAAGAAACAAGTGGGGCAGTGATGTCCCTTGTTCCATTGCAAGCAGAACTTACGGCAGTCCTTCTCATCTTCTCCATCACCACAGTTGTCCTGCCCATTACAACGGAAGATGCCTGGGATGCAGCGGTTGGTGTTGGTGCATTTGAACTGGCTAGGTAGGCACACATGGACTTCTGTCAGAAGCAAGGCAGAAACAGCGTTAAGGGAGGGTATCCTTATCTTGGATACAGACTTTTCTTAGAAAGCTTCTTGAGTTTTATTGCAAAGGTAGTAGGCTCTGGGATTAAGTACCTCTCCTATGATCGCTCAGGCCAGAGGCGTGAAGCCTCTTTCAGCCTGAGGGATGAAGTTGATTTTGGAAAAGTTCTTGGAGTTGCATTCTAATGGTGGGCAGAGCAAACAGGAGAAGAGTGGAGATCAAAATTACCAAAGCATCAACAACCCAGCATATGGTAGCTTAAAGTTCATCCTGAAAGTAACTAAGGCTTAGAAGAAGCATGGTGACTTTTTAGAATGGGGAAAACAGCCCAAAAGCCAGGGGACCACAAAGCACTTAGTGACTGGGGAAAAGGAGGAGCAGCCATCTGGGGAATTCCAGAGGCCAGACTGTGTCCCCATGGCTGAGGTTTCCCACTCATGTCCTGGGCTCTGCACCCTGGCACTGTTAAGCAGAGCACACCAAGGAAACAGAGAAGATGGGAGGGAAGAGGAAACATCTCTCTGAACCTCTTGCTCGCCTTGAATTCCATGGCTGCTCCCATGATCTCCAGTGCTTGAAAGCCCAAGAAAAGAAAAGAAAAGAAAAGAAAAGAAAAGAAAAGGGAGAAAGAGTGTTTTGGTGGAGCAGGGCAGTGATGTAGTAGGAAATACTTTGCCACTTATTTTCCAGAGCCCTCTGAATGGCTCATTGAAATGGTTGGCATCCTTTCTGTTTTTGTTTCAATCTACAATATTTTCCAGATTAATCAGGCCAGCTCATTCTATTTCAACTTTTTAGTAAGTCATTGTACATTTTGATGGCTTGATCTAAACTGTTAAGATGTCTTGAGTATCTTCAATAAAACAGGGTACAAAACTGAGACGGTGCCGATAAATGAATACATAAAACTTCACAAGGCAGGTTTGGGTCCTCAGAAGAGCTTGGGACACTTACCACAGTTGGCCTCATCTGAGTTGTCCTGACAATCATTGTCTCCATCACAGATGAAGGCTGGATTGGTGCAGATTCCTGTTGAGCACTGGAATTGTCCTGGACGGCATTTGAATTCAGCTGCAGGAGAGAAGGTGGCATGTGATGATTTGGGATGGGGGGTGCCCAGAAACTGGAGCTCAGTGTTACAGCCTCTCCTTTGCGTGCAGAGGGTCCCAGGTTCCATCCCCAGGATTTACAGACAGCAGGAGATGGCAAAGACACTTTGCCAAGACCCTCAAGTGTCACTGCTAGCTAGTACTCTCTGCTGGGTTACAGATATCAATGATCTGTCCTGGAAAACAATCTCAATGCAACTTGGTATCAAATACTCTGCTCTTCTTGTTGATTCATCTACAAATGTTCCACTAGAGCTGGGAACAGGTTGGGTTTGGGCTCTGGATCAGTGCTCCTGGTACCCCCTTTTGGCTAAGAGACAGCATAAAAATGCTTCAAATAAATAAATATTGTTGCTAGCCCACTCAGCCTACAGTCCAAGAGAATCAGGAGTTGCTCTGGCTGACATGTGGTAAGTCTTCTCACTCCCTGATCAGTGCTGCTTAACAGCCACCCAGCACAACCATAAGGGGGATGGCAAGTGCAAGTGACCTGCACGCTTGGGTTCTAGGGAGCTTCTGCAGTCATGAGGCAAAAGTGGGATTCCAAATGCAGTGTCCCAGGCCTGGGGCTTCAATTGGTGAGGCAAAGATGCTCCTCTCCAGGAGGAAGGAAGCCCCTGGAGAGGCGCCCATTCCAGCTCAGGGACAAACTGATGGAAAATTCTGTATGAAGGGGCCCAGAACATTACCCTGGACAGTCTCAGAACTGTTTCATCAATGCACCAGGCAAATTCCTTAAACAAAAATTGCCCATTAAATACTAGTCAGGTAAGCAGCCCAGGGCTACCAAAGAAGATCCTCGGCACCCCTCTTCAGCACTAGATGTATATCCCTGTTCCCTGGATGCCTTGTGTTTTGCTGGGATAATGCTCCATCAACAGCTGTCTAAAGGAGCCTTCCCTCCACCACTGCAGCCTCCTCCCAGCTATTCACTCACGGCAGTTCTCAGGTTCATCTGAACGGTCCCCGCAATCGTCCTCCGTGTCGCATTTCCACCAAAAAGGGATGCACTTGTCATTCTTGCAAACAAACTATGGTGGAAAAGACAGGCCATAAAGCTGAGACAAGGCACGAATACTGGGCAGATGAATGCTCCCCAAAGCCTTCACCTCTCCACCATCGAAACAAGCCCAGCCTGACATATTTCCTACACAGGAGCTCTGAAATGGTTCCCAGGAAAAGCACAGCTCCCCACTAAACATTAGCAAAGGCTCTGCATTTCTAACCACCCCTCCTCACATGTTCTTTCTGCTGCAGGTAACCCTCCCAAAGCCAATCATGCAGCTTCTTCAGGCTTCAGAGACAATTTCAGTAAGAGGGAACCTTCAAGCTCTGTTCCGCAACAGTTAAATTTACAGGCACTTTCCAGGATGGTCAAGAGGCCTGACCTGATGCACTCCATGTTGCACAGGCCATCTCGAGGAGTGGAACCAGTCCACATCAAAGGCCTGGCTTTGGCTGCTGGAGGCCGCCTTGACAAAGCAACAAATGGAGGGGAGGAGTGCATAGCTGTGGGATTTCTGCAAGGTGGAGCAAGCTCTTTGTGTCCCTCCAGTTACCTGGCTGGCTGTGCAGTTGGAGATGCAGGTTTTGCCATTGGCCCCCAGATAGAAGTTGGTGGGGCAGGCACACTTGAAGCCTCCTCCGGGTGACAGCAGGCACAAGTTGCTGCAGCCACCGTTGTTGATTTTGCAGGGGTGGTTGGGAACTGAGGGGTGAGAAAGGAAAGAAATGGGGAGATGAAGCAGGTTACAGCCAGATATAGCCACTGCCATGGCTTCTGTCAACATGGCCCAGGGCAAGCCCCACAGCTCACTTCCGTCCTGCTGCAAAGCAGGAGCCTGAATGCCCAGCAGCAGGCCTGGTGTCAGCAGTTTCCCTGCCTGGCTGAGCACATGGGTAGCCTGCAGAAAGCCCAAGATTCAATCCCCAGGTGGAACTGGAAGAACACCTGCTTGAAGCCCTGGAGAGCTGCTATCAGCCCAGTGTTAGATGGACCACAGTTCTGTGCTGGTATCAAGCAGCTTCTAATCTTCCTATCTTGGTCCACAAGCTGACCCTGGAGTAGCAAGGGACACAAGAGATACTTTTCCCAGGGACCTGCAAATTTAGGATCGACCCTGTCCAGAAGATGGCTCACTGGCTGTGTAATGCAGCACTTTCCAGAATGGCATAAGTTGGTGGGCCCTGAGGGAAAGGGGCTGCCCTCTCTCTGCTTCCACAAGGCCCTCCCATGCTTATGTTTGTGCCCTGGAGATCCTCTTTCAGAACGAGTCCACACGAGAAACAAAGACCACTGCCTCTATTGTTCTATGGAAGTGTTGATCTTTGCAAGATATATGCATGACTTATCTTCTGCTCTTGTCTTTTGCTAGTCCCTGGAGCAAGGAAGAAAGTGGCAGAGGGATTTTTCTAAAGCTTCCTGCTGCAGAACCAGTCAGCAACAAATGTCAACACTCCACATGACTCTACAACCAGCCATTTTCATCCCCTACTTCCAAGGTCCTCCCAAATTGGGACATCAGCCAGGAATCAGGGGCAAGACTAAGTGGTGCTTTAGCATTCCTCACTAGCATTAGCTACCTATGCAAGGCCCATGCCAGGCAAAAGCCCTTTTGTGCAGGGATGGGGGACCTCTTTCAGTCCAAGGACTAAATTCAGTAGCAGAAAAGCTTGCGGGTGCTCCATGCCAATACTGGGTGGGACCAAAGGCAAAAGGGGTGGGGCCCAAAATACACCCCCTCTCCATCATATCCTGACTTAAAAGTTGTTCCTGCCAATAATTAAGCCTTAGGAGAGGCATTTTAATCTTTCAGAATGTGGAAAAACAATGCTGGCTCCGGAGAACCAAATAACTGATGGTTGGGGTACAGGGCATGGCCATTTGGCAGTCCTAGAAGACTGGATTAAAGTACAGGAAGGCTGGAAAAACAACAACTACTACAACAACAACATTCTGTACCACCTGTGGTTGAAGCTCTCTGGGCAGTTCAAAACAGGATATAAAACAATAAAATACAGTATATAAAACATTGAAGACATTAAAATAGCATTAAACGACAGTAAAAGACCCTGCGTGGCAGAATTAGTGCAGGGCCCCAAGGATCCAAAAGGTTCTGAAAGAGAGTTCTGTCAGGAAATAACGTACACAGATGCCATCTGAGTCCACTTTCCTCTTGGCCTCTATTCCTTGCCCCACAGCAGACCCTGAATCTGGATGCTGTGTGAGTTGTTACCAAGAAGGGGACTATGGGGAAGTCTTCCAAGTCGTCAAAGGAGTCTTTTGAATAGCAGTAACCAGAGAAGGTTATGTGACCAAGTCCAGCTCTGGGATCAGACCAAACTTGCTCTCTTGTCTGAGCGATGCAAAGGTTCTGCCCATTGGTCTTCCCAACCACAGACTTGCCTTGCTGTGCTCAACAGGACACTTCCCCAACATGTCTTAGCAGGCCCCATATCTGACAGTCTGCCCTGAATGTATCTCCTCTGGGCCCCACTGGGCAGTGAAACTGAGCCTGGTCCCTGTGCAGGGACAGCCACTCAACCTCCCACCCTCCCTTTAACCCCTTGGTGTGTGGCACTCACCATCCGGCTGCCTGTAGGGGTGGAATATGTGGATGTCCATGGGCCGATGCAGGGTGCTGATCAGCACAGACTTGTTGGTACCTGTGGTCTTGTGGGCCCGGTTGATGGATTTGGTCTCCCAGTCAGTCCAGTAGATGTAATCCTCAAAGAGAGTCAGGGCAAAGATGTGGGGAATATCCTGGCTCAGGACTAGGATGAGAAGAAAAGGAGAAATTCTCATTGGGTGGCAGGGACATGGAGATCAACTGGAGATATCCAGACAAGGGAAATGTGAAGATCTGGAGGACAGCTGACCAAGGAGGTGCCTCGATTCTGACCAGGGCCATGGGCTATGGGCCTGTGTCTATGCTTCTAGACATGAAGTGGTAAGCACAGCAAATGTGTAGTTGTCAGCCATTCCCCAGCGCTCCTCCTAACTCTTGTTGCCTGTAACCATCTTTAGTTCCTCAAACAGCACTCCTTGGAATGTCACATTATGTAATAGGGAATGGCATTGCTGAGAAGTAAAAGATGATGGCCTGCAGCAGAGAAGAGCTGGAGGAACATCTGTGCATCTTGAATAGTCCACTCCCAAAAAAAGTAGCGGTAGTTCCACCATCACCCCACCTTCTACCATAGATCCCCAAAGAAACACAGACCAAACGTATGAAAATTTGGCCCAGACCTGCCATGAACCAAGCATATGTCTTTTGTGAAGGATGCACTGATGCAACACTCTCACTGCAGGGGTGAGATGCAATTCTTGCTTTGGCTGGCAGCAAACCCATTGTTCTTCTGATTACCATATCCATTGATTCATTTGTCAAAACCGTAAGTCATAATGATGATAAAATACAAATGTAAAAATGTAATTCAGGTAGATCAATTAGCATAAAAACAATCAAGCATGTGCCTAGATTAACAAAGAACTGGCACTCCCTTGCCATTGCACAGGCAGAAGAGGCAGCTCCCTTGGTTACATATTTCTTTCTATTCATTAACAAGAATGTGATTTTCTGCTGATTAGACCTTTCTATGGAGAAAATGATCCAGATATTTTAATCTTAAGCTTTCATAAAAATAGAACAGTGTTACAGATAATATGCTAAAGCTTTTCCCAAGTCTCCCAATAGATTCAATGCCTGAAATTAAAAGTGCCTCAGTAATCCAGAATTGTGGCAGACATTGTGGCAGCTGGAACCAAACTCAGACAAATGGTCTCCTCAGTGAGCATTTGGAAAAATTCAGTAAATAATCTGTATAGCCTTGATTGTATAATACAGGAGTTCTGCACTTCTGTCAGTCCAAGGGCTGAACCCCCTTTTGAAGACATTCCTGGGGCCCAGATTCTTGCTTTGGATGGGGCTGACAGCAAGAAGTGTGGGGCCAAAATTATTGATGATACAACCATATTATAAGACTGGTAACTCAGCTTTAGGAGAAGCATTTCTACCTTTCAGTCTGAAGAGGAAAAGCTGCATAAAAGCCAAGGGACCAGTAAAATGCTTGATGGTTGTGGGAAAGTGTATGGGGTGATAGAAAGTAGGCCTGGCCACCAGGCAACTGCAGAACACCAGAGCTGCCTCCAGTCCAGAACTTCTACACCAGAGATCTCAATACCATGGAGAGATTCTAACATTTAATCTGGTCAGGTTCATCTGCACAAAGTTATCTTTCCTTTTATTTCTGGACTGCATCTTTGCTACAACTGCCCATTAACCAATGCCAAAGAAATAAAAATCAATTCATTAAACACTTGCAAAGCTTTTAAATTGATTCATGAAGAATCAGAGAGAAGTGACAAGTGCTGAGAGTTTTTGACAGTCCAGAAGGAGTTGACTGTTAAGAATATGTTCTAAACAAACATTTCACATCCTCAAAAGAAGCTGACAATGAGCAGGTGGAAACCAAAGAAAACAAATGACAAAGTGACTCAAAGGTGACAATGTAACTAAAGAAGAGATCTGAAAAAGGGAGTCACAATTCATATGCAAGTTATATGCTAGCCCTGAAAACTTAAAAGCTAAGCATGGATGAAGGATGCTGAGGCTTCTCAACCCTGAGTTTCCTCAATCCAAAAGCAGGATGGGAGCCTCCAACTCTCCCCTGTAAATGCCTTCCAGAACATTTATTTCTCGAGCCAAACTCTAAAACCAGAAACAAGGACAGGCAGGGAAAGCAAAGAGCATTCGCAAGGGGAAACAGGAGTTCATGGGGGGAGTGACTCACCCCCCCCCACCACTGATCTCTCCCACAAGCTGCAGTCTTCCCTAGTAATCATGCCAGTCACTGGGTTTCTCACTACAAGGTAACTCTTAATGACAGCTGAGTGTGGATCACTATTATTTGTTGTTATTTTGCATTCCATTTATACCCTGCCTCTGGCTCCTCTTGCAAGGAACATGAGGCTTACAAGGCTGCAGAAAACTATGGGCTTTTTTCACTGGTTGTTTGTGGTTAACAAACCATGGCTTGTTGCTAGGGCTGGGTTCAGACAATACTACAATCCACATTTCAACGGCAACCCATGATTCAAGGACAACCCACACTCAATCTATACTCAGTTCTTGAATGTTGTGCAGATCCAGACAGGTTCTGTTCAACCTATCTGCATGTGAATTTCAGCTTTACAGCTCCTGCAATTCCCTCACCGATGTGCCGATTGGATCCATCCAGGCTGGCAAATTCAATGTAGTCCTCACGAGCATCAGCCCAGTAGATGCGGCTATTGATATAGTCCAAAGTGAGGCCATTGGGCCAAGTGATCTTGGTGTCCACAATGATACTCCGGTTGGTGCCATCCATGCCTATCTTGCCAATTAGGGAATGGTCACCCCAGTCTGTCCAGTACAAGTATCTGAAGAGAGAACAAATGAGGTGAGTGAGATAAATGGCATAACCATAGAATTGCAGCTGTGATCAAATTTTATGTTTGTTATTTTGGGAAATCCAAGCCCACAAAATTACACTAATACATTATATAAACTATTACATAGATGCCAAAGCTAAGAACAGAGTTCTGAGTTTTCCTGCTACAGCCCACTGGTGAAGTCCAGTGTGGACTTGGATGGGAACAGATGAATTGTACTGCTAATAAGGTTTCTTTGTTTGGGAATTGACTGGGACGATATAACCCAAGATGGGGATCCTCTGGCTTAAGGGCCATTCTCAGCCCTCAAATCCTCCCCCATTTAGCCCATCAAGGCCCTTAAAACTCTACCTTCTCTCTGGAGCCCCACCCCAGTGGGAAAAGCCAGGGTTAAGGAAAGCCAACTTCACTGGGAGTCACTACCTCAAGTTTCTGGAGCAATATAATGCAGACCCTCCAGGACTGGAGTGTCTTGAAACAGCAGATCCTGAGGAGAATCTCCTTTTTGGTGGTGCTAAGCTAACTGGGAAACAACCAAGCATCAGTCAGGCTGGGTGCAGATTGTGGAAAGGGACATTTGTTGCAGTGCATGCTCTGTGTGTGTGTGTGTATGCGCGCATGCATGCAACTTTTTAACCCCTGTCCTATGGAGCCAACACCACAAGCTTCTGGGATGACCCTGGGTTGTGCCGTAGGACCTGCGCCAAGGTTTTGATGTTCAAAATATTGTCAATCCGCTGACATATTCACCATGGTTGAAGGATTCAGATTGCAGACTGGAATGGACCAAGGGAAGGGGCTAACTGGAGTGGAAGACAAACCAACTTGACGTCACTGCCTGATTGAATTGGGGGTGCAGAATCAAGGCCCACCTTGATCTACTAGCAATACTTGGGGGAAATTCATAAGCTCACTCCTCCAAACCTCAACTCACTAACAGCAGCAGCAGCAATGTATAAAGTTCCCAACATTTACTAAGTGCTGAATGGGAATTAAAAACAAGAGACCTACACACAGCTGTACAAGCTTCCCAAATACATCCAACAGACTTACCCATTCCGGACATCTACTACCAAAGCCCGAGGTTCCCGTAGCCCTGAATTCACCAGCACAGTGCGATAGGCCCCGTTGAGCTTTGACACTTCAATGGTATCCCTTCCCTTGTCACACCAGTACAGGTTCCCACCAACCCAGTCCACAGCCAGCCCATCTGGGTTGCTCAGGCCGGTGCGGTGCAGAACCTGCGGAAGCATAAGGCAAAGAACTGCATGAATCGAGAAAGCACTGAAAAGGGATTTGGTCAAAGGAACTTCTACCCTGCACTTTGCAAAACCAGGAGGAAATGGAACTGGGTTTACCCCGGTGTGGGGAGGGAGAGAACTCAGTCTTGGCAGAACTCTGCTGATGTCTGAATAGCCAAAACTGATGGAAAATACAGGACTGCATCCTGAGGATTCGGGAAGGGACACAGTCCTCTACTGCTGCAGATCACAGTCCAAGTGGCACCAGACACATACCTGCACATTGCTGCCATTGATGTGCATGCGGCGGATCATGCTGCCTTGTGTGGTGACATCTGTCCAATAGATCATTTGTGCCCGATAGTCAAAGTCCAAAGCCACAGCATTATTCAGTCCCTAAGCCCACCAAGAAAAAAAGACAAGCATTGGCAAGCATCCTGTGCCTCACACACACGAAGCTGAACTAGGCTTCACGGTTAAATCTCGCTTCCTGCTATCAGCTCCCCAGGCAGCTCCACACAAACTCTCTCTCTCTACTTCAGTCCATCCCATCTGTAATAAAGGGGATAATAATATTGACTTACTTTTCAGGGTTGTTGAAAGTAACTAAATGTTACTGATGATAAAAAATAATAAATCACATTTCTATAGCACTTTCAAAGTGCATTATCTAATTGCAATCATATTATCATTATGGCTGCTACTAAAATGCCAAGAGTACTGTCACTGTGCTTGTAATTTGCTACAGTTTCAGGAACCCTAATTCTAAAGCAGTGCTTCCCCAAATTCTGATAGCTAAGGCACATGCCCCTGACCTGAATTACAATGAAAGGATCAGTTCCCTCTTACACCATGAAGTGTCCTTTCAGGACACAGGGACTTGAGACACTGCCTTACACTGAGTGAAACCACTGATCACCTGGCTTTGACTTGTCCATGCTGACTGGCAGTGGCTCATCACAGCTTCCAGCAGGAGCCTTTCTTTGCCCTCCCAGGAGAAGCTGTAGATTGAGCCTGGGACTGTCTGCATGGAACAGGTGTGCTCCACAAAAGAGTTATAACCCTTCCCCCAGAGTCTGCGAGGGAAAGGAGGAGCTGCCCCACTACAATTCTACATGAGTTACTGACTTCAATGCATGTTCGGCTCCTGCAGAGAGGCCAGCTCCCCCTCTTGTTGCATCTGTGCAATGAGAGCGATCCAGTCACCCCTGACGCAGAGACACACCGTAACTACTGGGCCCATCAGAGCTAAAATGAAGCAGGCAAAACCAGGGCAGCAACTTCTGTGGGGACATAGCAGGCAGCCTCCATTTTAGAGTCACTGATGCTTCTTGCTGTGTTGTTAGTTTCTTTCCTGTGGCACAGAAGCAGTTCCCTGCCACCCCAACAATCAGCCATTACTCCATGGCCAGTGAATACATTTGCCTTCCTTTGCCTTTGCGGTATTTTTTCTCTCTTGGGATTGGGAAGTTTTGTGTCACAAATTGCTGCCTGAATATGGTCTTGATCCCCAAGGAGAATATGCCCCCTGCCCCAGACTCTGCTTCTACAATGGTCCCTTCCCTATACCAATTACCTGTTTGAGCAAAGTATAGTTGGAACCATCCAGACTGAGCTTCCTTAGGTAGTATCGATTAGCAAAAATCAGGAAGGGTTCATCTTCTGTGAAAGGAAACAGGATTTATAGCAGAATAAGGGCTGAGGGGTCACAAGGAAAAAATGGCTCTAAAACAGTTAAATGCTATTTTTAATAGAGACAATGGCAAACATCCATCCATCCATCCATCCATCGGAAGATCCAGTGCTCCTATGAGCACAGTAATCCCATGTTCTCAACTGCCACATCTCCCCACTGGCCCAATTACATGAGATAACAGCAAGGCCTCTCTGCTCCTCCCTAGGACACTTGCAGCAAAGAGGATCAGCATCACCTGTGACAGCTTTGCAGCTCGTTGGGTCATCAGGCTTCGGCATGTAGCCGTTCACGCAGAGGCACTTGAAGCTACCGTGGGTGTTGATGCATAACTGGCTGCAGGGGTAGGTGGTCGTGCACTCATCAATGTCAATGCAAGTCTTCCCGTCATCCTTCAGCCGGAACCCAGGGCGGCATCTGCACTGCAGGGGGCAGCAGAAAGTCATTACAGGTTTATAGGCAGTGCCCTGTGGAAAACACTTATTCTCTTGTTCACAGGAAAGGAAAGCAAACTTAGTGCAACATCCTATGCAGGTTTAGGCCTAAAATGTTCTACAACTCCAAGCATAACTGGTGGGCATTTGTAGGACTTTTTTCCTGATTAAACATGTATAGGGTTGTGCTCTTAGCCATCACTCTTTTGTTTTCCCTTCCTTCTGCAACAGACACAGGGAAGTCTGGAAATTTGGGAGTACAGGTAGGTCTCTTGGTCATTTGTAACTGTTTGGCAAGGAATTCTGACTCCCAGCTGTTTAGCAAGGGCAGTAATAACATGAATGCAACTCCACCCTACACTAAATTATACTGCTGAAATGAAAAAAGGCAGAGGAAACTGGGAATGCTTCTTTCCTTTCAGGCAAAAACCTTTTTATTCTCCCAATATTTTAATTGTTCACCTGTTTTAATTGGTGATTTTATATTTAACACCGGATGCTGTGCAACTGCTAGTCTTATTTCTATTTTTATTCTATTTTTTTAATCTGTTGTAAACTGTCCCAAGACGTCTGTGAAGAGACAGTATAGAAAAGCTTTAAATAAATAAATGCATGAATGAATAAATGAATGAAAGAATGTTTGCACAGAAGGCCTGTGATCTCTGGTTCTTCAAACATATTCCTGGGCTCAGAAGGCTTTTGTACCAGGTTGCAGGTTCTCAGGATTCTGGTAAAAAGCAAAGTAGATTCCACCAGGCTGAGGTCAGCCATGCTGAGTCCTGCTCGATTCAAATACCAAGAGGCAAGGGATTTTTTACATGAAAAGTATGAGCTATCTGGCTGAATTATTCCCTGACTCGCACCATTGCCCCCAGAGGGGCAATAATATAGCATAGCTAAGCATGTGTTACACCAGTGTGGAAGCAACTGCACCAGTTATCACTTAGCTACCAAGTCCAGCTCAAAGTCTTACTGTTGGCATATCAAGTCCTGAAGAACTTGGAGCCAGCTCACCTGGCAGATCACCTTTCCCAATACATACCTGTATTATTTATTTATTTATTTTTTGATTTCTATCCTGCCTTTTTCCTACAAAGGGCTCAAGGCTTATCCCCACAACAGCAACCCTGTGAGGTAGGTTGGGCTGAGAGTCTGTGACTGGCCCTAAGTTACCCAGTTGGCTCCATGGCTGAGCGGGGACAAGAACCCAGATCGTCTGAGCCCCAGTCCCATGCTCTTAACCACTACACCACACTGGCTCTATCAGTATTGGGTCTCTGCTGGTCATACCATGACCCACCTTGCAGTAGCACCTAGGTGGTGTCTACCTCTAGAATCCTCTCACTGCCACCGCCACCACCCCAACCGATATTCAAGAGGAGTCAACTGTGATGAGCTTCAGGCACTAATGAGAGATCCACCTCTTTATCTGATTGTTGTTGTTGTTGTTGTTGTTGTTGTTAGTGGCGAAGTTGTGTCTGACCCATCACGACCCCATGGACAACATTCCTCCAGGCCTTCCTGTCCTCCACCATCCCCCAGAGTCCACTCAAGCTCACACCGACTGCTTCAGTGACTCCACCAGCCACCTCAATTCATCCAGCAATTCAAAGGCCTCAATTCTTTGGTGTTCAGCCTTCCTCATGGTCCAACTTTCACAGCCATACATTGTAACTGGGAAAACCATAACCTTGACTATACACACTTTTGTTGGCAGGGTGATGTCTCTGCTTTTTAGTATGCTGTCTAGATTTGCCATAGCTTTCCTTCTCAGGAACAAGCGTCTTTTAATTTCTTGGCTGCAGTCCCCATCTGCGGTGATCTTGGAGCCCAGGAAAATAAAATCTGTCACTACCTCCATTTCCTCCCCATCTATTTGCCAGGAAGTGAGAGAACCGGATGCCATGATCTTAGTTTTCTTAATGTTGAGTTTCAAGCCAACTTTTGCGCTCTCCTCTTTCACCCACATCAAAAGGGTCTTTAGTTCCTCCTCACTTTCTGCCATGAGAGTGGTATCATCTGCATATCTGAGGTTGTTGATATTTCTCTCAGCAATCTTAATTCCAACTGGTGATTCATCTAGGCCAGTCTTACTCATGATGAGCTCTGCACAGAAGTTAAATAGGCAGGGCGACAGTATACAGTCTTGCCGAACTCCTTTCTCAATTTTGAACCAATCAGTGGTTCTGTGCCCAGTTCTAACTGTTGCTTCTTGACCCACATATAGGTTTCCCAAGAGACAAATAAGATGGTCAGGTACTCCCATCTCTTTAAGAACTTGCCACAATTTGTTGTGATCCACACAATCAAAGGCTTTAGCATAGTCAGTGAAGCAGAAGCAGATGTTTTTCTGGAACTCCCTAGCTTTCTCCATGATCCAGTGTATGTTGGCAATTTGATCTCTAGTTCCTCTCCCTCTTCAAAATCCTGCCTGTACTTCTGGCAGTTCTCGGTCCACATACTGCCAGAGCCTAGCTTGTAGGATTTTGAGCATAACTTTGCTAGCATGTGAAATGAGTGCAATGGTGCAGTAGTTTGAACATTCTTTGGCATTGCCCTTCTTTGGGATCAGAATGTAAACTGACCTTTTCCAATCCTGTGGCCACTCCTGAGTTTTCCAAACTTGCTGGCATATTGAGTGTAGTACTTTTACTGCATCATCTTTTAAGATTTTGAATAGCTCAGCTGGAATACTGTCACCTCCACTTGCTTTGTTGTTGCTCAGACTTCCTAAGACCCATTTGACTTCACATTCCAGGATGTCTGGCTTGAGGTCAGTGACCACCCCATCGTGGTTATCAAGGATGTTAAGCTCTTTCTTGTATAGTTCTTCTGTGTAATCTTGCCACCTCTTCTTAATCTCTTCTGCCTCTGTTAGGTCCCTGCCATTTTGGTCCTTTATCATGCCCATCTTTGCATGAAACATTCCCTTCATATCTCCAATTTTCTTGAAGAGATCTCTGTTCCTCCCTATTCTATTGTTTTCTTCTATGTCTTTGCACTGTTCATTTAAGAAGGCATTCTTATCTCTTCTAGCTATTCTCTGGAATTTTGCATTCAATTGGGTGTATCTTTCTCTCTCTCCCTTGCCTTTCGCTTCCCTTCTTTCCTCAGCTATTTGTAAAGCTTCCTCAGACAGCCATTTTGCTTTCTTGCATTTCTTTTCTTTGGGATGGCTTTAGTTGCTACCTCTTGTACAATGTTGCGAAGCTCCGTCCATAGTTCTTCAGGCACTCTGTCTATCAGATCTATTTCCTTAAATCTATTTGTCACCTCTACTGTATATTCATCAGGGATATGGTTTAGGTCATACCTGAGTGGCCTAGTGGTTTTCCCTACTTTCTTCAATTTAAGGCTGAATTTTGCAACGAAAAGCTCATGATCTGAGCCACAGTCAGCTCCTGGTCTAGTTTTTACTGACTATATAGAGCAGGCATGTCCAAAGTCTGCCCGGGGGGCCAATTACAGCCTTTTTTCAAATTTTGAGCGGCCCGCAGCCTCTTCTCCCTGCCGACTCAGCCACTGACTCATCCCCGCTGGCCGGCATTTTTCCCTTCACCACACAGCGGTTCCCGCAGCTGTCCCTTGCTGCCTCCTGCTCCTTCAAGGCTGGTGGTTATATTTCACCAGAAGATGGCAGTAGACCTGAGTCAGCACTCTCGGCGCGTGACCCTTGTGGCACAAGGCTTGTGTGCCCATTTCTAAAATGGCGACTGTAACTAAAAAAAGGAAAGTTGACAGCGAGGGCCGCCGCTTCCAGGACAAGTGAAAATTGGAGCATTTTTTCACTAAAATACGAAACAACTGTGTCTGCCTAATTTGCCAAGAGACTGTGGCTGTTTTCAAGGCATTCAATATCAAGAGGCACTACCAGACGAAACATGCTAACTACAACAAGCTAACTGGGAACAAACGCAGCAAAAAATTGAAGGAATTGGAAGCTGCTTTAACGGCACAGCAGCGCTTTTTCACAAGAGCCTGTGAGTCAAATGAAAATGCCACAAAGGCGAGCTACGAGGTGGCAACGCTGATTGCCAAGCACTGCAAACCTTTTACTGAGGGTGAATTTATTAAAGACTGTGTGATGAAAATGGTGGAGAAAATTTGTCCTGAGAAGAAGCAAGAGTTTGCCAATGTTTGCCTGGCTCGTAACACTGTGGTACGGAGAATTGAAGACGTTTCATCTGATATTAAGAGACAGAGGCAAAAGGAGTGGAGTTTGACTTTTTTTCGTTAGCCTGTGACGAAAGCACGGATGTATCTGACACCACTCAGTTATTGATTTTTTTTGAGAGGAGTGGACAATGACATGAACGTGAGTGAAGAGCTACTTGACCTCCAGACCCTTAAGGACCAAACAAGAGGAACAGATTTATTTGTTTCTGTTTGTTCCGCCATAGATGACATGAAACTACCATGGAATAAAGTCACTGGGATTATTACGGATGGCGCACCTGCCATGGCTGGCGAGCGAAGTGGATTATCAACCCTAGTCTGTAACAAATACAGCGAAGAAGGAGGCAAAGCTATAAAACTCCACTTTATTATTCACCAACAAGTTCTCTGCGCCAAACATCTCAAATATGATCATGTTATGAAACCGGTGATGAAGGCTATTAATTATATTCGCTCCAAAGCCCTGTGCCACTGCCAGTTTCAACAGTTTCTACTCGACATCCAGGTTGAATACGGAGATGTTGTGTATCACAATGAGGTAAGATGGCTCAGTCGGGGGTCTGCACTGCAGCGCTTCTACTCTCTTAGGGAGGAAATCGGACAATTCTTGGCAAAAAAGGGACAACCGATGCCAGAGCTATCTGATCCTGTTTGGCTGGCTGATTTTGGATTTTTAGCTGACATAACACGACATCTGAACGTGCTGAACACGAGCCTTCAGGGGCAAAATGCACTGGTAAGCCAACTGTATTCACATATCAAAGCCTTTGGGACCAAGCTGCTACTTTTCCAAAGGCACCTGTCACAAACGCAGCCCAATACCACACATTTCCATCGCTGCAGGGAATAATGACCAGTTTTCCACAGAACAATATGAGTGCGCAAATAAGGAGGTATGAGGCAGACATCTCATCTCTGGCTGAGGAGCTTCAACAGTGCTTTTGGGATTTTGCAGCTATTGAAAAGGAGATCATGCTTTTTTCATCTCCTTTCTCTGTGGACCCTGATGACGCTCCAGACCACCTGCAGCCGGAGCTCATTGAGCTGCAGTGTGATGCCGAGTGTCGCAGTCGGCACCAACAGCTCCCTCTTGTCAACTTTTACCGCCAGCTGGATAAAGACAGGTTCCAAGAGATTCGAACATTTGCTAAGAAAATGCTGAGCTAGTTTGGTTCGACATACTTGTGCGAGAAGACATTCTCGGTTATGAACATTAACAAGAACTGCGTGAGAACGAGACTAAGTGACTTTCACCTGCGTGACATCTTGCACATCAAAACCACTGTTTTTGAGCCAGACCTGGCCTATATAATGCAGTCGAGATCTCAGTATCACCCTTCACATTAGTGCAGTTATTTGTTTAGTCTTTCATAAAATAGTTCATTTGCATTTAATGTCAATGGTTCAAAGAATGTCAGGCTGAATGGTCAGCCCCCACACATTTTCACCTCACCAAATCTGGCCCTCCTTGTAAAAAGTTTGGACACCCCTGGTATAGAGCTTCTCCATCTTTGGCTGCAGAGTACATAGTCAGTCTGATTTCTGTGTTGACCGTCTGGTGATGTCCATGTGTAGAGTCGTCTCTTGGGTTGTTGGGAAAGAGTGTTTGCTATGACCATCGTATTCTCTTGACAAAATTCTACCAGCCTGTGCCCTGCTTCATTTTGTACTCCAAGGCCAAACCTGCCCGTTATTCCGGTAATCTTTTGGCTTCCTACTTTAGCATTCCAATCCCCCATGATGATAAGGACATCATTTTTTGGAGTTAATTCTAGAAGGTGTTGTAGGCCTTCATAGAACTGGTCAACTTCAGCCTCTTCACCACAGTAGTCCATAGACTTGGACTACTGTGGTGTTGAATGGTTTGCTTTGAATTCGAACTGAGATCATTCTGTCATTTTGGAGATTGTATCCCAGTACTGCTTTTCCTACTCTTTTATTGACTATGAAGGCTACTCCATTGCTTCTGAGAGATTCTTGCCCACAGTGGTATACCTGATGGTCATCTGAATTAAATTCACCCATTCCTGTCCATTTTAGTTCACTGATTCCTAAGATGTCGATGTTCACCCTTGTCATCACTTGTTTGACCACATCCAGCTTGCCTTGATTAATGGATCTTACATTCATCTGCAACTGAGTGTCCTTTTGGCTTTGACCCAGTCGCTTCAATCTTTCTGGCACTACTAGTGCTAGCCCTCCGCTCTTCCCCAGTAGCATATTGGACACTTTCCGACCTGAGGGGCTCATCTTCCGGCGTCATATTTTTTTGCCTTTTGGTACCATCCATGGGGTGTTCATGGCAAGGATACTGGAGTGGGTTGCCATTTCCTTCTCCAGTGGATCACGTTTTGTCAGAGCTCTCTGCTATGACCTGTCCGTCTTGGGTGGCCCTGCACGGCATAGCTCATAGCTTCATTGAGCTACGCAAGCTCCTTCACCACGACAAGGCAGTGATCCATGATTTATCTGATTATCTGATTAACCCTGATTTATCATGATTTATCTGATTAACCCTGATTAATTGGGCTGACCAGTTTGTTTGCTAATTTTAATTATCAGTTTTTAAGAAAAGGGAGACCAAATATGAGATGTAATGATTCTATAATGGGAGCCACAGCCTGGAATTTACAAGAGCTCATCAGAGCTGTCACGATGGATAGGATATTTTGCAGAGCTTTCATTCATAGGATCATTATAAGTCAGAGACAACTTGAGAGCACATAACAACAACGCTCTTTTAACAAACAGTTTACGTATGTATATACATATTTGTATTTATCATGATGCATGTTAATGTTTTTTAATCTTTTCTTTGTAAACCACTTAGCAATTTTATTTTTAGAGATGGCAAGTGGTATATAAATCTATCAAATAGGCAAGCAAGCATGCAAATAAATTAATAAAACAACAGACAATCTACTGGTCTTTAACAGTTGTCCCAATTCTGCCTAGTGTTAGAGCTGGCCCTGATATAACAACACCCTGTAGCCAGGCAGGAATAGGGGAAGAGTCACTGCAACTGCAAAGAGAGAGCTGTTGAGTCTCTATTGACCCAGCCCGAGAGAATCGCCAGCTGATGAAAAGAAACTACCAGGCCCAACCTTGTAGCCAATTTTGAGGTCCTCGCATTCCTGGGAGCAGCCACTTTGCTTCTTGTTGAGACACTCGTTGATGAAGCAGTTCAGCTCATCAGAGCCATCGCCACAGTCATTGTTGTTATCACAGAGCAGGTTGTTGGAGATGCAGTGTTCATTGTGGCACAGGAAAAAGGTGTCATTACACTTGCTCTCTGTAATTGCAAAGATGCCAAGAATGAACACAAGGCAGGGGGTTCTCCCCCCCCCGCCCAGATTCCCTTTTTCTAACTTTTTCGCACTTTTGTCATCGCACTGCATTTTTTCATCCTACCTTTCTTTTAGAGACCTTCAAAGTGGCACTCAGATACAAAGATACTTGATTGTTTTAAATTCTCTTTCTCATCCATCCATTTGTATTAATAGTATTAAGCAGCCACAAGAGAGAAGTTGAAAATGAATACAAATAGTGTGGATTTTATGACCACACCAATCAATCCAGTGTAAAAGCTCTCTTAAATAGGCACAGGTTTGCTGTTTGCCAAAAGGTATCCTCAGGAAAGCATTCCACAATCACAGTAAAAACACCCCATCTTGCATCCTGCTCCATTGGAGTTCAGATGGCAGGGCGGCAACAACGAACAGGGCCTCCACTGTTAAACAGAGCATGCGCCAGGCAAGCTCACACAGAAAGAGGAAGTCCCCGAGATACTATTGCCCCACATTACTTTGTGTCCTAAAAGTTGAGAACAATGCTTTACATAAGCCTGGAAAAAGATTGGCAGGCAGTGCAGATGAAACAACACAACTGTGATGTGAACAGAGTATCTGATCTGAGAGGGCCATCTGGATGCTACATTCTAAACCAGCTGAAGCTCCTGGTTACGCTTAAAAGACGCAGAGAGCATTTCAAAAATGCAATTGTATGTAAATCGGGGTGGAATTTGGGGCATCCCCCCTGTCCCTAGCTATTTTAAAGGATGGTACACCCATTACCTATTGCCACCTGCAGGCATTTTAGCAGGCTGCAATGGAAGTTGTTGAGAAGGGAAGGTCCATTCCACAAACCCTGTTTAAATGACTGCTTTATTCTTCCTCTTTCCTCCTGGTTCTTTTTCCCTTGTGTAGCATACAGACCCGCAAAAAGGGCCTTTCTTGTTTTAGTCATTGCATACAAGCCACTCTGGGAGCCCTTTTTGGCCAAGAAACAGGATAAAACTCATCTAAACAAATAAATCCCTACTATGCTTATCTTAGGGACTTAGCCCGTCTTCTAAAGACCCATCCTAACTCTTTAATTCCTCGAAAATACATTATATATGTTCCCAAGCATAAACTGTGAAGGAGACTGCTTGCTTGTCTAATTGGCAGCGTGCTTATTTCTAGATCTGGTTTTGTGTTCAGAGCACACTAGACTAAGTCTGGAGCATGGCAGATGGACAGCGGCAGACCGACGCTGTGGCCTGGGTTCTTTTTGAGTTAGAATTCTGCCCCAGGACACAAGGAGAGCAGGAATGTTCATCCTTCAAATGTTCAGGTTCACAACAGGGTTGCAACGGATGGATGCAGGCACAGTGCTGAGATATTTATTGGTAAAATCTTCTCAAGTGAAGAACAACATCCATGTGACTACGAACCCAACCACAGACTACCTCCATGACAAATGGAGTGCAAGCAGCCACACACACACACCTCAATCTCCCCTAACACATCATGGCACCTACCAGGGCTGGAGCAGCGTGGATTCTTGGGCGCTTCATCAGACTGGTCGTGGCAGTCAAACTCGCCATCACATTCCCACAGCTTATGAGTCAGGCAGCGGCCGTTGGCACAGCGGAACTCATTGGGGCCACACGTGAGGTACTCTTGAGGGATGAGGGAAGTGGGGAGAGAAAAGTCAGAGCATGCTGGAAAAGCTGCCTCCTCTTTCCAGGTACAAGACTCCCAATGACAGAGGGAGGCCAGACTCAACAGACACGCTCAGAATTCCCAGATAAAACAAGACTTATCAGGTCTGTACTCAACAGGGATTTGTGTCAGCGAAGACAGGCTTTTCCTGCATCTTAGCCTTGGAACTATCCTGTGAGGTAGTTGGCTCAGATGTTATTATTTACTTATAGTTAGTTAGTTATTAGATTACTATGCCACTGTTCCTATTACAAAGAACTCAGAGAGGCTTACATCATTCTCCTTCTCCTGCTCACTCTTATAACAACAACCCCATGAGGTAGCCCAAAGGCACCTAGCTGGCTCCACGGCTGAGCGGGGACAAGAACCCAGATCACCTGAGTCCCCATCCTGCGCTCTTAACCACTACACCACACTGGCTCTCTCTTATCAAGTGCTCGAACTCATCCAGTGAAATTCATGGCAGTGCAGCTATTTGAATCCAGTTCTCCAAAGTCCAGGGGCCACACTCATGTCTACCTAGCCTAATGCTTCCTACTCCAACTAGCAGCAATTCTTCAGAGTCCCAGGCAGTGGAAAGTCTTTTCCGTCAGCTGCGACATGATGCTTTAGGCTGGAGATGCCAGGGAATCAAACTGGGACTCTGTGCAAGCAAAGCAGGTGCCCTGCCGCAGAACCCTGGTCCCTCCCCAGAAGGAAGAAGGGCTGACCCAACCTGAGAATTCACTGAGAACGAACCAAGCCAACTTTTAGAAAGGAAACATGCAGCAATATATTTCTGCGTGTATGAATTTAATTTGGCTCAGTAATCCCCCATGTCAAATTCACTAAAATTGATTTTGTTTTTATAAAACCACACATTAGAACTGCAAAATATATCACGAGTTCCTGACCACAGCAGCAAGAAAAGCAAAGTGAAAGAGAACTCCATACAGTCCTCAGTGTAGCTGCCAACTCCTAGGGTAGGCTAGCAGTTAAGACTGCTAGAGATTTGGGTTCTAATTCCATATAGCCTGAAATGCCTGATGCTGCCCAATTTTGGAAGTTAAACAGGGTCGGGCCTGGTTGAAATCTGGATGGGTGACTCCAATAATTATTTATTTAATTATTTATGTGTTTGTTTGTTTATTTATTTCAATTTATATGCCACTACAAGCCCATACCTTGGCTCTCTGTGCAGCTTCCAGCAATTAAAACAATTAGTAACATAAAATCAGTAACACAAAATCATTAACAACATACCCAAAATATAAAAACATAATCCAACAAAATTAAAATATGACATTAAAACACTGAATACAATAATTTAAACTAAAATCAACTATAAACCAGGAATAGGGTCAATTGAAATCAAATTACCACTGAAATCAAGTATTAAAATGTTGTGACTCACCCAGAGAGCTTTGGCTACAGGCATTATAGAAAAGTAATGAATAATAATCATAATCATAATAAACATAATCCCCACTCAGACATGAAGACCACTGGGTGGCTTTGGGCCAATTACAGATTCTCAAGCCTAACCTACCTCACAGGGTTGTTGCTGTGAGGATAAGAAGGAGAGGTAGAAAACTTTGTAAGCTGCCTTAGGTTCAATGCAAGAGGAAGAACGGAAAGATATAAATGCAGTAACAATAACAATCATGATACATGCGAAAGGGGGAAAAAGTTAGGCCTGTTCCAGTTCTGCTAAGATCAACTTGATCAGCAGAAATCAAGCCGCTTCACTTTTCACAGCAAGGAGACAAAACATGCTGGGCTGAGGCACAAGTAAACAACCTCATATGGATCAACACAGCTGCCTTCAATTTTGCATTCCTTAGGAGTGTGGTTGTGGAGTCTGTATACCTCAAAATTTACCACTGTTGCAAAGCACAGATTTTTTTCAGCGCCACACATTTGCACTGCCTTTTCTTGCACTTACTTTCAGTGTGCTGCTTGCCCTCACACAGCCAAATATGACTGACTCCATAGCTCTATGACGTCATCCCATTCACTACCAGATTCCCAATTGCCTGGAATCTTCCATTATGAGGAATCCAGAAAAAAAGAAATAAAGCACAGCCAGGGAAACAATAGCACCATTTTTTTTAAAGAAAGCCTTTGCATAAAGTGTTTTTCCAGAAATATTTTCACCCCATTAAAATAACTTTTCCCAATTTGGGAAATTGGGTGCATCTGCAGAATATTTGGTGCATTGTGCCTGCTGCCATGTCCAAGCCCAGCCCTAGGTTGAGGTCTGCACTCACCACAATCCGCAGACTCATCTGAACCATCACCACAGTCGTCATCATGGTCACATACAAAATGTTTGGGGATGCACTGCCGGTTGTTGCACATGAAATCCCGTTCATCACATGTGTTGTTGTACACTGAAATCAGATGTTGCAGGTGATAAATGCTTTTCCCATATTCCCTTTGGCAAATCACTGACATTTATTAGTTCTGCAGCACTTAACGTGTACCCCTTTCAGGTTCTGGGCACAATAGTCACCCATCCTTTCTATGGTGGGAAATAGTAGATGGACTGAGCCATTCAGCTACTCCTTTCCATCCCATGTTGCATCTTACAACTGGGCCATAGGACAAGACTGAGCTGCTATTGCTCTGCCTTCAGAGAGTGCCTTAACTTAATGCAAGATACGGCAGTGTCCAAGAGCCTTCTGAGAGCTGGAAGCCACCACAAGGAGTTATCTCTCTTGATCTGCAGAGATAGGAAAAACTATACTGGAAGGAGGAGGAGGAAGGAAGTTCTTCCCAAGATGCCTGGGGGTAATCCTCTCCCCACCCATACACAATGGTCTCCCTGTTTCTCCATGCTCCCCAGACAGCAGCAAACCAGAGAGGGCCATTTCATGAAACCTCTTTAACTCACACAGCAATATGATTTGAGGCCACTAAAATGACTTGCTGGAGAAGGAAACGGCAACCACTGACTTCCACTGACTTCCACTGGAGAAGGAAATGGCAACCCACTCCAGTTTCTTTGCCATGAAAACTCCATGGAAAGTACCAAAAGGCAAAAAGATATGATGCCGGAAGATGAGCCCCTCAGGTCGGAAGGTGTCCAATATGCTACTGGGGAAGAGCAGAGGGCTAGTACTAGTAGCGCCAGAAAGAATGAAGTGACTGGCTCAAAGCCAAAAGGACACTCAGTTGCAGATGTATCTGGTGGTGAAAGGAGAGTCCAATGCTGTAAAGATCTATACTCCATAGGAACCTGGAATGTAAGATCCATGAATCAAGGCAAGCTGGATGTGGTCAAACAAGAGATGACAAGACTGAACATAGGAATCAATGAAACATAGGAATCACTGATCTTAGGAATCAGTGAACTCAAATGGACAGGAATGGGTGAATTTAATTCAGACGACCATCAGGTATACCACTGTGGGCAAGAATCTCTCAGAAGCAATGGAGTAGCCTTCATAGTCAATAAAAGAGTAGGAAAAGCAGTACTGGGATACAATCTCCAAAATGACAGAATGATCTCAGTTCGAATTCAAAGCAAACCATTCAACACCACAGTAGTCCAAGTCTATGGACTACTGTGGTGAAGAGGCTGAAGTTGACCAGTTCTATGAAGGCCTACAACACCTTCTAGAATTAACTCCAAAAAATGATGTCCTTATCATCATGGGGGATTGGAATGCTAAAGTAGGAAGCCAAAAGATAACCGGACTAACAGGCAGGTTTGGCCTTGGAGTACAAAATGAAGCAGGGCAAAGGCTGGTAAAATTTTGTCAAGAGAATACGATGGTCATAGCAAACACTCTTTCCCAACAACCCAAGAGATGACTCTACACATGGACATCACCAGACGGTCAACACAGAAATCAGATTGACTATGTGCTCTGCAGCCAAAGATGGAGAAACTCTATACAGTCAGTAAAAACTAGACCAGGAGCTGACTGTGGCTCAGACAGAGTTTCGCAACATTGGACAAGAGATAGCAACTAACACCATCCCAAAGAAAAAGAAATGCAAGAAAGCAAAATGGCTGTCTGAGGAAGCTTTACAAATAGCTGAGGAAAGAAGGGAAGCAAAAGGCAAGGGAGAAAAGGAAAGATACACCCAATTGAATGCAGAATTCCAGAGAAGAGCTACAAGAGATCAGAATGCCTTCTTAAATGAACAGTGCAAAGAAACAGAAGAAAACAATAGAATAGGGAGGAGCAGACATCTCTTCAAGAAAATTGGAGATATGAAGGGAACGTTTCATGCAAAGATGGAAAGATAAAGGACCAAAATGGCAGGGACCTAACAGAGGCAGAAGAGATTAAGAAGAGATGGCAAGATTACACAGAAGAACTATACAAGAAAGAGCTTAACGTCCCTGATAACCACGATGGGGTGGTCACTGACCTCGAGCCAGACATCCTGGAATGTGAAGTCAAATGGGCCTTAGGAAGTCTGAGCAACAACAAAGCTAGTGGAGGTGACAACGATGCAGTAATAGTGCTACACTCAGTATGCCAGCAAATTTGGAAAACTCAAGAGTGGCCACAGGATTGGAAAAGGTCAGTTTACATTCTGATCCCAAAGAAGGGCAATGCCAAAGAATGTTCAAACTACTGCACCACTGCACTCATTTCACATGCTAGCAAAGTTATGCTCAAAATTGTACAAGCTAGGCTCTGGCAGTATGTGGACCGAGAACTACCAGAAGTACAGGCAGGATTTCGAAGAGGGAGAGGAACTAGAGATCAAATTGCCAACATACGCTGGATCATGGAGAAGGCTAGGGAGTTCCAGAAAAACATCTGCTTCTGCTTCACTGACTATGCTAAAGCCTTTGATTGTGTGGATCACAACAAATTGTGGCAAGTTCTTAAAGAGATGGGAGTACCTGACCATCTCATTTGTCTCTTGAGAAACCTATATGTGGGTCAAGAAGCAACAGTCAGAACTGGGCAGGGAACCACTGATTGGTTCAAAATTGAGAAAGGAGTTCGGCAAGGCTGTATACTGTCGCCCTGCCTATTTAACTTCTGTGCAGAGCACATATTGAGAAAGACTGGCCTAGATGAATCACCTGTTGGAATTAAGATTGCTGGGAGAAATATCAACAACCTCAGATATGCAGATGATACCACTCTCATGGCAGAAAGTGAAGAGGAACTAAAGAGCCTCTTGATGCAGGTGAAGGAGGAGAGCGCAGAAGTTGGCTTGAAACTCAACATTAAGAAAACTAAGATCATGGCATCCGGTCCTCTCACTTCCTGGCAAATAGATGGGGAAGAAATGAGGTAGTGACTGATTTTATTTTCCTGGGCTCCAAGATCACCGCAAACGGGGACTGCAGCCAAGAAATTAAAAGACGCTTGCTCCTGGGGAGGAAAGCTATGGCAAATCTAGACAGCATACTAAAAAGCAGAGACATCACCCTGCCAACAAAAGTGCGTATAGTCAAGGCTTTGGTTTTCCCAGTTACAATGTATGGCTGTGAAAGTTGGACCATAAGAAAGGCTGAGCACCAAAGAATTGAGGCCTTTGAATTGCGGTGCTGGCAGAGAATGCTGTGAGTCCCTCAGACTGCAAGGCGATCAAACTGATCAGTCTTAGAGGAGATCAACCCTGACTGCTCTTTAGAAGGCCAGATCCTGAAGATGAAACTCAAATACTTTGGCCACCTAATGAGAAGGAAGGACTCCCTGGAGAAGAGTCTAGTGCTGGGAACAATAGATGGCAAAAGCAGAAGGGGACGGCATAAAATGAGGTGGTTAGATGGAGTCACTGAAGCAGTTGGCGTGAGCTTGAGTGGACTCTGGGGGATGGTGGAGGACAGGAAGGCCTGGAGGAATGTTGTCCATGGGGTTGCGATGGGCTGGACATGACTTTGCAACTAACAACAACAACAACAAAAGATGGCTTGCATTAAAGTACTTAAAGCAAACTCTATTCAGGATACGTTCAAAGCAAACCCACCCACCTTATGGCTTACTGAGTCAAAAACTGCCTGTCACTCACAAATGTTGGCCCACTCTCTGTTTTTCCACCTGCCCACAGCCTCAGGAATAAGGTTATTGGTCAAGCTCTAAGCAGGCCTTAACACAAGGCTAGCAAGCCGCACTGAGCTGATTGAGTCATATGTTAGACATACCTGTGCTAACAACACTGATTCGGTGTAGTAGGATCTACAGCCAGGGTGAAGAACACTTTTGGGGTGGCCAGAAGACCAACCACTTTCTGGCCTTGGTCAGAATGGATTATGTCAGTGCACGCATGCACGCACACACGCACACACACACACCACCTTCAGAGATACTACAATCCTAACATCATCCTGTTCCAGCTGGGAAAATCATAAATAATGAAGTTGTCCAACTGAGCACCTCAGCTAGGTTCGGGTATTACACCTGCACTGTGTCCCTCCCCCAGTAGGCTCAGCACAGGCATCAGGCCATGTGTGAACTGGGATTCTTCCGGACATGCTTCTTCCAGGGGTTGAAGCTTGGAGACCACGGCCTGACTGCTGGAGAAATCCAAAGAAGCAGGACAGACCAAGTAGAGGACTTCCACAGGCTAGATTTGTCCTGTGGCTAAAGGTTCTCTATCCCTGGGGAAAGTTAATTTTGCATTCAGTATGCTTGAACAAGCAAAAAAGGATGGGTAGATTTATCAGGTTTAGCTCTCCCAAAGATATGAACCGTATACAAGTGATGCTTTGATTTTGAGGTCCACAATTTGCCCACCATTGTTTTAGATGAACAGAGACTAACCAAAGTTTGTGTGTTCCAGAACATCAGAAGAGGACAAGTCACCCAGCCTTGCAGTGATAGGTCACAAAGGAGGATTTGGTACTTACCATGGAATTCTTTTCCTCCTTCCTCTGCAGTTGTCAGCCTTCACTATTAGGTGAAATTCCCACCCAGCACTGAGGACTGAACACCAAGGAGGAAGCAAGAAAATGCTACATCAACCCAGTCTGCTTCCTAAGCTAACAAGTTAGAAAGAGATCATCAAACAGCACACTGGAGATGAACATCATTACAATCTGAGTGCAGAAAAGACAAAGTCACTCACAGCAGCCGGCAGCCAGACTTTCATCATCCCCATCAGCACAGTCTTTGTCCCCATCACACAGCCAGTGCTGTGGAACGCACACGTAGGTGTTCGGGCACTGGAAAGAGCCTGCAGCACAAGTTGTGTGACCTAGAGGAGCAAAATTAATTATAAAAAATACAAGTAAAGAGATTCTTAATTGCTTAGCTGTTTAGAGAACCAAAAGCTTGATTTACTGAAGTTACTATTAAAAAGCAGAAATCCTCAACCCCAGATTTCTTTGCTCTGCCATGCCAGAACCTACTTCCCTTCCTGAGCTGGGGAGGTGTGGAGGGTGTCCCCCCAAATCCTGAGCCCTGGGAACTGTGACAACCAGGAACAGAATGTCAATATTATGAGCATTCAGTTAATTTTCTTTGGGATGCTATAGTAGGGAATTGTGCTAGAGGTGTGGTCAGGAAAATGCCTCCTCCCAAGCAAGGTTGGCTAACGACCCAGATATTATTTTTGTCTACCACTGCAATATGGCAAATTATTGCATGTTACCCCAAATTATTTGCACAAGTCCTACCCATCTTTTTATTTTTTTTGTAATGTACCATCCCTGGCTATGGTGATGCCCACATAGAATGAGTAATGGAAAGTGGGAGAGAATGGACTGTTGAATGAACTGATACTCTGGATAACATGCTCTTTTGACCCTTCCATGATTCTATGAATGGGACTCAGAATTCCTCTGCATCTTCTCCAAGCATCCTTGCAGTTAGACAATTCCTAGCTCTATGAATTCTGTATAGCTGTTAAATCTCTTCCTCCTTAACATGTTTGTTGTCTTTCATTATTGTGGCAAAAAGTATAGTAGAACAATGGGACAACATAGGAAACTTGCAGGGGAAAGCTGTTGCTGACGGAACCTCCTCGTAAAATTCTGTGAATGAGCCAGGGCAATTCTAGAACAAATGCTTCATCTGGAAGTCAAGCTCTAACCACCCACCTTCCCTCCCAAAACTGCAGCTCGGCATTCTACTAAATCCTGCTTCAACCCACTAAGTATCCCAACCTTTCATTTTGCATTCAACCCAGTGCATCATTCTGGCCAACCAATGGGCAAGCCACAAGCTCACTCCCTCTCTTCCTTCCCAAATCTGAAGCAAAGGCTTACGGCAACGGTGATCTTCATCCGAGCCATCGCCACAGTCATCCGTGCCATCACACACCCACTGCTTGGAGATGCAACGGTGATTGTTGCACTCAAACTTCACTGGGAAGCAGAACTTATCTGGAAAAAGGAATTAGGCTCCATGACAATCCAAAACCAGCCTCAAGAATTAAAGGAAAGCACTACAGAAATAACCCAGCATTTTTCCACAATTGGGCATAATATCATTTAAATAGTTGCTGGTGCAAAGAGGTGCTCTGACGAGCAAAATGGCTTGGAATCGCAGTCTGGGGACAGCACTTACTGCAGTGCGTCTCGTCCTCGCCATTTTCACAGTCATTCTCTTTATCGCAAGTCCACGTCATAGGGATGCACCTCCCACTCGAGCAGGCAAAGAAGTTGGCCGGGCACTTGGATTTTCTCACACCTGGAGAAGACAGGGAGGAGTGGCGGTGGGGTGGGGAGAGAAAATTATCAGGGGATGATGGAAGCTATTTGTGGGAGGGAGGGGAGCTACACATGGCCCCGTATTAGTCAGTATTAATCAGCAGCAATGGCTGGAGTGCTTCATACACTCTTGTCACCTGCGGAACGGCAGGAGGAGACAAAAGTTAAATTTAGCTGGCATCCAAAGAGGTATTTGAGGCACAGTCTCAGCTGTGGGCAGGCCAAGTACAATTTTAACAAATGGTTGATAATGTGGCTTACAGCAAATCTAAAATATTGCAATGCAATTAGTAGACATGTGTCTAAAAGAAATCACAGCAGCAAAAACTATGTATCTGCTGCACTGTTCCCCAAACCCCTCTGAAGCACGATTGTCTTGAGATCTCCTTGGGTCCCAGGAACTTGGTTCCACTGCTAAAGAGACCCTGGGTCACCCAGTCACACTTCACATTGCTAACAAGAAGGGAACAAGATGCACAGTTTATGGAGATCACGTGTCAAATGGAAGAAGGCAGACTTCCTTCCCCTCCTGAGTGGAGGCTGGCAGACATAGCTAAGGACAACAAGGTGCCCCTCTTTCTGGGAGATCCCAGCTGGATTTCCCCTCTCATGACCTACCCCAAAGGAAAGACAGGAAAGATAAGCTGATGCTAGTCAATGGAGGATTCTTGCTCAGCCTCAAAAGCGAAGGTCTCCCTTCCAGGGGTCAGGGTCAGCCACGCCCTCTTACCTGGACAGTTCTGCTCATCTGAATAGTCCCCACAGTCATTGCTGCCATCACACACCCAGGATGGAACGTAGCACATTGAAGTGTGCTCACACTTCTGAAAGGTGGTGCTTTTTATTCCCAGTCTGAAAAAGCTGCTGCAGTCAGTGGCAGCTTTCAAAAAAGAGAACATGTATCACACAATCATGCAACCATTGAGTGCCATTGCAATGCAGACCAGAGTTCAAGGAGCCATGCCCAGGGAATCGGACAGACTCCCACCTCCAGGCAGATTCCTCAAACATTCTTAGCTGAGAATCCCAGTGTGTCATTACTTCCCTCTTCCTCCAGATGTTGCAGTTAGGAGGGATCATGGATGAGATTATATACTGATGCAGTTGGGAGGGATTGTGCTGGCTGGGCTGGTGGGCAGGGATGTGTGGCTAGTGGACTTTGGTGCATCTCACTGAGTCAAAAACCTAAATCAGAGGGATGCAGGGTTTTTTTTCTTCAGTGCTCACTTTTAAGGCAGGAGTGCATGTGTGCACATGCAAACATGCACTTAAAAAAAAACCTCCCTCTCTCTCTTTCTTAAGGCAGGGAAACTTGTACAAAATGAAATACAGCCACAGATTGCACAAATATTCAACACAAACTGCAGCTGTATTTTACACAAATCCCACTGTTCTTAAAAGGAAAATATGCAAATTTCAGCCTACTTTAAAGGCAGAAGTTCACCTATTGGCTTGACCTGCACTGGAGCAAATCAGGGCCGATCCTGGGTAGATGGGCCAGATGCGGGGGAGGGGGTGCAGTGGGGCAATTCAGGCTAATCCACCAGACTGTGATCTCCCAACAGGGTGCCTTGCACACCCCTACCAGTGGCAGCTGAAATCCAAAACACCTCAGGTGGATTCATAACACCACCAGGTTGGCGAGGGCTGCTGGACAGGAACTCTGCCACCCGACAGGCGGCAATGCACTCGACCATGGTGTGGCAGCTTAATGTTTCAAATGTACAATCCAGCCTACCATGCAATTATTTAAGCTATTTAGTTGACTGCTTAAATAAATAGCTTAAATAAACAGCTAATTCCTGTAGTGAAATTTTATGGTTTTTTATTGTTATTTGCATTTTATACAATTTTACTGTATTTTATGAACTGTAAACCACCAAGAAAGCCACTTGGAGGTATAGAAATTATGATGCTGATGCTGATGATGCTAAGACAGTAACACAGTGGTACCTCAGCTCACGAATGCCTCAGTTCATGACCAAATCGGGTCCGAACAAAAATTTCATACAAATTTTGACTCAGGTCGTAAACTCCACAGTGGGTGGTGACTGCGATTGTGGCCATCTCCCGAGTGGGGAGATGGCCACGATCATGGTTGCACTCATGCAGGGAAGACAGGGGTGATCGTGGTTGTGCTCAGTGGGTGGGGAGATGGTCACAATTGTGCTGGGGGGGGCAGGGAGATGGCCGAGATCACGGTTGCACTCGTGTAGGAAAGACAGGCACGATCTTGGCCATCTCCTCCCCCCAGCACAATTGCGCCCATCTCTCCCCCCAGCACACCCGCGATCACACCCATCTCCCTCCCCGCAAGCGCACCCGAGCGTGCAGGGATGACGGGTGTGATTGGGGTTGTGCTCAGGGGGAGCAGGGGAGATGGCCACGATCTTTGTTGTTTTTGCCACTTCGCTTCAAATTTTTCTGATTTAAAAAAATGGTTACAGAATGGATTAACCTTATTTACATTGAACCTTATGGGGAAATGTGACTTGGTTCACAACCAATTTGGGTCACGAACAATGCCCTGGAACGGATTAAGTTCGTGAGCCAAGGTACCACTGTAGTGTGCCCTGGCAACCAGTTTGGGAACCCCTACCATAGATGGTGTTCCATTTAATCTCATGCTCCACTCCTGAGCCTAGAATGGGGGTCCCATTGTGCAACAGGTGGCTTTTTTTTGCCTTGTGTTTGCCTTCCATCCCAGTCTCCCCACCACACTCCTAATCCGCATTTTCTCACTCCAGACCTTCCTTTCCAATCTATTCAGACCGTCACAGCCGATTGTGCGGCGGCCAGAAGGAGGTGTGGCAGGTGCCAGGTGACAGCATTCCTCCAGCCCTTTCCCACCCGCGCCACAGCACACTCACTGCAATTCATCTCATCAGAGGCATCCTCGCAGTCAATCTGCTGGTTGCAGCGGCTCGAGTTGCTGATGCACGTCCCGTCCCGACAGCGGAACTCCGTGGGAGCACAGCTCGTCTCTAGAGCAAGCAGGCAGCACAGTCACTGTTACGTTCATTTCGTGTCATCCTCCTCTTTCTCCAAGGAGTTCAGAGCAATATAAATGGTCCTCACAATCCAACCATCCCTCCAGCCACCCACCCCTATGAAGGAGTTTAGGCTGAGGGCGACTGGCTGGTCCAGGGTGGATGAACGTAGACTTGGCTATCACCACCACCTCCACCACTGGCAGTTGGATGAGCATCAGCAGTGAGCAGGCCTCTCTAGCATCTCCCCATACTGGGGTGCTGAAACCTGAGGTTTGCAGACTAAATCTGGCCTGCCGGTGGTCCCAATACGGCCCTCCATGGCTCAGCAGAAAGTCATGCCCCCATCCTTTGGCTCCACCCAGTTTCTTCTGATCACCAGTCATTTGGTGGTTGTCCAGCTTTTCTGCTTTCACCTTGAAAGGCCTCTGCAAAGGCTGAGGAGCTGGCAGCCAAACATTAAATGAAATTACGCTGGTATGTTTTGCTTTTGGCCCTGCCCCATTTGCTTTTAGTATGAAGCCCCCAAGTGCTTCTCTGAAATGGAATTCTGCTCTCAGGCTGGAAGAAGCTCAGCATTCCCACTCTACGCACACCCTGTGGAGAAGCAGTTTAGCTCATCAGATTCAAGCACGGATTCCTAACATATCAATCAGAATTAAGGCGACCAGGATTGGTTAAGCGTTATGTCTCCTCCGGGTCTCATGTCTGCCAAATGAAGTGTGGACCCCACTTGCAGTCCAGCTGCATTATTACACCCACCTTGCAGAAGTGCAAGAGTAACACTGGAGCACCAAGGTAATGGGGACCTCAAAGACTCAAACTGTTCAAGTGCAATTCATTCAAAGTTATCTGTGTTTGTGTAAAGGGACGCTTACTGCAGCAGGCACTGCAATATTACCATGGTTAAGTGTGTGTGTGTGTGTGTGTGTGTGTGTGTGTACGCTCCCAAATAGCTCCCACAATTTAGGCACTTACTGTTGCAAGGCACTTCATCTGAATTGTCCCCACAGTTGTCTATGCCATTGCACCAGTCCGCAATTGGCACACAGCGCTTGTTGGTGCAATGCAGGTATCCTTTCTTACACTTGCGGCTGTCTGCAACACAGAGAGAGGGTGTGTTCGTGTGTGCAAGAGAAAGATAAAGGGGAGGCACCTGAAAAAAGGAGTGGCATGAAGCCTCAAAGTATTTCTGTAAGAGGATTTATGATGACAGCCTTCTCCAACCTAGTGGTTTCCAAATGTATTGGACTGCAACTCCCATGCACAGAGTGGAATGATGGAAGTTGCAGTCCAATATATCCAAAGGGTAGCAGCCATGGCAGAATAGTTCAGGGGATGGCAGCCATACAAAGGTTCCTTAAAACAGCATCCTAAGAAGGGACAAACCCCAGGCTTCAACAGAGCTTTGGAGCTGGGGATGAGACAAGGTTATTCACTCTCCTCTTCAGCTCCAAGCATTGGGAGCATTGGGAGCCTGGACAGCTGAGCTTGGCCAGTCCCTCATCACAATGAGGAGGGGGCAAATTAATAGACCAAGCCCTTCATATATACACAGTCAGCTTACAAGTAGGCACAGTGGAACACAGGGAATAGAAATGTATGTAGTGCCTAACTTCAGAAATTCTCTCCCCTCTGTAGGTTTCAAGAAAGGTAGCATTCCAGCCAGGTCACTGCCTCTTCTGACCACTGGATTCACTCCCTCCCAAAAGCGGTCAGAGGGCATAAATTGGTGGCTGGCTGCTGGGGATCAGCTGCTGCATTAATAGTGTAGCACCATGAAGCAAGGTTAGGAATCAGACTTACCAGTGGGCAGGCTAGCAGAGGGAAGAAACAAGCAAGCAGAGGAGGAAGGGAAGGAACCTTACTGCAGTAGGATGACTTCTCATCTGACTTGTCCTTGCAGTGAGCCACACTGTCACAGGTTTGGCTGAAGTCAATACAGTCACCATTTCCACATTCAAATTCATTGTGCATGTTACAGCTGGAGTTTGGAGCTACAGCACAGAGAACAGAAATACGCATAAACACATGAGCCTAGCAGTGCCCATTTCAGACAAAGCTGTTCCAGAGGTGGTCTGAAGTCCCCACTCAGTCCTGACATCTGGAAGGGGCAAGCGACAAGGTGGCTGCAGCAAAGTGAAAATGCCCCTTCAGAAGACTGCACTAGGGGAACTGGATTAGGCTCAGCTGTAATGGGTGCAAAGATAGGAAGACTGGCACAGAAACCAAACCTATAGCTTTCAAAATAATGACGTCTGTTTACTATGGTCACCTATGTAGGTTTTATACATGGTGAGAAACCAGTAGCATCAGGGGCTTTGAGAGACTGATGCATTCCTCTCTTCCAGAGGGTGCTACATTTTTATAGCTGGGGTGGTAGACATTTGATGCCAGTCTACAGACACAGGCATCTTCTCCTGACAATTTGTGCCTTTTTGTATCCCAGTCTAGCTGCTGCTTCTGTGTTTCTCTAAGCTGGTATCTGTTATTCATTGCCAGCTCAAGCATTCCTCCCGTGATCTCAAAGAAGGCTCAAGGCTCTGCCCAGTCTTCATTCTGGGATTGCTGGAATCACACAGACGAACATAGACTGCAAAGTATTCCATGTGCTTCTACACAAAGGACATTCCCTGTTATTCAGTCTACCTGAGACGTGCTACCCTAACTTGTAGATTGACAGATTAGTGGTGGCAGAGCTGAAGGAGAGGATTATTACATGAAATCGTACAAAGCTCTACAATATGTGTGCTTTTATGGCTGATGGAAAAGTGATTTATACATCTGTGTTGAAATGCGAATGTGCACAAATGTCAGTCTGGGAAACTGACATCTAAACGTGCCATAAGAAAATGCCATGTAGCTCCATGGATAAAACTATCTGGAAATAGAATAGATGGTTCCTCCCTAACATAGCCATATTCAAGCTCTTCCTCATCTCAATCTGGATTCCTCTTGTAGGAACAGACACTGCAAGCTCACACCTCCAGCCCTTTCACAGATCCCTGCACATCCTTTTGGGTTCTCACCTCTGCAGGTAAGGTCATCCTGAAGGATCCTTTCACCACGGCAAGAACAGTTCACTTCACCCATGGCTGTGAGGAAGCACAGATCCTGGCATCCTCCATTGTTTACTCTGCACAGAGAGAGCTCACCTGGGTGGAAAAGAATCAGAGCAGAAGAGAAGGAGACACACAAAAATGGGTGAGTGCAAGGGGCAGCATATGTGTAGAACAGTCTGGCCTGAGAGGCACGCAGGAACAGGTGCTCTGATCCTGTTCGTGTTACACTGGCAGAAGTCCAACTATATCCAGTGGAACTGACTGCCAAATAAATAAGCACAGACTGGCATCTTCCACCTGGCCTCTAGGGATTGTTTGAGCATTAGCATCTCCCCAATATTCAACCTTTGCAAATGCTGTATAGAATGCTCTGATCGCCACATAAGCACCATCTGTATCACGGCTGATCTCCTGTGGTTGCCATGCATAAAAGGGCCATAAAAGCTCTAGGCTGTACCAGCCTACATGGCTCTCCATCACATCCTTATTGCCACCCTGCAGCAGTGGTAGAGAGCCCTTTTTCATATTGCAAAAATGAACCCATGGCATGAAGAGCTGTGGGATGCCATTGTGAGGCTCAGCAATGTTTATGATTTATGATGGTTCAAACTAGATTCTTTACATTCAGAGGCCAGCTACCAGATATGGAGGGGTGAAATAAACAACAGTGGAAGATGGCCCCATTATGCTTTGCTTGTGCGACTTCCTGACAGGGTCTGTGTCTGCTGCTGTTGAAGATAATTACTGGGTTATTATCTCTTACATAGATTTCATGGCTGTGTGTGTCTTTGTTGCAATTATTACCTCTGTCAAAACCTGCTTTAGAAGGAAGCCTGAGTTTTGACAGGTGTCAAAACTTGATGTACCATAAATGGGGTGGCTCGCACCTAACAACCTCAAGTTTTGGGAAAGGGTGGAAAGTTGGAGGACACTGCATATTGTCAGGTCCAAACAAACAATCTCCACCCTAGGTTTTCTCCCTGATAAGGGAGGTAATCTTTCATCTGCAAAGATGCCCTCAGTGCTTCACTTATCCCTTGGGTTGTTGAGAGGATAAAATGGAAGAGAAGAGGACGACTACGTAAGCCACCTTGGGCTTCATTCAACAGGAAAGGGGTGGGATATATAAATAATTAAATATTCCACTGGCCCCCTTTTCCCACTCCAACCCTTTTCTTTATATAGCATACCTTTTCAGATTGTAAGCCACTTCAGGACCCCTTTTGGCTGTGTAGCTGGTTAAAATAAAACCTTACATAAAGCAAATCAACAAAGAAACATTGCTACATTGCACGTATACCCCACTTTTTTTTCCTTCTTGCAAGGAACTCAAGATGGCTTATATAAACCTCCTCACAACAACAGCCCTGTGAAGCAGGTTAGGCTAAGATTGTGTTCAGGCCCAAAGTTACCCAGCAAGCTTCATGGCTGAGTGGGAACTAGAATTCCCAGTTCAACATATTAACCACTATGCCACACTGGCTCTCATCAATAGATAAGGGAAGAAGGATTTCTAGTTTGGCGTCGGGACGAGGCGGCTGTGAAGAACAGAGCTCCCATTATCACGCCGGTATTTGTTCGGCAGTGAGCCGTGGGAGGCTCATCTAAGCCCTGTCGGGGCGAAGATAAGATTGTCTGAGCCTTCTTCTGGTTGGTGTGGAGCAGCAACTCCACATCTACTGGGAGAAATTCGGACATTTCTCAACCGGACAATACAGGGGAGATTTCAGCTCCCTGCAAGTCCTCGGCAGCCGGAAAATAGCTTAAAAGATTAGCTAAGAATTCATTGGACTTATTGGGTGAGCATTTTTATTTCTTATCTCTTTCATAATACTACCCGTGGAAAAGCTGCCTTTGTTGCTAATTGGCATAAAGAAGAAAGAAAAGCCCCTTTGATGGAGGGAGGAATTCCTCCCCACCCCATGGAGTTCTAAGCGGCGAATGATATGGGGGAGAGGAATTGAAGTTTGCGTGAAAGTTGAAGCTGAAGAGAAAGACCTTGTTTTTCTGAACTCCCCAAGGGCGAAGAATCAAAATAATTACTATTGTGGAATTAAGTGATAGAAGGATATAATTTGTCTGTGGAGTGGCCATTTTGGCCATCTTTCTTTTTTTTTCTGGGACTTGCCAAAAGCAACTGGACGCTTGCCAAAACTACTGAACAGTGACTTAGAAGAAAAAACTGCTGTGATGACGTTTTTTAAAATAGCCCTTTGCTGCCATCCTGTGGCTATCGTAATTACTGCAAGTTCTTTTCCTTTTTTCTTTTTCTTTCTTTTCTCTTCTCTATCTCTTTGCTGTTCCATTGAAATTTTTTTGGTGAATAACTTTCATCATAAGAAAAATTCAGCCTTCCTCTTCTTCGGCACCCTCATCAGCTGCCCAGAGCCCAACCCATCAGCCTAAAACAGAAGATGTTACAAACGACGACTCTGGCGATACAGACGTCTTTAACAGCTTTGCAAGCATCCCAAGAGACGATGGCAATATGACTGGAAAGTATTTCAAATGAGCAAAAAGAACGGCTTGACAAATTGGATAATTCTATTAAAGATGTGTCAACTCAATTATCTGACGTTTGACTTAAAGCTGAACAGAACACACAAAAAATACAACAAACACATGAAAAGCTGAAGTCGGTAGATAAAGAAACACAACTAATTAAGCAAACAAATAAGTATCTATGGGATTCAATGGCTGTATTAGAGATGGAGAAGGCATCTTACTACCTAAGATTTCAGAATATACCTGAAGGAAAGAATGAAGATCTGTGAGAGCTAATGACTGGCATATTGGCAGAGCTTTTAGAAATTGAAAATGAAGAAATGGCCGTGGGAATTGATTTGATTTATGGAGTCAACTCGACTTATGTCAGAAAAAACAAACTTCCAAGGGAAGTTCATGTCAAATTTGCTCTAAGGTCCATAAGAGACCATGTTTTGAAGGCTGCATGTGAGAAACCTTTAAAGATGGATGATTGCCATGAGGTGACAGTTCTGAAGCAAATATCATGGAGGATCAGAGAAGGACAAAAGAAATACTTATTCCTTACTACAGAATTGATTAAGAAAGAGATTGCCTTTAAGTGGCTAACACCAGAAGGAATATTCTTCACTTGGAACTCTACAAGATATAAATTGGATTTAATTTTTAAAGCACAAGAGTTCTATGAAAAATTTAGAGGTATGCTTGAAGAGGAAGAACCTGGTGCTTCAAAAGAAGGAGAAAAAGGTGCTGAATCAATGGAAGTAACAGGGTATCATTCTGAGGAAGGAGAAATAGTGAACGCTGATCCACAACAAGAAGTACCCAACAACAAGATTTTAGACCCAAAGGAGAGGAAAAATGGTAGAAGCGTAAATGCGAAGAATAAGTAGATAAGTATATATTTTTTTAAATATGGCTTTTAAAAGGGAAGGGAAAATCGAATTGATCTCCTTAAAGGTTAATGGACTGAATGGACCTTCTAAGAGAAGAAGGATCTTCGCTCAACTTCAAAAACGAAAATTAGATATACTTTGTTTACAAGAAACACATATTAAGAAACAACATGTTAAATGTTTGGAATGTTCAAAGCCTGGAAAATTGTTTGTATCTTCTGCTTTTCAAAAGGAAAGAGGTTTAGCACTATATATTAAGGAAAAACTGGACCCTAAATATATTCTTGCTGATGAGGACGGTAGGATCCTGATGGTCGAAATTACAATGAAATTCAAAAAGGTGCTTTTAGTGGCAATATACGCACCAAATGACCATCAGGAAATTTTTTACCAAAAATTGCATACTTTACTTTTACAAGTGGACTACCAGACTGTGTGTGTAATGGGAGATTTCAATGCAATTGTGGACAAGAAAATGGATCATAAGAGAGAGATTAAGGGGAAAAAGGGTAGGAGGATACTCCCAAAGTCTTGTTCTAACATGGTTGAAGAACTCAGATTGATAGATGCTTGGAGGCATAAAAATCCAACCTCTGCCAAATATTCTTCTTACTCAAACAGACATAGGTCATGGTCCAGAACTGATATGGTTTGGATAACTCCAGACTTAGTACCAGACTTGACAGAAGCTGAAATAGAGGCAAATGTCTGGGCAGATCACAACCCTGTATCTATATCATTGAAAGGAACTGTAAGGACACCCAGATGGAGCCTAGACAAAGCACTATTAAAAGATAAAAAATTTACAGAAGAGATAAAGAAAGAAATGCAAGTATTCGTTCAAATAAACAAAGCGGAAGAAACTTCTTTACAAAATGTCTGGGATACAGCTAAAGCCTATATCAGGGGATTGATAATAACATACTCAGCAAAAATAAAGAAAAAGAAAAAGCAAGAACGAGCAACAATAGTAGAGGAACTGATGAAACGGGAACAAGAACTGCAGGAAGATCCATCCAAAAAAATTCTTAAGGTCCAAATGAATATTTTAAAGCATAAATTGAATCTCTTGGACACAAATGAACTTACTAAGCAAATGAAACTGGTCAAACAGAATTTCTTTGAAAATGCTAATAAACCGGGGAGATGGTTAGCCTATAAAGTAAAGAAAGAGAGAGAGAAGAGACTGCTTTCGAAACTGAAGGATGGAGAAGGACAACTACAAGTACAAAGTATACAAATTAAGAAAATAGCAGAAGATTTTTTCACAAAGTTATACCAGAAGGATGAGATTTCAACTGAGAAAGTAAAAGAATACATCCGAAATGGAAGTCTACCTAAACTACCGGAGAAATATCAAAAATTATTGAACCAAGAAGTAACAACTATGGAAGTCATAGAGGCAATTATGCGGCAAAAGAATGATAAAACTCCTGGCCCAGATGGGCTGCCAGATGAATTTTATAAATCCTTTGAAGGAGTTTTTGCTACATTTCTTAAAGAAATATGCAATGAAGCACTGTTAAATGCTAAAATACCAAATACTTGGACAGAGGCAAATATTACACTACCAAAAGAAGATATGCATTTAATACAGATTCAAAACTACAGACCTATATCATTATTAAATGTGGATTACAAAATTTTTGCCTCTATAATGGCAGAAAGGTTAAAGAAGTTTTTAATAGATTTTATTCACCCAGACCAAAATGGCTTTTTGCCCAAAAGACAAATGAAGAATAATCTGAGAACTATCTTGGATATCCTAGAGTATTATGAGATACACATGGAAAAACCAATGACTTTACTGTTTATGGATGCCCAGAAAGCCTTTGATAATGTTAATTGGCAATTTATGAAGCAACAGATGGCTCAAATGGAGTCTGGTGAAAAGTTTATGAAAGCGATATCAAGCATTTATCAAAGACAGTTGGCCAGGATTTTAATTAATGGAGAACTTACAAGGACTATAGAGATACAAAAGGGTACAAGACAAGGATGCCCGTTGTCACCCCTGTTGTTTATTCTGATTTTAGAGGTGTTGAATAGAAATATCAGGGATGACGCGGACATTAAGGGTCCTAGAATTAGGGATGAAAGTTATAAATTGCAAGCATTTGCAGATGATTTAGTTTTCATAACGGAGGAACACTTTGTAACAATGCCTAAACTCCTACAACGGATTGAAGAATATGGTGAGGTTACGGGGATGAAAATAAATAAAGAAAAAACGAAATGGTTAGTTAAAAATCTCACACAAGACCAGAAAAAAAGGCTGCAGGAACAAGTAGACTTGCAGATTGTTAAAAAGGTTAAGTATTTGGGAATCTGTCTTACAGCCAAGCGTACTACTTTGAAAGAAGACAATTACAATGAACTATTGAAGGATATTAAGGGCGATCTGGAAAAATGGGCCAATTTGCAATTATCTTTGATGGGAAGAACAGCACTTGTTAAAATGAATATACTACCAAAGCTTTTGTTTCTGTTTCAAATGATTCCCGTAAAAATTGATAAATTTTTTTTGATGATTTAAACTTTCAAATTTCAAGATTTATTTGGAGAAAGAAGAAACCAAGGATTAAATTAAAAATACTTCAGGAAGCTAAAAAGAATGGTGGTTTTGGTCTTCCTGATTGGGTGTTGTATTTTCAAGCGTCTGTTTTAACTTGGCTAAAAGAATGGATAACTTTAAGAAATAAGAGAATTTTGTATCTTGAAGGTCATCATTTGCATGCTTATATGTGGTATGAGAAGGCTAAGACACATGGGTCTTTTTTAAGTCACTTTATTAGAAGATCATTAATGTCGGTGTGGGAAAAGTTAAAGCTAAAATTGTATAATAAACTACCAAAATGGCTTTCACCTATGGAAGCTTTTGTTTATCCAAATGCATTGAACTTTGAAGGGATCATAAGATATGATGATATTTTGGATAAGGATGGAGGCCTGAAATTAGATCAAGAAACACAAAAACAGGGATTTAATATCTCTTGGTGGCATAAGGTGCACATGCAATCGAGATATGCTAAAGACTGTAAAGCATGGGGGTTTTATAAGGACTTAACAGCGTTTGATCAAGTGATGCTTAAATCAGATGAGAAAATGATTAAAAGATTATATGATTTCTTACTTGACAGGAAAATGGAAGATGAACAGGTTAAGGAAACTATGATAACATGGGCACAAAATTTTGGATATAATATTGAATTAGAAAAGTGGCAAAAGCTGTGGGAGAGAAATATTAAGGTAACATTAGCAATTTTGTATAAAGAAAACTTATATAAAATGTTTTATAGATGGTATCTATCACCAAACCGATTAGCTAAGATGTTTCCAAATATGTCAAACAGATGCTGGAAATGTAAACATAAATTGGGTACTTTTTACCATATGTGGTGGACTTGTGACAATGTGAAAAAGTATTGGATTAAAATACATAAATGGCTTGAGGAAATGTTACAAAAACCCTTAGCTTTTAAACCTGAAGTTTTTTTATTAGGCATTATACCGGAAGATATTAGTAAACAAGAAATGTATTTGATGTTACATGTAATCACCACGGCGAGGATTGCATTTGCTCAACACTGGAAAAGTGAGGAATTACCCACCGATGAACTGATTCTAAAAAGATTCTGGACTGCGCAGAAATGGATAGACTGACTTTATCACTGAAGGAGAAAGAAGATACTGACTTCTATCAAACTTGGGATTTCTTTTATTATTGGCTAGAGAAACGGGACTTAGCTTAGATTTAAAGATGTTTTTAAGTTATTATAAATGGATTTGAATATGACTATAGAATGTTAAAAAATATGAGTAGGGGGCTGACGCAGTACGTCCCATGTATTTGATGATTGATGCCTTTAGTGTTAGTTTAAAAATCTTAATAAAATTAAAAACAAAATAGATAAGGGAAGAATAGTTCTCCTAAGGACCAGCAAGAAGGGAAGAACCACTTTTCCTAAGGAATCACTGAATGGATGTGGCCATTAATGAACCTGCAAGGGTACAGGAAACCTAAGCCATGCCCCTCCTAAATGGCAGAACAATCACTACTAGAGTCCCTCTCCCTGTGTGCCCCCAAAGGACAAGAGGTTCTCCTTACAGCTGTTGGTGTCGTTGGCCACAGCAATGATGCCCATGGGTTGCTGGGGGATGTCAATGCGCAGATGCTTCATGCCAGAGCCCACATATTTGTTGGCCCGCTGCACAGCGCGACGCACCCAGTCTGTCCAGAAGATGTAGTCACCATAAACAGCCAGGCCAAACGGGTGCACTGGCTCTGCCTTCAGGATCACCTGTTGGATATTGTCAGAGCATTATTGTGGGGAGAAGGGAGTCCATCACTCTACTGACTGAGCTCTCCCTGAGCACTCACAACAAGGTGCCTTCAAGTGCACCTTTCAGTTTCAGCCAAACAAGGGCATTCATGTGGTCTCCTATCCACAGCAGCAGATTGGTTCAAAACGTTCTGTACACTCTGGCCCTTTGTCCAAGCAACTGAGTTTCTTTCATTTCTTCCTAACTGTTCAGAAAGGTAGCAACCCATCCCAGACCACCGGTGTGGGGGAACTGCGGCCTAGAAAATGTTGTGGACCTCAGCTCCTGCCAGTCAAGGCCAGCAAGGGCAAAGGTCACAGATAAAGAGAGGTAGTGGCCAACAACATCGGGAGGGCCACAGCCTCTCCCCACTTTGTTGGTAGCTTTCTCCATGCTCATCCAGGAACAGAACTGTCCTACCAAGACAGAAACTCACAAATATTGGTGCAGCCACAGAGTGAAATGGTCCCTATTTGTTTTTCAATTTGTACCAATTGCAGGACCAGCCACACTGACTTACTATCTCTCTCTGTGTTGCAGTCTTTCATAAATATAAATTATATATATATTTCTGCCCAATGAAATCCAATGTCACACAAATGGACTTGCTCTTGGGCAATGGGACTTTCGCCACTTTTCGTCCACCACAGCAGCTCCTTGAGACTTTTGTTGTCTGCTGAAGTCAATGAAAACTCTGTTTTATGGACTGCAAACCAAGGACTGTTTACTGGAGAGCTGCCAGTGATTTGAGAGAGGCATCACTTCCCATAGTTTGTATACATGTTTCTTTTGCCCCACTGCACAGTACGTGGGCAATACTCTCTCCTTCAAGTAGCCTTCACACCTAAAAATTAATTGCCAGTCTCCAGCCAAAGAGACTGAAGAAAGCAGGTGGGGGAGGCAGAGAACCTTCCGTAAAACTTTTCTGTTCTCCAATCAGCTCAACAGAACAAGTTCCTGCCACCTTCCACATCTTTGAGCAATGACCTGCTCCACACCATGGTCCAAAGGCCATTCATGTTTGAGGTTTTCAAGCATCTCCTCTGGCCAGACTACCCTGGGAAGGAGCCCTGCTGATTCATCTGTAGGACTTACATATCGCTTGGAGCCATCATATTCACATCGCTCGATCTTATCCAGCGTGGCATCGGAGAAGTAGATCTTCTCTGCTTTGTGATCAATGGCCAGTCCATTGGGGGTGCGGATGTCTTTGTCGATGATGGTGATCATGTTGACACCTGACAGTGTAGCCCGCATGATGCTGGGGTGCTGCTCATTCCAGTTGGTCCAAAACATCAGGCTGAAGAAAACAGGAAAAGGGATGATCAGGGAAGCAAAGTGTATATGACTTGAGCAAGCTTTAAATTACTGTCTGCCCTGACCTCACAAACTTGCTTTTCACAGTTATTTGGCTGGAAAATTATGCAAAGTGAGTGGGCAAGACTATTCCAGAAGATTTCTAAGTCTCATGGTCTGCAAGGCTCCAGGTCTGCCTGGACACGCCATTCAGAGTATATCCACCAGGGTTACGTTGCACACTTTAAGAGAGACACTGCCCCAGCAGGAGGTGGGGTGGGGCTACCTTTGAAAAGTGGCCCAAATCTACTGCTGCTTCATGGTGTGGCCACTATGCTCTTGAAGTGTGCTTGCCACAAGGCCTTCACTGACTTCCAGCCCAAAGAGCCATTTGCTATTCTAAAGAGGGCTTGCTTTTTAAGCTGTCCAGGGCACACTGGAACCTACTTCTGGCACTCATCCAACACGAAGGCTCGTGGATGGTCATCCCCAGACATGGTGATGACGGTATCTCTGTCAAAAGCTCCCTCACGGGTCTGATTGACAGTATGCCGAGTAATGGTGGATGTGGTGTAGCTTGTCCAGTACAAGGTGTCCCAGCCGCGGTGGTAGGCCAGCCCCTCAACTGAGCCAACATCTGTTGAGAATAAAGCATGGTGTGACATTAGCAAAATATTTGTTCCATTACACAACCTGTTTCCCTGCAGGCTTTAGTGACTGCACATCAAGACCTCCTAGCTTGTCAAGGAATCAGCCCCAAGTCCTGCTGTTCTGCCAGCAATAGTTTAAGCACAGCTATTGTGTCTCTTTGGCTCCAACCTCCTCCTACCTCATCTTGCCAAAAACTGGAAAAAGAATCACCAGTGTTTAGCAAATTTTTCTGGGGTTGAGGCTGGTGGGAGGAGCAGAAATGGGCTGGTGATGGCATGGGTGGCAGTGAAACAGTACCCTCCAATGCCAGCTTTTCCCTGGTGTGATTGTTCTACCCCTGAAAACATGCAGAATTGGTTTTTCAGAGCTTAGAGCAGGAAAGAAAAATACAGATAATGAACTGGCCCCATTGATCTGAAAGTGTTATCAGTGCAACATAGGCAAAAATCAGCATTCATGTGCCTATTTTCACCACCCACCATCTTCCAGTGTGGCTTTATCTTGCAGCCTAGAAGCAAGTGTCTGACTGCAAATATCACGGCTGTGTTTTTATTTCTGACAATGTGCCTAATAAACTAGTAGCCATAAACAAAACTTTACTAATTGTCTTTATTGATTTGGACACTAGCCACGGTCACTTTCAACAGGAGTAAATTATTACCTTTGTCTGAAAAATTGATTATTTTAAATGTCTGCAATTAAAAAAAACATCTTGAGTTCTTTCAGAAATGCTTTTTAATTGATCACCTGAAGCTGGATCAAATCAAGAATATTTTTCTTCTTCTAGCATATGCCTTTGGTACTTGAAAATTGCCCAAAGGGAATGGAACTTGATAGTCTTTAGTTCCTTGCTCTGACATAAGCTTTCTGTGTAATTCTGGCCAAGGTCAATTTGGGGAGAACCATGCTGCTTCAGCACACTGTCTCTGCACCCTGGCCAAGCTCAGTGAGTTACTCTGCCCTGGCCTCTATCCCTCTTCACCTTATATGCATGGCATTCAGCAAGAGGAGCTGATTCATGTCCTTTCAGACCATAGCCCTGGCCCCAGTTAGCGTGCTGGTAACCCCCCCCCCCCACAAAAAAAACCCCAACAAAAAATGGATAACACAAAGCTTTTGTCTAGACCGGCAATTTACTGAAGCAGGAACTTCCACTGGCCAGAACCCAATGTGTCAGCCATTGCAAACGATGCCTAGGTATGTGGGCAAATGGCTTTTATCCAAGTTATCTCCTCATGCCACGTGTATTGAAGCACTTTCAGCACAGGGGTCAGATTCAGTCCTGGAGAAGCTACCATCCCAGCACTGGGCAGGATCAAATGCAAAGGGGCAGGACCAAAAGACCATCATATTGTGGCTTGAAGCTCCCGCAGCCCTTAGCCTTTGAGAATGGGAACAAAACAACATAAATGCTGGGAAACTGCCCAACAATCATCATTTGTGGAGGAAGAGGGCATGCTCGTGCAGGAAAATCCAATGGGGCAGATGTGGACTCCAAGGGGAATGGGGTTTGTCTGGTGGACCTGAGGTTCAACACCCCTGCCCTATCCCAAACTAAGGAGTGACACCACAAGATCTTTCAGTCAATTTACACCAAGACTGTCCTTAATAGCAGGCAATTCCCAAAGAGCAGGAAGCTCCCTGCTGTCCCCAGCATCATCTGGATCAGGAGAACCTACCAGCTTCCTTAATACCTAGCAGAAAGCACAGGAGCTCAGCCTTCAACTGGACTGACTGGCCGAAAGTGCAGAAGCAGCAAACGTATGCACAAGCCACTTGGCATCAATCCATCTGAGCCTGCCTGCATTTGTGCATCTCCACCCCCTCAAAGTTAATAAACAGAAGGGAACTAATTTGCTCATCTCCAAATGAAATGGTGCACCCTGCTGGCATGCCCCAAGCCAGTGTTTGAAGAGTGAATGAGGCATGCAGGGTGCGGGTCTGATTGCCTTCCCTGCCAAGAGAGAGAGAGAGAGTTGGGGGTGGGGGAGAAGAGGACTGCTCACCCACACATATTAGCAATGCAAACAGGAACACAAGCAGCAATGCCCTGGAGCTTTAGTAGAGTTTTAAGTCTCATTAAACCCACTGCTGTGTAATATTCATTTATATACACAACTTAAGATGCGAGACAAGAAGGGGAGAAGAGTTGAGAGACTCATTACTGCCGCTAACATGCAGCACTATGAGATGTTTCCCACCATCCCTGCCCGCTGCAGGTGCCTGGAGGAGACGTGATGGATGCGGCTTCAAGCACCACCCAATTTCCAGTCTCACAAAGATGCTCTGCCTCTCTGTCTCTTGAACAACCTCGAAAGGAGGGCATACAGAGCGGGCTGCCCATGTTCTCCAAAAAGGTGAGCCTGGCTGATATGAGCTCACTATGGCTAGTGACTGAAAGGCACTGAGAACACCATCAATAGATGGGAGAGAATACCTCGGGGATGTCTGAGTGTTCACCTTTAAATAGGCACTAATCTTGAAGTGGGAAGTGCCCAAGAATGGATGGATGAAGTTACCTAACATCTTGGCCAAATCAGGCAAGGGCCCATACAAGCTGCTGATGTAATACCTTTTTCAACTGGACTGGCTCAATCCCATTTTAACTATCGCAGCAAGCTGCAATCAGGGGTGGCCATCCTGCAGCACTGCGGCTAGTTCATCCACTCTGCAGGCTGGAAAGGTAACCATACCAAGGCACAACTGAGCCATGCATCCTAGTGAGGACACAAGTTGGGCATGGCCTCACATTTAGCATTCTTCCAGCTATTCTGGTTTGCTTATTCATTATATTTTTAATCTGTCCAAGAACTTTGTTCTTTGGGTGGATTATAAACAGTTGAAAATCTAATTCTTATTATTATTACACTGCATTTATATCCTGCCTTCTGGGGAACCCAAGGCAGCTTCTAGTTTGTCCTCATCACAACAACCCTGTGAGATAGGTTGAGGCTGAGCTGCGAGTCTGTTACTGGCCCAAAGTAACCTAGTGAGCTTCATGGCTAAGCAGTGTTAGGAAAGGAAGGGATAGTTACTCTTGGTGTGTTTCCCAGGGCCAGGGTGCCACCAACTCTTTGGATAAGGACTGTGTGGGCTGAAAAACAATATCTGTGGACATAGAGATAGCAGAGGAGGGAGAGCTCATCTCAAGGTTGCCACTACTGGCCCCAGGTGTTCAGGCAACCTTGGGAACAGCCAGGGTTCAGAAGTGCAGGGAGGGGACATGGGAGAGGAGTGGGAGGAGCCCAGTTGGGGGTCCTGACCACATGATGTGGCATTGGGAGAAAAGAACTACCCAATTAGAGGAGTTGCATAGATCTAGGAGGCTAGTCCTTCTCCAGAGGGGGTCACCCAGGGTTACTGAAAAGGAGGGTTTTCAGATGCAGTTTCTTGTTTGGATTCAGCAAATCACTCTGTTTATGCACAGGGACTCCTTTTCAGGTGGCTACAGTTTGCTGGCTGTATATAGGAAATAAAGAGCTCTTATGTAAAAAGACTGTCTGTGGTTTAAAAGGAATAAGCTGGAAATCCAATTCCTGACAAGCAAGGACTAGAACCCAAACCTCCCAGGTCCTCAGTTCAACACTCTAGCACCAAAACTCATTATCTGAAAGAATAAAATACAATTCAATATGAAAACCCAAGGTAATTTCTAGCCATGTTCTTAAAAACAGCAGCCTGTTATACTGACAGACAGGAGAGAAATATGCACCTTGCTCCTAATACTAACAGAACAGCTTTTCACAAGGCAGGATGTAGCTAGAACATAATGCTGTTCTCACTGTCTGAGCTCCAAATTCTTTTGCATGGACACAGTTGGGGCATAAAATAAGGTGTCCTACATAGTCAGTGACTTTCTCAATTAACGCTGTGATTAAAGCCACAATTTGCAGGCCAGAGTCTAGCATGCTAAACATGAGTCTGCTTCCTCCCACCGATACAACCTGTCTCTGGAGAAAATTGTCTATCCTCAAGCAATTAAGCCTAGAACAGCCACAAACATGTTATTGCAAAGTGTGAACACGTTCATTAAAAGGCTTATGATTCCTAATGGATAGCTGCCTGTGTGATCTGACTCTGTTAACAGCTGTAGGAGGGACCCAGGAAAGCTAATCAAGAGGCTAGAGCCAGGAATGACTGCTTACAGAGATATTTAGAATTTTATGATAATTTCATCTTCTAAATTAAAAGGTAACCATGGAAAAGAGGCTGCATTTTGCTGAGGTACATCTTTGCCTTGAAAATGGCACATATGGGGACTTGTGTGCCTCAAAGGCTTCTTCCCAAGAAATTTACTGGCTATCTGCCCAGACTTGTTCTGAAAGTCACTTTGTATAAAACAAAGAGTCCTGGGGCTCTTTAAAGACCAACCCCTTTATTGTGGCTTAAGCTTTTGACACCGTGTCCCAAAAAAGCGTACATAACAATAACTCTATTACCCTTTAAGGTGTCACAGGATTCTTTGCTACTTGCCATTACTCCTACACTGAAAGAATTTGCATAGAGAAGCTTTCCATGATACGTAACCACATAAAGCATCATCCAAATAAAAGAGGATAAATCCAGATTTGTCTCCCCTGCTGTTTAGACAATGACTTGATCTCTACGTTCCTCTGTTCACATAAGGAAAAGATAATTTCCTATTAGCTCCCCCTTACCTGCATCCAGCCTCCACATTCCTCAGGAACTACCCAGCCCTTGGGGTGGATTTTTAGATTTTTTAGATGGGGCTGCAAAAGGGGTGGTGTAGAAACCTTTTCTGTGAACCTGAATTAGTTCTGTTTATACAGGGCCGGCTAAGATCCAAACCATTATCTTAACATTGGAAAATAGAAACACAGAAACAGAGCGAGTCAGAAGGGGCCTCCCGGGCCATCTATTCTAACTCCCGGCTCCAGCCAGCTCCACTCACGACATGCCCACCATGTGCACATCCAGCCTATCTTTGAACACCCAATGGGGCCTCAATGACCTCTCGTGGAAGCCCATTCCACACCCTCGGGATCCTGACTGTCAGGAAGTGCTTCCTGGCATCCAAATGGAACCTTGGCTCCCTGAGCTTTGCTCCGTTGGAGCGCATTCTGCCTTCCTCTGCAGGGGAGAACAGGTCTCTACCCATCTCCGTGTGACATCCCCTCAAATACCTGTATGTCGCCAACATATCCCCCCTGAGTCTCCTCTTCTCCAGGCTGAAGAGACCCAGTTCCCTCAGTCTTGCCTCATCCCCCATCCCCTGCAAACTGTACACTGCACTGACTCTAACCTGGCTATATCCTTTCTGTAATGAGGGGCCCAGAACTGAGCACAATACTCCAGTTGCGGGTGCACCAGAGTCGCACAGAGCGGTAGCAACATCTCTCTCGATCTAGAAGCCACACCTCCATGCAACCAAGTGTGGCGTTTGCCTTCTTGGGCATTGCATCACACCGCTGTCTCACGTTTAGCCTGCAGTCAACCAGCACCCTGAGGTCCCCTTCACAAGTGCTGCTCTCCAGCCACCTGTCCCCCAACCTGTACTTATGACAGCTATTCCTATGCCCCAAGTGCAACACCTTGCACTTATCCACAGTGAACACCATCCTGTTGTCTCCTGCCCACTTCCACAGTCTGTCCAGATCTGGAGTACCTGCTCCTCAGTTGTGGCCACTGATCCAGTTTTAGTATTGTCTGCGAATTTGATCAGCAGACTGTTCACCCCTTCTTCCATGTCATTTATGAAAAGATTAAATAGGATCGGCTCCAGGACAGAGTTCTGGGGGACCCCGCTTTTCACTGGCCACCATCCCGATGATTCCCCACTAATGGTTACCCTCTGCTTTCGGTCAGTCAACCATGCCCTAATCCACCGGACGGTACTTTGGTGTATCCCAAAACTCCTCAGTTTCTCCATCAGGATATCATGGGGCACTTTGTCAAAGGCCTTGCTGAAATCCAGGTATACCACATCCACTGCATCCCCTCCACCTAGCCATCTCAAAACCTTGTCATAGAATTCCACAAGGTTTATCTGGCAGGACCTGTTTTTGCGGAAGCCGTGTTGTGCAGCTGTCAGCCTCCCTTCCCTATCTAGCATCACTAGATCTCTCTCTATTATGAGCTTTTCCATTGTTTTTCCTACAATGGTTGTAAGGCTAACCAGTCTATAATTCCCCATGTCCTTTCTACTACGCTTTTTGAAAATTGGGACCACTGACGCCACCCTCCAGTCCTCTGGAACTTCACCTGTTCTCCACGAGGTCTCAAAAATGGAGGCCAGCAGGTGTGAGAGAACCCCTGCCAACTCTCTAAGTACTCTCGGTTGTAACCCATTGGGGCCTGGCGCCTTTGTAATGTCCAGCGCCCTGAGGAGTTCCTCAACTTCTAGGGGGGGTGACTCTAATCTCTGCTCCTAAATCCCTGGCCTCATCTAATCTCCTATGCAGATCTTCCCCGTCCTGCTTTGGGGAGAACACAGAGGCAAAATAGTCGTTTAGCATCTGTGCCTGTTCCCTCATATCAGTCACTGGATCTCCTTCCTCCTTATTTAGTGGTCCCACCACTTGTTTCCCCTTCCTCTTCCTATTTACATGCTGAAAGAAGCCCTTTTTGTTGCTCTTGATATTCTTGACAAGTGTCAGCTCGTAATCAGCGGTAGCCTTGTGAAGAATCCTTCTGCAACAGGCCTCCTCCTCCCAGTATACCCTTTTGTCTATTTCCCCCAGTACCCATTTCCTATGGAGGTTCCTCTTTCATCTAATCCCTCTAACCACCTCCTTTTGCATCCGTGGCGGCACTCCCCGTGCCCCTCTTGGGGCCACAGCCTCCCTCACCTTACTAACTAGAGGTATCGTCAAGGTTTGCGCCTCCAAAACCTCCCTTTTGAGTGCCATCCACCCCTCCTCAACTCGCTTACCTTCCAGTAACCTATCCCAGGAGACGTTCCCCAGTCGGGCCTTCATTTGGCCAAAGTTGGCCCTTTTGAAGTCCCAGCTTCTAGTGCTCGACCTGCTGCATGTCCCCAGTCACCTGATCTCAAAGCAAAGGATGGAGTGATCACTCGCATCCAGAGCTCCCCTAATCTGTACTGCATCTATCAGCTCCTCTCTATTGGTCTTTCCCTTCCTGTCCTTTCTAGAAAGATGATATCCCTCTATGTTCACATTCCAGTCTTGCCTTTCATCCCACCAAGTTTCTGTGATTCCCACCAGGTCATACCCTCCTATTCCCAGGACAGCTTCAAGCTCTTCCTGCTTATTACCCATGCTCTTAGCACTGGTGTACATGCACCTCAACTCCTTCCCACCGCTTCCTTTCCTTCGAGTTCCCAGCCTCCTCCTTCCTCCCATCCTCCCTGATACCTGGCCCCTCTCTGAAGGAGTCCTGTCAGTCCCTGCAAAGAAATTCCAATTGCTTTTATTATTAGGTCAGCATCTGTTCTGAGGAACTAAACTCTGCAAGAGATAAGGAGCTGCTGCCACCCTGTGACATCCATTGGAATGGGACGCTGTGCATTTCCAGGCTCCAGCCAATGATGAGAGCTACAGATGGGGAGATGCAGAGCAAAATGAAGTCATGTCATATAGGCCTTACCAGAAAGAGGGATGGGAGAAAGCAGCTCAGCATCTCTTGGAATGCCAAGATCTGCCCAGAAAGAATCTAACATGTCCGTGCTATCCTGGTGTTTTGACCACTCTTCCGAGGGGGATTGCTCTTGATGATCAATTGCTGAATAATTTCTGTTCCACCCCCACTGGAGAAATCTTCCTCAGAGGAAGAGCTAGAGCTCCAAGAAACCAGGAGCACACCAAATCAGTCACTGTCATCAGACCAGGAGGAGCCTGGGCCCTTGGTGGAGTTGGCTGTCAGGGGGAGGGCTCTCTGCCACTGAGGCAGGGCTGAACAAACCCTGACCCGCAAGATCAAGTGGCAGGCCAGGAGGGCTCCCATGAGAAGGAGAGCCTTGCAAAAAATGACACCTCACAAGATCATGACTCCAGAGAGTTCTAATGTGCTTGAGTTGAGCCCTGGATGGGGCCCAGCAGGCTCTGGCAATAAGAGCCTTTCATGTCTCCTTAACCAGTGCTGGAAACAAAGCTCTTCTTTTGGTGCCAGTGTCTCCTACCATCTTCCTAGATCTTGCCTGTGATCTTGCATCTGGCCTTGTTTGACTTTACTTCTGGACTGCCTAAGGCTTTGACCTGTGCCTGCTATCTCAGCCTTAGCCTGATTCCCACAGGACCTTGTGCTCAACATTTGCCTGCTTGTTATCTTGCTTTTCAGATAGCCCGTTTCCTGAACTGTCTTCTTTGACCAGAGGAGGGCAATTTCCTTACGTGTGGGAAAACAGAACCAAGAAAAGGCCACATGTCCTGTGCTCTCAAAATTATTTGCATAGTCTGTACCCTTTAACAAATACACACTTTTAAAAAGTATTTTTCATATTGGCAAAGGGATCAGAAAACTGGACTGAAAGCGGGTGCTTACAGCACCTTCCCAAGGTAGTACTCAAGCTTTCAAGAAGATAGAAAACAGAAGAAACTCCAATCAAAGTTCTGGGGAAAGAAGGGAGAATCTATGGAAATGATGGCTTTGTCTAGCTAATCCAAAATCATTGTCTTTTGTTGGTAAAAGATACTGACTGAAGGAAACAGAACACTATTTCACATTTGGAACAAACTGCAAACCTATACACTTCCACATTAACCCAAGGATTATATTGTACAAACATGCATACCCACATATATGTGGTGCACTGATCACTAAGGCACTGTTACTAAAGCAATGATACAGAAAATCTGGAATGTGCTGACAGATTTTGGCCCCTGAAATTCATGTTTCCTTCCAAGCTGAATCAATGGAGCTATTCAGCTCTTTCTGCTGCTATTCCAGGATCTCTGGACTCAGGAATTCTCTCACCCTATGGCTGATCTGTCTCACTGGCCTTCTAGCTCAGCCAACCTCAATCTGGAAGAAACTGCAGTCAAAACAGCACCAGTGGACTGAAAGTGGACATAAACTGTATCTGTATTAAAAGAGGCAATAGCAAAGCCCTGCTCCTAAATTCAAGGGAGCATCTACCTCAGGGGTTCAGAATTTCAGGTCTCGGGGTAAACGCACCCCCAGGGAGTCCCAGTGGCTCTGCCTCTTTCCTGTGGCCATCCTTTTCCCCAGTCGCCAATTGTTCAGTGGTTTCCCAGCATTTTTGCAGTTTTCCCCCATTCAAAAAGGTTGAAATGTCTTTCCTAAGGCTTAGTTCCCAGCAGTAATAATTTTCAGCACAAACAGGCTGGCATTTTTGGCCCTGCCCCTTTTGACTTTGGTCCCAGCCACCACCTCAAGAGCTTCTCCAAAATGAAAATGCAGCCCTCAGGCTTAAAGAGGCTATGCACCCGATCCATCCACATCAGGATACCTTCCACCACTGCAGAAAAATCCAGTAAATTTCTGCTCATGGCCAACTCCACTAAAGGACCTGACACCAAATTCCAGAACCCTGCAATGCTTCTCCAGATGTGCTGAAGGACAGATTCTAATAAGCCCAAGCCACCTGAATCCTAAAGCAATGGAAATCAAGATGGTTTGTCCTGTTCTTTGAGTTGCTCTGTTTGCAGCCACACATGTGAGGCCAAAAGGCATGAAGAACCTTCTAGAGCCACCAAAGTCAGGTCGTTCTATTGTACACATTCCCCAGAGGAAACAGGGAAGGAAGGGTGGGAAGCAGTGCTCCAAGTACGCACTCTCAACTATGGTCCGCCGTCCACTTCCATCGTCATTGATCTGCTGGATGTTGCCAAAGTGAATGTCACTGTAGAAGATGCGGTTGCTGCCCTTGCTGCCGTGTCGGTAGTCAAAAGCCAAGGCAATGACGTTTTTCATGTGCTCCCCATCCTCAAAGGGCTTGATCGGTGCATTAAGGTTGTTCTCATCTGATAAGTGGATGCTTTTGAGAATGGTGCGTTCCGAATAGAGCAGGTACCCATCATAGTCTCGGCAGCTCACACTATCCTCAGACAGCATGCCGTGGGCGCACGCACAGGTCCGCTGGCCTTCTCCTCGGTACAGGCACAGTTGCTGACACCCACCATTGTTCTGAGCACACACGTTGGTACCTGGACAGGGAGGTGAGGGTGGGAGCAGCAGTTAGCATAGCTCGGCCTGCCCCTGGCAGCACGGCTTACCTAACCCCAAAGGAGAGAGATGTCTCTGTTGCAGGTGGCAAATTCCACTCTCCTCTCCCAACATCTGCCCCGGTAGTGCGTGACATACAGGGCAGCTCTTTTACCTACCCTTTTGCCTGGCTCTGTTGAACACCTTGATGTCCTTCAGCTGCACTCCTATTCCTGTACGCAGGAATACAATTTCTGAAGCATTGTCCTTGTTGCCCCTCTTAATGGATCCATTTGCGTGAGTCCTAGAAAGAAGCATGATGTGAGCATGGCCAGATGCAAAGAGGAAGTGAGAGCCCACAGCCTGAGATGCCAATCTGTCACACATGAACACTCTTGAATTGTGCGTGTCTCTGAACACACACACACACACATGACCTTGCATATAAATATTATCTAGGCACACATTTCTCCCCAGCCACATGTACAAACATATATCCAAACGCTCAGCAGTGCTTGAGTATTAGGCATGTCAGCACTCATGGATGCAGCCCTTTCAAAAGACTGGACAAATATTCAAATACATAAATAGGGCTCCATGGAGAATACAAGATGTCCAGCTATAATGAGCACAGCTCTTTCTCAGTCGAGGAAGAAGCAGTACAGCAGCTGCAAAAGTCTTCTAAACAAGATTGCATTATTCTGCCATAGCAGCCCCAGCGCTTGATACGTAGCCCTGAGACACAGACCTGTCACTCCAGTAGACGTAATCCTCAAAGACCGATACTGAGAACATGTCCATGTTATTATTGGCTAAGACAACCTCCCTCTTGTCACCAGTTTCCAGGTCTATGCGTTCGATCTTATCTGTTCGGGCATCGCACCAGTAAAGCTTCCCATCCTAGAAAGAGATCAGGAGGATGTGTTGTCCCTGGGAATTACTCAATAGACCAGGATGCAAAAATGATTTTGGGCTAGATGCGGGGCAATCAGATGCCACCCAAGATATCCTCACACGCTGCAAGCTCAAATTGTTTTCCAACAAGAGGATCAACAGACATAAGACTTGCAATTATCTTGTAAGGCCAAAAAAGCACATTATGATTGCATCTCTCAGGTTTTTCTTTCGGTTGCTTGTTTACCAATGTGTATTCACTTGGAACTGCTGAGTGAACTGCTGGGATGGGTGGAGTGGGACTGGTTAACCAAGAATGCCTGGAGAAGTCTGGGGAGTCAGAACTGAGGCTGTGCAGGAATTTTAGTAGGCAGGCCTTCAGTGCATGACATCCTTCCTCGTCTCTCCCTACAGCTAACAAATGTGGATGTTATGCAATGTAAGAGATTGCTTAATTTGCACTTTGGGGGCAAATAATGATTTGTAAATCTTGCTCAAATTTCTGAATGATCTTGATGTAGAAAATATATCTATATTTAAAAAGCAAAAACATCCACTTGTTTGCCACCAGTCTGAGACACTAGAGTACCCCTAAGCCGGCAAACAAAAAAAACCCAACCCAACCCAAACCACAAGCTCTCACACCCTGCCTTTGTGCACTCTGCAACTAATTGTTGAGTTTCAGAGATGCCTACCCTTCTCCACTCAACCCATTGCTATTTCTTGTACCTCATAGTCGACGGAGATGCCATTGGGCCAGCTGATGCTGGTGTTGATGAGGACCACTCGCCCTGTCCCATCCAGCCGGGAACGTTCAATACGCGGGTATTGCCCCCACTCTGTCCAAAAAAGATACCTGCAGGAGAGGAGGAAGGCCAATGGTAGAGCAGTTTGTGAATCAAATCTTCAGCTAAGCATTTACGTTTAGTTCACAGCAGCCTGTTATTATTCCTGTTTTATAATCTGCATCTCTCCTTTCTCCAAGAGGTTCAAGAACAGCATAACAAGTTCTTCCCCAAACCCTGTTTAGGCCCATGAGAGCCCTGTGAGGTGGCTTCTGTCCAGCATCACCCACTGAGCACCATGGTAGAGTGGGGATTTGAACCCAGGTCTCCTTGGTTCTAGTCCAGCCTTCCCCAACTTCATGCCCTTCAGATGTCTTGGACCTCCAAACTTTGATCAGCCTTGGCCAGCCGGCTAATGGTCAGGAACGCGGAGAATTGCAGTGCAAAACATCTGGAGGACACCAAGTTGGGGAAGGCTGCACTAGTCCAACCGTGTAAGCACTGCGCTGCAACGGCTCTCTGTGTTTATCGCTTGATGGCTGCAGGGTTAAGCAGTGATGCTGTACAAATGGGCCATCAGAGGTCAAGCAGCACAGGCTGAATTTGCACGCTGCCCCATATCATCTCAAAATGCAAAATTCTTCAACATGCCACTGGCCACAGATTCACTAATCCCTTGGCTCAGAAATCCAACTGTTTGCATGCATAGATTGGCCACAAACTTGACTGTCTGCCATCAGCAACTGAGCTCCATCATGAGCTCCCTTCTTGCTCAAAAAAATGGGTTATGATATAGACAAGAACTGCTTTTCCATGATGGTTCTGACTCCTTTTCCCTGTGCAGCTGCCATGCTGAATAAGAAGAGAGTGGCAGATGCCAGTGGGCCACCAGCACTTGGAGCAGCTTGGTGTCTCATTATATCCACCCCATAGCCTCAGAGGGATTATGTATTCCAAACTATCTGGATGGTAACAACAGTTTGCCTACCTCTGTTTGAGGAGATCCTAGGAAATGTGAGTCCACAGCCCCTCACCAAGTGAACCCAACAACCATGGATAAGCTGGACACAGTGCTGAGGGGTCTTTCCTTTCTTCACCTCCAACCTACCAGCTTCTACTGGCCTTGCAGAGAAATGCATCCTGAGCCTCTTCCTCTTGCTATCATTGACCCTGTGGCCCAGCAAATCATAGCTGATCTCTTACCCTTTCTCTGGGTGTACAGTGATGGCCCGTGGCTTGTCCAACCCCTGGGAGATCACCACATAGCGGAATGAACCATTGAGCCGAGCAACTTCAATGACATCAAAGCCCTGGTCTGTCCAATAGATGTTTCCTGGAGGGAAAGAGGTGTCAAATGAAGACCTCGCCAATGGTTCCTTCTCCACTCCTTGCAAGTAGCAGGCATTTCTCCTCCTCGTCATTGCCCCAGCTCCTGTCTCTGACTTAAACTGATCCATACTGCCCTACCTGCAATCCAGTCCACAGCAATGCCTTCCACACGGCCAATGCCATTGGTCACCACATCCTCTCGCCACGTCTGGTCCCTCTTGGCTCGACTGATGGTGCTCAGGCCCATATCCACCCAATAGATGGTGTCATTCTCTGAAGGATGGAAAAAGGGCACTTGGTGGGTAGGAGGAAGAGGCTCACGGTAACAAGATGTACTTCTGGGGAATGAAAGCCTGTGGCACCAGTCTCCATACTGGTGGTAAATCATCTATTTCTCCATATTCCAGCTCTTGGATCCCCAAAGTTCACTTCTTCTCAGCAGCAGGAGACAGAGCACTCAAAGTAGTGAAGAGATTAAGACAGGGAGGGGGGTCACAGCTCAGTAGCAGAGCATCTATTTAGCTCCCCTGGTTCAGTCTCTAGCATCTCAGGTAGTGCTAGGAAAGAATTCCCTTAAATACACTGAACAGCAGTTGGCAGTCAGCCCTGAGAGCTGCCTATGTCCACTCCTGGACAGACAAGGCCACAGGTAGGGCAACTAGGGGGAAAGTGTGGAAGCCCACTCCCCAAAAGCTTAATGCAAGTTAATTCCAGTTACAAACGTCAGTGCAATAATCATGGATAACAAATCTGATCAAACACAATACAAGCCACTATTTAATTAAATATACAACTCTAAAACTATTGGTATTCCCCTTCCCAACACTGGCATAAGGTTGGCATGTTTCTTATAAGCAGTTTCTGATCAGTTATGAAATTCCTGATAAAAGCATCTTTTTAAAGGCCAGGACACTGTCCTCACCAAGGGAAACTTGCTGTGAGCCATCAGCATCTGTAGAATTCTGAGACTGTGTTGGATTTGGTCCAGTCCCTTAAATAAGGTTGCGATATTGGGACCAAGGAGGGTTCTTTTCAGGTAGAGGTAGGACGAGCTGGGCTCACCAATTCTCACTCATGCTGAATCTGGCTTCTTCATGGGGAATTAGCTGCATAACTGCTCCCCAAACCTGAAGATACAACCTTCAAAGGTGTTGAACCTTGTTAAACCTGAGGACCAACTTCAATTTCAGGCAAACTCTCCAGTGGGTGACACCACTCTCCAAACAGCTCTCCCAAGCTGGCTATCCAAAGGCAAAGGAGGGAGGGGAAAAAATGAAAAGAGGCAGGGCCAAAAACACCAGCCAATTTTTGCTTAAAGCTCTTATTGCCAGTAATTAAACCTTAGCAGAAACACTGGATTTTTAGAATGAAAAAACATGCATGAAAAGATGAGAAACCACCCCAGAGTCTGTGTCCATGAGAAGGGTGAATGGCTACCTGAGGAACCAGAGAGCCAGACTGGGAAGCTAAGTGGACCATATCTGGCCTGCAGTCCTAAGATTCAGTATCCCTAAGCCATCTTCTGTTCCACTTCTAGAGTCTCAACCTCCTTCCCCCTCTAGATGATTAGACCTCCTCTCCAGTCAACTTGAACCTGTGTTTTTTTAGGCAGGGAGGGTGAAGTAGCAGTATGGCTCACTGATGGTCAGAGCTGAGAATAATGGGTTCAAAGCCCTTTCAGCAGCAAACGGAGATGCCATTCCTAATCTGCACCTATACTGGGGTGCTGTTACTTCCCACTCCAGAAGACCAGCTCTAGGGCTGCTCCTATCACTCTCCATATGACACACCCGAGAAGGATAGGCCATTTCAGCACCTACCAGCATGGAAGTCGATGCCAACAGCCAATGAGGTCCCAGAGACTGGTACAAGTGCATCAGATTTGTCACTGGGATCCAGCGGGATGCCCCGAATACCTTCATGCACTGAATAGAGGAGAAAAGAGCCAACACCTGCACGGAAGAAGGAAACAGTCACATGGCTGGAGCCTCAACAGACTTTTTGGACTATAACATCCATAAATAGCCAGCATGGCCAGTAGCCACAGAAATTATGGGAGTTGTAGTCAAACATATAAGGAGAACACCAGGTTGGGGAAGGCTGACTGAGGATACCATCCTATCCATGTTCAGACAGGTAAATGTCCTACAACTTCACAGAATTCTAGAACTTGTATATTTTTCTACTGTCTAAACATTGACAGGATTTACAACATTAGATGATGAACCCTCTGGAGAGAAATATTGATGGGAATAGAAATGAATACCCAATTCAGGGGAATAGTATGTAGGAAACACATATGGCTGCAATCCCATCCACGTTTAGACAGATAAAGGTTCTATGGCTCCCAACATGCCCCAGCCAGGGTTCAGCGGTAGCCTGCATGGTGTTTAACATCTACATGAAACTGCTCTGTGGGGTCATCTGGAGTTTTGGCCTGCACTGTAAACAGTATGCTGATGACATGCCACACTTCTAATTTTCAACTCAAAGAGGTGTGGTAGCAGTGGTGATATACACAATTTGTGTTTGGCCTCTGCAGTGGACTGGAAGAAAGCCAGTAAACTGAGACTCAATCCAGACAAGTCAGAGGCACTGTTACAGGGCAAGGGCCCTGGTGGCTCTCTACCCCAGAGCCTTTATACTGTATGATTTTCTTAACCTGATTATGGATTTTTAACTTATATTTTGATGCTATCATTGTATTGATTAGATTTTGATTTTTTTTCTTTTCTGAAAACCATGGTTTGCATGAATGAAAAAACACCAGCTTGATGGGGACCAAGCATGCTTGGCAACCACTGAATGCTACATGTCCAATGGAAAGGAAAAATCAGAGTGGGGCTAGGGGATAGAACAGAGTATCAGAAAGTGTAGCTATCAGGCTACAACCCTAAACAGGAGCACTCCTCTACCCCATCTACATTCCTGCTAACATTCTGTTGCATGTCCCGCTGGTATCTTCCACTACTGAACTGGCTACGTGAATGTTAGCAGAGCAGGGCACAGCCACCACTTCCAAGAGTACCTTCTCTCTGTGCTACAACCTACTTCTCCAGAGGAGTGCTGAGGAAAACCCTGGAATATCGTCTGTGAGCCTCCTTGCAGGGAGCATAGTCCTGTACATAAAAGTGGTTTCTGAATAACCTCTTCAGGAACACTTAATGCATTTGTCTTTGTTTCTGTAAATGAAATTCTAGTTGCTCTTTCTCAGAAGTTAGGAAATATTGGGGCAAGGCATTTCTGGCATTTCGCAGTGTAGCAGGTCTGTAACATTTCTCTTTCACTTCTTAAGGCTGCTTCACACTTAACGTGTTTCCTTCCTTCCTTCCTTTTTGTGTATTATGTAAGATTGTTTTATTGTCTGCACCCCCAAAATATGTAAGAAATGGAAGAAAAGAAAATGTGTGTTTAGAAACATGTGTCTTGTGTAAGGGCAGAGAATCAGGACTGGCTGCAAGCCCTGTCAGGCATAGAGGGCCGGGATGGGTAATACATCACCCTCCCGATGTCTTGGCCTATAATGCCATCACTAGCACAGTTAACAGCAAGAGAGGACAGGAGCTGGAGTTCAAGAACCAGGAAGCCACAAGCTTGATACAGGACATTAAGCCCCATTTTACTGCTGCTTGATCTTCCGATGACTCCACAGAGCAAACAGACTGCTCCGGACACACAGCAGCCACCAGGGGGAGCTGTGCCACATCACTCAGATCGCCGACCAGCACCAATCCAAGGAACAGGAGCAATCTGGCGGGAGCAAAACCACCCTCTCCAAAACCCACCAATGACCTCTCACCTTCACAGGACTGCTGCCCACTCTTTAGGCTGTAGCCAGCTGTACACATGCAGGAACGAGTTGACCCTGAGGTTGGAAGGCAGAGCTGGGAGCAGTCGCCGTTCTTCACGCTGCAGGGGTTGGGACCTGCAACCGCAAAAGTGCAATCAAGAAACTAAAAAGGCATTGCTCTGCACAGCTGGAGAGCAACAGGGTTCAGGTTTGCTCAGTCAGATGATCAATGTGCATGTCCTTGGTTCAGTACCAAGACAGGCATAGAGTGAGGGGCAGACGATGGGCATGGCAGGAAGACAGCTGTAGCATGAGCTACAAGTTGCACAGTGAATAGCTAAGATGGCCAGGCCGCTTCCAAATTCCAACACCCAGGAATCTGTAAGCGGACCAACAATCTGATCCATGCCACCTGTGGACTCAAGGATTCCAAAAGGATTCTGTGCTTCCTGATCCCAAGCCTGAACCATGCCCACATTTTCCCACGGTGCTTCTTCAGCCCTCGCTATGATGCGTGAGCTCCAAAAGCGTACCCTGCTGCTGGATGTTTTCATCGTAGATCTTCATGTGCATGACTAGTGTGGTGCTGTTGCGGAGCACCACAGCCCCGGACCCGTCCTTCTTGTTACAGGTGCCCATTTTTTCTGAGGCCTGGTCAGCCCACCACAGCTTATCACCTGGGAGAGAAAGCCATGCTTATAATGAGGAAGCAGAGGTTATGTAACTTGTCATTTAGGAATCAGCAACTGAGGAACATCACAAACAGTCCAACACACATCACACACAGATGACTGACACCTGCACTGCGACCTTTACCATGATCTCATAGTAATCCAGGGAACAAAGCTTGTCATTCCTGTTTTACAGAGAGGGGACCAAGGCTAGAAAGAGTGGCATGACGCATGAACCACCAATACTGGACTGCAACACGCTGTGATGTCTCCCATATCCTGAACAACTCCCTGCTGAGTTTAGGAACAGACTAGTCTCCCCAGTGTGGGGCCCTCCAGATGTTTTGGACAACAATCCCCATCATTCCCTGACCATCAGCTCTACTGGCTGGGGCTGACGGGAGCTGAAAATCAAAACATCTGGAGGGCGCCAAGTCAGGAAAGGCGAGATAGACCTTTGGTCTGATCTACCAAGGTATTTCTTACAACTTTTGATTCATGCTTAATCATTTTGCTACAGTGCTGCAAAGGCATAACAGTAAAATATTAAACAAAGATCCCTTCAAAAACAGGCTCAATGCCTTGTTGCAGCAGCTGTAGCAAGTCTAATGGCTTACTGCCCATTGTGCCCAGGTGTTTGCCCCTTCAGAGCAACACAAAAGCTGAATATTGTTTCCATTTTAAAACCTTACAAGAAAGATATAAAAATGCCCAAAGAGCTTTAGCTGCTGGGTGGCATAAAAGTGAAACAAACAAATAAATAAACTTTAAAAAAGTTCAGTGCCAGGTTAGTTCATGCTTGGATATTTTAGAAAAGGAAAATGTCTTTAATGTGCTACCTTTGTAGCTCATTAAAGACATTTTATGTTAAGAAAGTAAGTATTTATAAACTATAATTATTTTATCAGATAGTGAAATGGACTGAACAACAGTAATCATACATCCAAGAGCAGCTGTTTGAATTTTAAAACAAACTGGATACACCTTAATTTTATCACTTTAAAATTAAAATAACAGTAAAGTAGTATCATAAAATAATCAATAAAAATAAAATACATAAATAAAATAAAATGTATATCACTTTACAAGTAAAAAGAGTAAAATAGTCTATACAAATTCAAGTTTCCAGAAAAAGACAACGAGCACTGCAGGGTTGGGGAATCTCTAGCCTTCCAGATGCTCTCTGATCCAATCCAGGAAGACATTTCTCATGTTTGAATTCCAAACCTTTAGTTAATGCTTAGGAGGTAGAGTTGCATTTCCCAGCAACAAAACCCTGCTGCGTAAATCCAATGAAAAGGATGCACAACCATAGAGGAGATATGTGACTGGTGCACTGTAAATGAGAAACACCGACCCTTGCATTGCACTCCCACCCCCACTGGCAAAAAACACCCAAACTGAAAGAGGCCAGATTCAGGGCTTCTCAAGGATTCTCTCCCCATTCTTCCCGACCAGTTGCACCAGCGATTGCTCCCCACTGGGGGCAGTAATCTTACCCATGATGGCTAATGCTGTGGCCTTGCCCAGATGGGCCTTCATGGTCTCTAAAACCTCCAAGCTGCTGCCATCCAAATTGCACCGATTGATGGTACCACTGCCAGAGCTGATCCAGTACAGTTTGTTTTCCTGGTAGTCGATGGAGAGTCCTGGCATGAGAGAATAATGATTCCATAGCACAGAGACACACCAAAAAACCATGAGTCTCCAGTGGGGGCTTGCAAATGGCCAATGGTGAATGCACACCCAGGTTCTCCAATGGTTTGCCTGGAAATCACTAAGCGTCTAGGCGTGCTTCTGGCTTCATGTCTGTGGAAGTGTACATTTGAATTCATGCAACTAGGTGCATTTGAACAACAAATGCACCCCTTCCCCTGTTGTCACTCCAGGCATCACATTTCATGCCAAGAGGCATGATGTACACGGACAAACCTAACCTGAACACTCATCTCACCCCAGGGCCACCTCCATCGTTATAACATGGAAGCGACAATGAATAGAAAAATATTAGGAAGGGACATTCCTGACAGGGAAGGGAAGGTGGGTTGCTCCAACTGTGTGAGGGGTTTGAAACCTCTGAAGAAGCACTGGAGGATGAATATGATGGGTTATGTTGGCCTGAAGCTTGGTCAAAAATGAACCAAGAGCTGCAACACTGGAAGGGACATTGAGTTGGCTAACAGTGATCAGTGCCTCATGCTTTCTGTCTCCAGCAGTTACAGAGCAGCACTTAGAATCTAACTTCTTGCTCTCTCCCAAAAAGCAACCACACCACAGAACACGATAGAGGTAGGGCTGACTCCATACCAACAGGCCCCTTTTGGTTTGTGAAGAGCAGGCTCCGGCCGCTGCCGTCCATGTTGGCAACGCTGATGTTGTCCCCATCTGTCCAGTAGAGTTTCCTTTGGAAAAAAAGACAACGAAGAAAGCTTGTTCTGTGTGTATCTCTTCCTATACTTGCTAATGATCACCTGCAAATGCCTATGCTCCTAAGGTGCTTCTTGGAAGGAAAAAAATGGTCAAGAACAGACTGGAAGTGGAGACATTCACAGGAGAGAACCAGCAGGTGGAGAAAAGGTTGAGCATACCAATGCCCTCTCCCCACCCATGTTAGGAGGCAAGCAAAGTTATGCACAAATGCCAAATATTATCACTTTGCCATTCAAGAGACCAACCTTCTGCCTATTTAATATGGCTTATATCTTATGTGCAATAAGGCAGCCAGTGAGCATGCGTACACACACACACCTCCCTCAGCATATCCTTTCTTCACATTACAGGCCTCCTTACTCAGATTGAAGCAGTCCTTTTCCATCCTTCAGAAGGAGGATTTATAACACTAAAGAGAGTAAAAAAATTGAGTGGGGCCCTTTTAAGACGATTATGGTCATTACTGTTGGTCAATGTACAGATTGGGGGCAAAGGGAGGAAATACATTCCCCTGAATGCAGTAGAACGATTTAAGGGGCTTAGGCATGAAGTAAATCCACTTAGGTACGCCCCTTGGGTTCCATTCAGTTCACTCCAACACAGTGACCTGCCTGAGCTGCCACATCCAAACTTTTTTTTTAAATGACATAAAAAGATCACAGCCCAACCTCAAGTCTTAAAGGGATGCTAAAGAAGTGCTTGAGATCAGACAGAGTTGCCTAAGTGTACTAGCACAAACTGTGACATTTGCCGATAAATGATCTTTCTTGGAAATTTGGCCTAACGTTTTAAAATTGAAGGAAGGTGGCCAAAAGTTTTCAGGAAACAAAAAAAAAAAAAAAAATCTGCAGAGATTCTTCAAGCCTGTCACATCATACTTTATTTGGGTATTTTCTGAGATCAGATAGGCAATGATACATTTTTTTTTGTTTGTGAATGACCCCAGGAGAGGCTTCTGCTTTCTTCCCCTCTAGCACAGCTGTGAGGAGGAGACGGGAAGTATTCATTTCTGGATTTAGCACTGTGACTTAGTGTTATTTTTGAACTGAAACTGCAGTTAGTCACTGCAACAAGTCAGTCCCATACCTTGATTTATGCAACTGCCTTGTTTCAATAAACCAGCGGGGCAAAACCTCAGGCCAGCAGTCCACACCAGACCTTCTAAGGCACCCTGGTCCCAACTCCTTCCCCTGACCGCCCACTCTTTTTACTGACTTCTCTGGTATTTTACTGCCCTTTCCACATTTTCCTTATTCTAATAGAGTGAATTACTGCTTTTGGCAGTAATTTTTCGATTTGAGCTAAAATTTGCTGGAACTGGCCTCACCCTGTTTTGCTTTCAGCCCCATCCACCACCAGAATATGGCCCTGAGAGCTTCTCCAAAATGGAATTCAGCCCTTGGGCTGAAAGAGGATGGACAGCCCTTCAATAAAGCAGGGTGAGGATTAACCACTGTTCAGAACTCTGCAGAGAAGTGAAAGCTGCCGGTCTCCTCCTCACAACTCATACTTCCAGCCACGCATTCCTACTGTTATACTGCCTCAATATCCCATGGTGCACTGGACTCACCCTTTCAGAGGATGTACAATCAAGCAGTGAGGTTTGTCCAGTCCCTGAATCACAGCATTCTTAAATGAGCCATCTAGCCGGGCCACATTGATCTGCTTCTTGTTGGCATCGTAGCTAGTCCAGAAAAGGTTCCTGGAGATCCAGTCCACAGCAAGTCCATGGGCATTGGGTAGGTCTGTAAGGCAACGAGAGTGAGGCTTCTGTCAAAAGAGGGGAAGAGACACACAGCCCGGAGGGAAGGGGACTATGCCACTAGGGCAGCCTTCCCCGAATTCTTATCTTCCAGACTTCTACTCGCAGTATCTCCCACCCAACTTATCTAAATAAAGCACACCAAGCTGAGGAAGGCTACTTTAGTATACTTGTGAAAGTTACACAGGTTTTAGGTTAATTCAGCACAAGGAAAAGAAGCTAGCAAGGCAACTGACTTTTGCTAGGAAAAAAATGTTGCCCATCAGAGTTCTAGTTCTGTGGGATGCAGTCATGTCAAGGTGCAACGTGGAGTGTAGGGAAGCTGGGAAGAGAGAACAAAGAGACAAAGGAGTGATGACTGTTCTCACCTGCAGACACAACCGTTTCCACGCCTGTTCCATTGATGAATGCCCGCTTGATGGTTTGTGTGCGGACATCTGACCAGTAGATTCGCTGTTCCAAGGCATCATAGTCAACTACAGTGACATTGTCAATGTCAGGCACAGTGAAAGAGTTGATATAGTTGTAGTATGGGTTGTCAATGTCAACCCCTCGAATCTCCATCTGGCGGGCGTAGAGCAAGAACTTCTTAAACTCTGGAGAAGGGGACAAAGGCCAAAAACACATAATGGAATCTCAATCCAGCTGTTACAAAGCAGGTTTGTTTATCAGACCACAAGGCCCATGCGTAGGCTGCCCTTCAAATGGGCCCAGCAGACCCAAGCAATCCACATGCTACAATTGCACAGTAGGTCCATTTGAATCCTATAAACCCAAAATACTTTGGAACTGGTTTAGCTGCTCAAAGAACCCTGCCAATTAGAATTTTTGCATGGACATTAACAATTCTTTTGTTAAGCTTCCTTATCCCTTCAAACACCAATGGCTCCCAAGTTTCCTTGGTTGCAAAACCATGGCAGTTCAATCCATATTAAACTAGTTTACTTTTGCAGCCTAGAGTCTATCTGCACAGCATCACAGAACTGCAACTCACAATGCAACCCAACACAACACATCATTTCTATTCAGAGATACACTGACACCCACCCACTCACCTTTCCAATTATTTCTGCAAGGCAGATAACAGTTTTAGTTGCAATTCTCATACTTCATTTTAACTAGTTCTAGCTTTTTATAGTGATTATTTCTTACAGTCTTTAGAACTAAATGGAAGAGTGATTTCTCTATAATTTAACTGCAGTCCTGTTCTTTATTGTTTTGCTGGTCAACATACATGAACTAAGAAAGGAAAGTTGCTACTGTTTCTGAAAATATTGTGCAACCTGAAGGACGAATGACAACATAATGCAACTAGCTCAAAGAGATCAGGGAATACAGAGGTAGCAAGAACAGCCCTGGCCTTCACAGAGCTCATCTCCCAACATGTTTGCATGTGTTGTCACTCTCCTTTTACACTGATGTGTAGTTTCCCATAAGAATATGGGGAAGGAACAGCTCAGGAGAAGGCATCTAATTATGAAGTTATTTGCCTAAGTCATTTCTAGTTCATAGGGCCAATTGAGATGAAATGTTGAACTAAGTTTTAGTGTTAGATCAAGAAGACCCCATTCATGTTCTTCCCACTTTTCTCCTCTGGTTGCAAACATGAACTTGGATGCATCCATTTCTGCTTTTAAAGTAATCAAAGTTGCCCACTACTTGAGGAAACCTGCCTAGTTAAACTGTGGTTAGTGAACAGGCCAGGATCATACACTGTGGTTTGATATTGGCTTGTTTGACAAAATCATAATTTAAGCTAGCCAGTGTTTCTCTGTATGACAACACCTTGGTGGACTTCAAAGTGGAAGCAAAAGCTTCTGGTTTCCTCTTTGTGGCTGTACAGGCAGACAAGGGAGAATGTACAAACTACTGCTTGTTCCAGCCACATACAACAATATCCCTAACGTGTCGAAAACATGTCTGCTCCTATCTGCCTGTGAAGTTGTTCTTTCAAAGTGTCCAGAGGGCAAGTTCATCAGCATCAGAAGTTCTAGTGAACCTTCATTTGATGGGTTCAGAGATTTAACTGACACATCCAGGTGTGTATGTTGTTGTTGTCATATGTCATCCAATACCAGAGTCTTACAAAAACTTTGAATAAATACCGTTCCCAGACAAGAACCTGGGAATAACTGGGGCAGGGAGCTTGCATAACCCACAATGGTATGGTCACTGCTGTTATTATAAACCATCAGGCCTTCTTCTTGCCTCCTGCATAGATAAATACTGGGACTGAGAGGAGGCCAACCCTCCCCACTCTTCTATTTACCATAGCATGTTGTGTTATCCTTGCCAAGCTTCATGAGGTGGGGACAGGCACAAGAATAGGTGCTGTTGAAGTTGATGAGGCAGAGGTGAGAACAAAGGCCTTTTCCTCCATTGGCTTCACATGGGTTGGGAGCTGGAACAACAAATAATACAGTGGGAAGTTACCTGTTAAAATCCTGGAAGGAAGCAGAGTCCTCCTCTAAAGCTAGAATGAAACATAGCTCTGCTTTGAGAAGGTCAAAGCAGAGGTGACATCAAGCTGCCTGGGAAAGGAAATCTAGATTTCTGGCAGCTTGTCTGGCAACCCAAGATCAGTTCTGTGCTATTCCCAGCCCCGTCTTAGAAAATCATTGAAAGTACAAGAATATGAGGAATAATATAGGAAAATTCAATCCTAAGAATTCCAATTCACCAGCAGGGACCAATCTGTACTAAGGAACAGTGGCATCTCAACACCGAAACAGCTCACATTGCTTACTACCTTCTCATGGATCTGTTGCCACATTTCATATTACATTTTGTTTTTTATTAATCACAACACATCCTAAATACACTCAGCTGCAACTGTTTACATTTGTTCTTTGTTAGCTTCACCCCCTTCATTCTGTTATCACATTAACATCAGCACACAAACTGGTAAGACCTTGGGACAGGGATTTGCAATTTATGTGTATACATGATTCTGAAAGGTGCCATTTATATATAAATATCTTTCTTCTTTCTCCACCTATTTAGGCAAGCTAACTGATAAATGAATGTGAGGCTTTTAGCAGCCAAGACTGCACGTAAAATTTGTTTTTCGGCGCCAGGCTAAGACCTTTTTATTCCAGTGATATTTTAATAAGTTTTAATATTGTCTTTTCTATGTTTATAACTGCAGCCAGTGTGGGTCGGGAATTTATTTATGTTATATTTTATATTGTAAGCCATCCTGAGGCTTTTTTGCAAATAGGACAGCATATAAATAGTTTAAATAAATAAATAAATAAATAAATAAATGAAATGAAATGAAATGAAATGAAATGAAATGAAATCTGTGACTAACTGATACCAGTCTCCCCACCACCAAAGGAAGTGATGCTTTCCTCTACTTTGCAGCACCTCAACAAGGACTAGCTCAGTTCCAAAGCTGAATCTCAGCTTGTCAACAGGGTCTAGAAGCAGATGGCCTATGTCTGTGTAGCTGTCCAAATTAATAGACCCTGCTTGTATGTTTAGAAGCCTGGGGTCAGCAGAGCTGCAGCACCTCCCCTGCTGCCCATTGGCTCATCCTTCTCTTGTCCTGTTGCAGGGCATGTTGAGAGTCCCTATAATATTGGGAAATGGATCGTCACTATGACCACAGCTCAGGTGCAGAGCACATGCTTTGCAGGCCAAAGATCCCTGGCTCAACTCTCAGGTTAAAGAGGAACAGTTGGCAGATCATATCAAAGTTCTCTCATGCCTGTGACCCTAGAAATCTGCTGCCGGCCCCTCCCCGGCTTCTTACCGAGAGGCTGTCGAGAGGGATGATAGACCTGCAAGTCAAAGGGCTGCGTGTTGGTTCTCTGCACAACGGTGACATTGTGGCCAGTCCATTTGTTGGCCTTGGCCAGGGTGTTCGTCCGCCAGTCCGTCCAGTACACCTCGCCACCATAAAGGGTGACAGCAAAGGGGTGTGACAGATACTCATGACCTCGCAGCACCTCAATGTGGCCTGTGCCGTCATAGAGGGCAGAATAGATGGCGTCAGACCTGTGAAAGAAAGTGACAGGTCAACATATCTATCGCCACTAGCCAAGAAAGGAACACAGAGAAATCACATGGAAGTGTTAGAAATGTATCTTCTGTTCATGGCTGATACAGATGTGTAAAGCAGAACTAGAATAAGTAGCAATGTGATCATCAATAAGGCTAAGCAGACAGAAAGAAGGGCTGGATTTTTAAGGACAAGGGATACAAAAATGGACAAATGGCAGAGTGTCTGCTCAGAAGTAGATTTAATCATAGGTAGGCCCTCCTGCTTGCCATTTGAGGAAGCAAACTGGAATATGATTGTAAATCCAGCCATGCACTCATATTGTATTACCCTGGGGTGTGTTACACACACACTACAATAAATACACAATAATTATCATACCTCCCTAAGTTCAAATCCTCTCTTGCACTCCACAGAAGGTATTTAGAGCACTGCCCAAATAATTTATTACTTGTACATCTGGAGATTTATTACACTAATATAATAAGTATTCCTATAGTTGCTTATGAGAGGCAGAATTCAGTGCATGTGCGTACAAGTTATTACATTTTACAGCTTAGCTAGGGTAATAGGCCCAGGGGTCTATTATAGACAGAAAAAGGGTAATTATTATTTACTCAAGAACTGAACATATGCAGCAGGCACACTTTGGGGACCGTATATGGCATGGTAGAGGAATTTAAACCTTTCCAATTGCTGCATTATTGTGCCCCAGAATATTTTTATTAAAACACACACACATCCTGATAGTGATTATCATGTCCCTTCCACTCAAAAGCCTAATTGTCATACCAGCAAGAGCTGAGGCAAAATATTCCCAGTAGACTAACATTTTTAGCAGTATCATAAACAAACAAACATGTTCACTTTTAAAATCTGGAACACTTTGTGAAGATGTTCCTTTATTTAGATTGCTCTGACTTCCTTTCATCTCCAGTCACTCTCATTTTGACATTACACATGCAGGAATGGGCAAGTTGTGGCCTTCAACTCCCATGATCCTTCATGACTGACTATGTGGATAGGGCTGATGGGACAACATCTCACCCCTGTTTAGGTGAAATCACCCATGTGACAAAATCAAGAAGGAGGAAGAGGCAGCAACTATGGGAAGAAAAAAGGTGCCAAACAGCACCAGCCAATAGAATCAGGCAACAAACAGGATTTCACAACAGGTAAAGAGCTGCACATTCTAATCATGGTGCTGTGCTTCGCTTCACTTCACTTCACTTTATGGGGGTTAATGTCTACCCCACTGTATTCCTCAAATGTCCATACATCAGAATATTCGGTGTGAATCTACTACTTACCTAGCATCAATCCATAAAATACGCTTCTCCAGGTAGTCAACAGTGAGCCCATTAGGCCAGCCTCCTGAGCCGGTCTCCTTATGGATGACACGCCGGCCCTCACCACTCATGGATGCTGCCTCAATACGGGGCAGGCTGGCATCCCAATCTGTCCAGAAAAGAATCCTGGGAGAAAAGAGGGAGGAAGCTCACAAATGGTGAGGCAGAAAAGACTTCTTTCCAGCTGAAGGATCAGAGCATACAAAGTGTCTGTAATTCTGCATTAATGACATTCTTAATGGCCTTAACTACATTCACCTTGTAAAGAGATTAGCTGTAAATCCCCCATTATTACCCTTCCCAACTACCCCAGTTATCTCTTTATACAAACAAATGCAAAGAGCAGGAGATCCTTCTGCAGGGGGCTATTTAAAAGGCAGCATTCACATAGACTTGTTGCACACAGCCGCACACACCTATTTTCCCATCTTGTCAGGAGGGCCCAGTTCGGAAAACTGATGTGAGAGTATCTCAGAGGTTCTCTGGGCTCTGCTTTTGAGAGAGAATGGGCATGTGGATAACTAAGTCAGCCAGGAGAGTAGCGGAGAGGGGCTCTACTCTGGAGATGCTTTCATGAATGAGCAGTTTCCAGCCGCAACGCAATGCAGGGAAGAATCAATTTGCTGTTGAAAGCTGCACAGGTGCATTACTTATACAGAAGCCCCAGTCTGGCACAACCTTTGGCCTCTAAGTGCACACAAAGCACAGCTTTGTGTCTAAAAGAGCCAGAAACTGAATTTTCAGCTTTTAAAAAAATGAATCCAGTGGCTGCAATTAAAATTCTTCACACTGGCAGCAGTCAGATTAAATCAGAGAATGCACAGAGCAAACTGCCTAAATTTCCAGGCATTTCATGATGATTGCTTTTCTGCCTCCTGCCATACAAATACCACATACAGGACAAAGATTTTCTAACAAATTCCAGAGAGGTAAGTATTTTGCTCAAGTCTTCCTGACCAAGCTGTGACACAACAAGAACTAACAGCTGGGTAAGAAGCAACTTTGACTCTCTTCTGGGCCCCCTGTTGCCAAGGATGCAACTAGTGGTTCTTGGCCATTTCTGTACAATGACATACCCGCATCGCGGATCCAGAGCAATGGCACGAGGGTGCTCAATGTCCCCAGCCAGCAAGGTACTCCTCATTGTCCCGTCCAGTTTAGCCACCTCGATCTGGTCCAGGTTGCTCTCTACCCAGTAGATGTTGCCAGCAATCCAGTCTACTGCAAGCCCTTCGGGAGTAGCCAGTCCATATTGGATCACCACTTCAAAGCTGGTCAGTGCTGAGAGAAAGACAGCAGGAGACAGAGCAATGAATACTTACAGCTTTCACCCAGCCAAACTGCAGGATTTATAGTTTATTTATACACTGTGCACCCATCTGTCCCCTCACCTAACCTCCTGGGCTCCTATACTTCAACCAATAACCTGTGGCTTTTGCCTTCTCCACAAACAGAAAAGATTTGTGTATCTTTCAGTAGTGAGTAACATTTGGCCCTTCAGATGTTGGTAGAATGCAACCACCATCAGCCCTAGCCAGCATAGCCAGTGCTGAGGGATGATGGGAACTGCAGTTCAATGAGATATGGAGGGCCACACATTCCCCAGCCCTGTCATAAAGGAATATGATGGACACAACAGAAAAAATAAGTGATGCACAGCCCCCTGGAAGAAACAGGTTTCCTAACATGATCACATGGAAACTTGCATCTTTCAGCACTATATACAATGGTACCTCAGCTCACGAACACCTCAGTTCAGAACCAAATTGGGTCGCAAACATAAATTTCCAAAAAATTTTGCCTTGGGTTGCGAACTCCGCATCAGTTGACGATCGCAATTGCGCCCACCTCCCTCAAGTGTGCCCGTGATCGCACCCGCACCCCTCCCCAAGAGCACCCGCCTTCCTCCTGATCGTGCCTGCTTCAAATTTTTGTGATTAAAAAAAAAATAGTTACAGAATGGATTAACCTTATTTACACTGAACCTTACAGGGAAATTTGACTTGGCTCACGACAAATGTGGGTCACAACCAGAGTCCTGGAATGGATTAAGTTTGTGAGCCAAGGTACCACTGTAGTTAAATCATGGCTGAGTCATATGCTGCTCAAGGCTGTCAATTTTCAGTGCTGTACCTAGTCTTATAGCCTGTCTAGATTTCTGTCCACTTACAGCATTTTTAACGCTCAGGTCAAAATGGACACAAAAGTTTTTCTTAAAAAGCCTTAATTGCCAGCAGTAACCACATGGAGAAAAGTTTTACAGAGCCTTTCATCTTTGCTGCTGTCTCACCCCTGCTCTGCCATCTTTGTAATATTTTCACCTTTTACTTCTCTAAACTGACCATGCATGGGCACATCCACCTGTTCACCAGACTACTGAAAACCTTCTGATTTCAACTTCATTTTCCTTTAGTTATGCACTCCTTACCACACCTATTTCTTTTCCTAATGCCACACAAGTGATTCAAGAATCATCTCCTCACAAAGTTTGCATTTCCTCTGATGTTTGCATGTGTGCTCAGATGGATGCACAGAAAGCTCATGTCCCTATCTCAAAGTTTAAAAGACTGTTTTCAGCAATTAGAAGTGCACAACATAAACAAGCCACAAAGTTAAAAGCTTACAACTGTTGCCACTCAAAAGGCAGGTGTGAGTGTTCTGCTACATACATCTACAAGCTCCCATACAGGTTAGTGCACCCAATGCCCAAAATCTTGTGATGTGAGCACAGATGCAGAGGTGCTTGGGGTGGAACATGCATGCTTGCATATGGCCTGTCCCAGTTAGCTCTGCACACACTGCATGAAAATGCCTGCATGGAGCTACTGTCTAGTGAACATCAGAAATTCTGTCCAGACTAAACTTTAACTTGCAAACCCCTATTGCATCCATCACTGCATTCCATGCAACACTTCAGAGTGTCCCCAGCCTTCATGACATTAACTGGCAAAGAGAAACCTGGGTATCATCAATGTAGTGATGAGTTCCAATTGCAGTCTCCAGATGACCTGTCCCTAAGGAGACCTGAGGGGCCTCATAGGCTAAATGTTGTTGTTTAGTTGCAAAGTCATGCCCGACCCATCATGACCCCATGGACAACATTCCTCCAGGCTCTCCTGTCCTCCACCATCCCTCGGAGTTCACCTAAGCCTATTCCCACTGCCCCAATGACTCCATTTAGCAACCTCATCCTCTGCCATTCCCTTCTCCTTTTGCCATCACTCATTCCCAACATCAAGGTCTTCTCCAGTGAGTTGTTCCTTCTCATTAGATGGCCAAAATATTTGAGTTTCATCTTTAGTATCTGGCCTTCTAAAGTGCAATCAGGGTTGATTTCCTCCACACGTCAATAGCCAAGCAATAATACCATAGCACAACCTTTCCAAAACATTCAACTAAGTAGGACTGGAACCACTGCCCCAAAGTCCCACCAGAACCAGGAAGGACACACTCCTGCCTAGGTCAGGATGTCAATCAAGCTCCAAGACAACCCGGGATGCTGAAGCCTGATTGGAAAGGATCCAGATAATCTGTTTCATCAGAGGAAAACACAGAAACAGAGCGAGTCAGAAGGGGCCTCCCAGGCCAACTAGTCTGACCCCTGGCTCCAGCCGGCTCCACTCAGGACATGCCCACCATCTTTGAATATCCTCACCAATGGGGCCTCAACGACCTCCCGTGGAAGCCCATTCCATACCCCCGGGGTCCTAACTGTCAGGAAGTGCTTCCTGGTATGTAAATGGAACCTTGGTTCCCTGAGCTTTGCTCCATTGGAGCGTGTCCTGCCTTCCTCTGCCGGGGGGAACAGGTCTCTACCCATTTCCATGTGACATCCCCTCACATAACTGTATGTCATCAACATATCCCCTCTGAGTCACCTCTTCTCCAGGCTGAAGAGACCCAGTTCCCTCAGTCTCGCCTCATACCCCATCCCCTGCAAACCGGCCACCAACCTTGTGGCCCTACGCTGCACTGACTCTGACTTGGCTATATCCTTTCTGTAATGAAGGGCCCAAAACTGAGCACAATACTCCAGTTGCGGGCGCACCAGAGTCATATAGAGTGGTAGTAATACCTCTCTCGATCTAGAAGCCACTCTTCTGGCTATGCTACCAAGGGTGGTGTTTGCCCTCTTGACCACCGCATCACACTGCTGACTCATGTTTAGCCTGCAGTCAACCAGCATCCTGAGGTCCCTTTCACAAGTGCTGCTCTCCAGCCACTTGTCACCTAACCTGTACTTATGACAGCTATTCCTATGCCCCAAGTGCAAGACCTAGCACTTATCCACATTGAACGCCATCCTGTTGTCTCCTGCCCACTTCCATAGTCTGTCCAGAGTACCTGCTCCTCAGTTGTGGCCACTGCTCCAGTTTTAGTGTCATCTGCAAATTTGATCAGCAGACTGTTCATCCCTTCTTCCATGTCATTTATGAAAAGATTAAACAGGATCGGCCCCAGGACAGAGTCCTGGGGGACCCCGCTTGTCACTGGCCACCATACTGATGATTCCCCACTAATGATTACCCCTCTGCTCTCAGTCAATCAACCATGAAGATGAGTTGCTACCTTACTCAGGAAAGAAAGATTAGAAGATTAAAGACTGGCTGATAGATAATGATCTCAGATGGTGGGATCTAAAGATAATTTCTTCAAGAAAAAGTACACGGTGATTTCCATCTATGGTAAAAGAATCAGCAATTCAGGGGCAGAAACCCAGCTTGCCAATTTTTCTAGAGAACACTAAGAAAGAAAACATGCAGTGGAATTCATTCCAAAGGTCATTTTGGAGGAATTAATTTAGACATTTTCATTTTCCTTTCTCTAGGGTAAACCTGGAGTTTCTCCAAGGCAGCTGCCTTCTGATCCTATTTTACTTAGAAGTAGGCTGCAGTGATCTACATGGTACTGGAGGAGAGCTTTGTGAATACTCTGGAATGAGAGAAAGACAAACAAATGGGTCCTAGATAAAATTTCTAGAACTTTCCCCAGAAGCAAAAATGACAAAACTGAAGGTGTCATACTTGGGTACATCATGAGAAGGCAAGACTGACTGAAGAAGACCATAATGCCAGGGAAAGGCAGAAGAAGGGGAAGATGAAATATAAGATGACTCAATTCCATAAAGGAAGCCACAGCGTTAAGTTTACATGAGCTGGACAGGGCTGTCAAGGACAGGGCATTTTGGAAGGCATTCATTCATAGGGTCACCACATATCAGGGAGGACATAATACATACACAAGTCCTTGAGCCCCTAGTGAGTATGTCTGAGCCAGATGTAGTCAAATCTCATGACAGGTCTCCTTGATCAACATTCTAGTCTCTAGACAAGGCCCAAATAACCCTAGCTTTGGACATTTAGCAATCCGCAATCAGGAAGGCTAAGACTCCACTTGAGGTCACTGAGAACAAGGCAGAAGACATCAGGCTGATTGGTTAGACTTCCAACATAACAGGGCTCTCCCTTTCTGGAAATCCACAGCCGAATCAATGAAGGGCAAAGGGCTCTTATTCCTAACTGCTCTGCCTCCTGGTGGCTGGGACCTTTTCTGGCTGTACACTAACATCCTACAATCATCCCAGTTCTCTACCTACCTAGGATCACCAAGGCTTTTTGAGCCAATAATCAGGTTAGGCTCTGCTTTTTGTTGAGGCATCTGCCAGGCTATAATTACCATTAGGAAAGCTGCAGGGATGCTAATTAAGCTGCACATAATGATCAACATTGAAAAAGAAAGATGGTATCATTAGCAGAGGACGGGATGCTACTGCTTCTGATACTGACAACATAGAAAGGAGAAAAGAGGAGTGGGAGTGGCTAATACTCAAGAGTTTCTCCCTGCCTCCCTAGCCCCTTCACTCTCCCCAATTTCCCCATCCTCAAAGGCCTTCCCTTCCATTCTAAGGTCTTATGCAAGACTTTCAAAGATCAACAGAGAAAGAGAATGGCCATCCAAGAGAAGAAGTTTAAAATATCTATGGACTCTGAGAAAGACTAGATTAACAGGAACGAGCAAATTGTGCCTCTGCAAATATTTGTACCTACAATTCCCATAATTCTTGGCTATGCTGGCCAACAATGATGGGCGGTATAGGCCAAAATCTCTGGAGGGCCACATGTTGCCCAACCCTAGATTAGAACTTTGAATGAATAAGCCAAAAACCCACAAACAGGTCGGGGTGGGGGGGTTGACCACATGCTAGCTAGTCACACCAGACCCTGTGGGATTCTGAGGATTCACAGCTGTTAAACAGTGTCATGATGATTCATTTGTGGGTCTTCTTGGAATCGGACAGGGCTACAAGAGGTAGGTGGTAAAAGAGGCATCAGCAGTAGTTCTCTGCTTTCTTGTCTACTCTATAATGCCGGGGAACAGAGGCTTCTACATCATTTTATTGCATGCTTATTCAATACATCGTTGAGATCTTGCTGAGGGTTTGGAGATACTGCTGACAGCCAGTCGGATGATTGCAAGATAAAAGATGGTGGCGATGGGGTTCTTTTTCATGGCACTCCCTGTGAAGAGAGCCCTGCCCTGGCCATGTGCTTAGTAATGCTTGTCTGCCTTGTTTGAGGATAATGTCTCATTGACCTGGACTGAAACTGAAGGCCTGCTGTGCCTGATATTAACTGGCTGCCAATTACTACACACTGATTAGAAGTACTAATCAAATCATCCCCAAGAGCATTTGTTCCTCATCACTTGGGCTCAGTTTGTTACCTATTCATTTGTTTAGCTTTGCAGAGCATTACAAGATGCTTCCTGTTACAGGAAAAGACCACAGCAATTGCTCATAATCAGGTTATTTGGGCACCTGAGTGCTCAGAGTCCTGCTCCCCCAGATTGCCAGGGTTGTGATGAGTTGGACAGACATTCAGCAGTGAGGACACCATGGAAGCAGACTCATCACAACTGCAACACATATATAGCCTCCTCCCTGGAATGGGCTCTGGGGGAAGGATGCTTTCCTCCAAGGAGAAGCTGGCTTTGCAGAACACTGACTGGTTGGCCTTGTGCCAATCATAAAGCAGATTTTCCCTCTCCCCCACTTTCTATCAGCAGAACCATGCACTGCACTAACTGGTTGGCCAGCTCATCAGCCTAGGAGCCACCAGTGTACTTCTGAGGGTCAATGCACACCTGGGGCATTGCTGGTGTTTGGGTGAATGGTGTGGCATTTGGAACAGGATTTGGAGCAGAAAACTAGAAGACAGGCAAGGACTAAGTGCCCTCTGCCACTACTCCGCTCAAAATCCTCAATGCTGGTTCTCTTCTAAAAAAATAGAATCAAGGCATCTTGACTTGTGTAGGCCTAGCTTCACACCTAAATTCAGGATGGTAATTTTGAGACTTCACTTGAATCTGGCATCCAGGCAAGTTGTGAAGGACTCCCTGCCTTCCCACTCCATTCCCATGTCTTATCTGCACATGTGCCTCTTTTTGTCTGTGCATCCCCATCCTGTGCCCAGGTAATTGTACTTTGTCACAGCAAGTCCACCTCCAAACGTTGTACAATAAGATTACTACCTGCTTCCCAGCACTGTTTCATCATCCTATCAAAGCTGTTATCACTCTCCCAGATCTCAACCCGGGCCTCCTAATTCTTTACCATGCTTGCTGGATATGTGACTTTACAGACAACGAAAATCTTGAGCAAGCAGTTCCCACAACTCTCTTTCACACAACCACTCTATCCCCAAAATACCAATCCACCAGATGAAATAGAGCCCAGCACCTCAGGAGGCGATCTTCTGATGGTGTGAAACAAGTTTTTCTGAGCTGCATTCATGTTCAGTGCCCAGGCACTAGGAATCCCATAAATCCTTGATCCTTCCTAAAACTGAAGTCAGGATAGTACTCAGGGGAGAGATTTGCTGCATGTGTTTGCTCTGCTGCCTGGAGAAAAACTATAGCATGCATCCACTTATTAAATAAATCACCTAATCAAGCCTCTGTTTATGGAACAGCCAAACTCCTGTCCTATGCGAGGAAGAGATGCATTTCTGTGTCGAAGGCTTCACCACACTGGGCACAAGGAGCAGTCGTGTGGGAGTGGCTAGCCCCTTCAGTCATTTCCATGGGGGATCTCAAGGCCCTACTAAGGTCTCCTCCCTTGAGGCCTGCAGCAGAAGGGGAAGATGCCTCCTTGTACTTAGCCTCCAGCAAGAGAACTAAAATGCTTTGCAGACTGCCTGACATCTATGCCCACAAATGTTGTGTGGAAAAAGACAGTCTACCAGCGAATTTGAGGAAAAGTTCTTCCACTGGCATGCCATTTTTTTCCTGGAGAACCCTCCAGGTATTACTTTATAAGGAACCAAAGCTCCAAGAAACCATCCCCACCCCACTGTCTGCTGACCAACAGTGCTCCAGATGCATGTTCATCTCGGGCAGGGAACCACTGAGCGGCAAGGTGACCATGCCTGATGGTGATCTGAAGCAGAACTATGGCCAAGAGAGGAAGAATTAAGAACAGCCCCCCACTTCCATTTGTCCACTCATAACAGCCCCCTCAATGTATCCTCAAAGAAACAAGAGTGGAAGAACATCATTCAAGATAAAATGCAATGGGAATGCCGGTACACATCTGAACTCCAAAGGTTATGGGCATCCTACACTTTCCCCTGATCAATCATATAGACGAGCCTTTCTCAAACTTCTGCCTTGGAGGAATTGGAATAATTGCCATGTTTTTATTATAAGCACACACGTTTGAATGAGAAAACACAATGTTTATTTTATTTTTATTCATTTATTTAAAACATTTCTATGCCACCTCCATCGCAACAAAGCCTTGGGGCGGCTCACAGCATAATTAAAGCATATAAATAACAATTAATACAATTAGAGATTAAAAAGCCCGGTAGCATCTTGGCTTAAAAATTTAAAATCCTATAAATACCATAAGAAGTTAACAATTAAAATAAGTTTTAAATAAAAAGGTCTTGGCCTGGCGCTGAAAAACAAATAGCGACGGAGCCAGGCGGACCTCTCTGGGGAGCGCATTCCATAGGTGGGGCACCACCACAGAGAAAGCCCTCCTCTGGGTACTCATCCTCCTAATATCATTCACGGAGGGTTCCCGGAGAAGGGCATCTGTTGCCGATCTCAAGGGGCGGGAGGGCATATATGGACGCAAGCATTCCTTTAGATAATGTTTATTACATGTGCACACGATCATGAACTTTTGCAGGACCCCCAGTAACCTTCTGTAGAGCACAGAATTCTGGGGAACTCCAGCTGAGAAAGGCTGATCTAGATGGTGGATTTTGGCCATTTAGAGGCAGCTAATGTGTTACCAAGATATGTTGCACCCTGGTGGACCCAGCACCCTCTCCTTCCCACACACCAGAAGGCCCCCTTTACACCTTCCTGGAAGTCATTCTCACAGCTACCAAGAATCAGCGAACATTGTTCTTTCAGAATCAGGTATAAGCTGAAGGTGGGGAGAGGACAACTGAAGCATGGATCCCAGCTTCCAGGTAGAAGCTCTTTTCCAGTGTCAACACTGGGAATCTGAAGTAACTGTGACTGCCTACAGGGCCACAGGATCGCTCTGTAAATACATTTCCAATTTCACCAAAAAATAAAAAAAGAGGAAAAATATTAAAGAGAGCAAATAATGAGCACCCAACCCAGCTTAGGGAACTGACTAGTGCAGGGGCCCTTTATTAGCTGTGCTGAAGAGAAAGCAGTTACAGGCAGAAACTTCTAATTATGGCATAGTAGCCCCCAAAAGCCTGTCACAATTTGCTGGTCCACAGTGGCTCTGCTAGTGTATTGTATTGTATTGTATTGTATTGTATTGTATTGTATTGTATTGATTGTATTACATTTTTAAAAGCAGCATAAATTAGATCTTTAAAAAAAGACAGGTAGCCATCTCAGAACACTGGAACATAATAGACTGACACTAATGCATTCAGATTCTCTTCAAAAAAAGTAAGTGAGCAAAGGACAGCCTCTTCTGATTAAACAGCTGGTGTGGAAGCAACAGTTGTCATGATTAGCAATGGCACAGTTTAGATCATGGGTCCTCAAACTACGGCTCGGGGGCCGGATCCAGCCCGCCATGCCCATTTGGACCCGATGTGCACGCACCTGCCACCGCCCACCTTGCCCCCTGCGGGGGGAGGCAGCGGTTTGCTCGCTAGGAGAAAACGATCTCCAAGTGAGCAAGCCGCTGCCTCGTGCGGCCATGCCCACCCCTGCCCTCGCCTCACTGCCTGCACCCGCCCATGCCTCAGCGCGCGTGCCCGCATGCACCGCCCCCGCCCCCACGTCAGCCCGTGCACCCCGCCGGCACCACCTTTCTGGCCCGAGCCCAGCACCAGCAGCTTTTTACTGGCTCCCTGGTGGAAAAGTTTGAGGACCCCTGGTTTAGATGCTTGAGTCAAGTAGACTGTGGAAGTATTTGCAATCAATTTTGGTTTGAGGGACAAAAACGCTAAAATTTGTTAGACTGTTACCCAAGCTTAGCACATATATGGGCAATTCTGGGCATAATAGAGTCTACCAACAAAATGCCTAATTCTGAGTTCCAGTAGCATTTCTCAACTTGAGTCTATCTGTGAGTGCAAGCCAGAGGTCCAAGTTAAGGGATGTATTGTCCTGATAGGAGTAGATCATGAGCAAGCTTTAATCCAAGATGCATGCACCTTGGGCATAAGAAGTGCTTCCAGGTGCCACAGGGACCATCATAAACTCACCTCCATTCTCATGTAGCTTCCCCCGGTATATCTTGTCCTCTACCACATCAGTCCAGTAGAGAGAGCTCTGATTCAGGTGGAAGTCAAGAGCAATGGTGTTCCGCAAGCCAGGCACCAATACACTGTAATCACCCCTGTACAGATCAATGCGCCGGATCTCATGGCGATTGGAGAAGATGATGAAAGGCTTAAAGGGGTCTGAAAATTGAGAAGGGGTAATTTGTTAGTAGTATTACATTTCTGTGCACTTTCAAGTCCAGCAAGGGGAATGGGAGGGTCTCTTAAGAGCATGTTTCCAAAACACACAGACACACAGGTTTTCAAAATAAAAGAGGTGCTGAAAACTTCTACTATGTTGATGTACTTGCAAAGAAGAAGGCCTCTTGCAGTCCTCTTCTGCTTCTGCCATCATATGCCCAATACTGGACTGTGATTTTAATCATCATTTTCATAAATGGTTATGACATTATAAAATAGAATTAGTGTTTACAGAAATATGAATGAAGGCTTGTTGTCCTGCCCTCTATGAATGAAGCTACCCACATGTATGAAGGATTCTGTCCACTGGCAAATGCCCAGAGATCTAATGGAATGGGGCTAGCCAGCCTGCCCTTCTTCAAAACAAGAAGGAACAAATGGCTTGCTGCAACTGAAGGACATGCATTGCTTTAAAATCTGCCCTCCTGCCCCCCCCCTCCAATTCCTTTCCTCCCTTGGGCACTGGGAACAGAGCAGCTTTTCTTGAGCCTGCCAATTCCAATGCTGCAAAATGAGGGCAAGTCCCCAAAGGACAGAAGCATCGCTGTGTTTCTCAGTTGCTGGAAAAGGCTCACTTTGGTCCACCCCTCACTGCTCTTTTGCTCTCCCTTTCCCATTTAGTTCCTCAGAAGACAAGAACCTTGGACACAGATCGGATACCTTCCGTGCATACAAAGGAGAACCGAGGGACCAGGGTTGCTCCCAACCCCCTCCCTCCACCCAGATCTGACACTGTTCAACAAAAGTCCTGGTCTTGCCAGAAAGACTCTAAAGGTACAATTCTGTGAATGTTTAGGGAGGAAAAGGCTTGCAGCTCCCAGCACACCCCAGTCAACATGCGGCTTGATGGGAGTTATAGGGTTTTTTCCTGCCTAAATACACATAGGATTGCACTCTGGGTATGGTTCAGTCACAGAGGAACTGACTAAATTTCCTGCATGGCAGGAACAAGGTAGATATGGTGAACACCACAGAGGTGTCCCTAAAAGACAGTGGGCTCCATTTGTCTTCTACCATTTTTTCCTAAAACAGGGGTGGGCAATTTGTGGCTCTCCAGATGTTTGGACCTACAAACACCCATCATGCTTCACCATTAGCTATGCTGGTGAGGGCTCATGGGAACTGTAGGCTGAAATCTCTGGCAGGTCACAAGCGGATCTTCTTTGTGCTGGAGGCATGTTCACACCAAGCTTTTCAACAGGGCTTCTCTGGAGGAAAGCTGTTGTCTGAGCCACATCTCAGTAGAGATACTGATTAGTTCTCAGTTTCTGAGTAAGGGAGTTCTCATTAATTTTTCTGAGCTGCCTGGAGAACTTTGTGTATCAGGCAGTATAAAAATGAAACAATGAAATGAAAGCAAATCTCAATTTTTCATGATTTTCCATATCATGTCAGAAGTCTCATAAAGAACACAGAATAGGCTTTTAAGTAAGCAACTTAGCCTGCCACCGTGTACATGATTTTTTTAAAAATCCCAAAAGCACATTGGGGTTCTGCTGTGACTTATTCAGTGTAAGGATTAAGTCTAGCACCACTGCAGAGATGCCTCAGGAAGATTTGAGGTCTGATTCTGACTTAGGTGAGGACAGAGAAGAGGCAGCAGAGGCCTCAAGGCCACTGCAGCTGGACTTTGGCAGGAAAGCTGCCGATAGTCCAACAAGCCATTCTGAAACTAGGAGAATGCCTAGCCAGAATGAAGATGGGAAGAAGGCATTAAAGAACACCAGAGGCAGACATTGCATGAGGAGGGAGGAGCTGCCTAAGCATTCCTCAAGGAAAAGGTCTACCTTGAAGGCAGGGCTTTGCTAGCATACCTAATCGGAATGGGAGGGTGCTAAGAATTTCCCAACTGGATCCCACTCTCCAACTTGCTGCCTTTGTGCCTTCCAGACATGTTTGGATTGCAACACCCAGAATTCCCATGCAATGGCCTGGCTAGCCACCTCTGAAGGCCACCAGGTGGGGGAAGTCTGCCTTAAATTAAGCAACTAGCTTTCTTAGATGCTAAAACAGGGTTTTGTAGCCACTGCTTGCAACCTGAAACAAGACTGAAACAAGACTGATTCCCTTCTAGTCAGCTAGAAGTGTGTTAAATGTAATAGAAATCACATGGAAGGAAAGGTTAAAGCCTGGTATAATAGCAATGGATATCTTTAAAGCCTTTGATTGTGTGGAATGGCCTATAATAAAAGATACTGATTGAGATATTAGGATTTGCTAGAATAGCAGTACGTAAAATGAAAAAATTACCTAAGATTAATTTTTTGTTGGGGATGTTACCCATTAAGATATTAGGAAAATAACTGGAAAATTGAAAGAGTAGAATTGGGACTGGTAAAATATGATTAATAAATTTTGTAATGGGGCAAGACAGTGAGGATTAGTTTAAAAAAAAGTGGTATAAACCAGAAAAATGAAAAAATTGGGTATTCTGAATATAAAATTATATTACATAGCAAATCACATGAGATACATGAAATATTGTATTACAATCCCAAAAGGTAATATGGGCAGAATTAGAATAACAACAAATTGAGGATGAAGAATAGAAGAATTTCCAGAAAAACTGAGAGGCAGTTTGAGAAAAGTACTGAAGGATAAACAAGTTCTTAGGTTAAAAGATTGGCTAGAGAAAATGTATAAGGAAAAGATAAAAGCGGTATAAAGGAAAAGTTAACTTGGTTTAATGTTATCCAGTTAAAACAAAAGACTAAAGAATGGGTATAGAAAAATAGCAAATGCTATTATTATTATTTAGATATTACTAAATTTGAAGAGATCGAATTACAAAAGGAAAAACAAGATAATATGCAAACAAGAGTAACAGTAAGTGCAATTTATAAGATATTATGAGAAATGGAGGATCAATATGATCCTCTTAAGGTCTTATGGGAAATAGAGTTAAGCAGGGATATAAGTAAGGAAGGGACTGCAGGTGGCACAGTGGTTTAACCGCTGTGCTGCTGGGCTCGTTGATCGAAAGGTTGCCGGTTCGAATCTGCACAACGGGGTGAGTTCCTGTTGCTCTATCCCAGCTCCTGCCAACCTTGTAGTTCGAAAGCATGCAAATGCAAGCAGATAAAAAGGTACCACTTTGATGGGCAGGTAACAGAGTTCCGTGCACTTTGGTGTTTAGTCGTGCCGGCCACATGACCATGGAGACTGTCTGTGGACAAACGCTGGCTCCCTCAGCTAGGAAACGGAGATGAGCACCACCCCCTAGAGTCAGGCATGTCTGGACTTAATGTCAAGGGGAAACCTTTACCTTTATAAGTAAGGAAGAATAGGGAAAACACAGGATAAGAGAATATTAAAATATATGTCAATTAGGATAAAGAAAAACTTCTACAAATGAATATGGAAATAGTATCTGACACTGTAAAATTAATTTATATGGATAATATATGTTGGAAATATGGTAAAAACATGGGTACTTATTTCCATACGTGGTGGGAATGTGAAGAAACTATGAAATTTTGGAAAGTGCTTTTTAAGGAAATCAGTAAAATATTAATTTTAGATATTGAAGCAGACCCTGGAATTGTATGATTGTCATTATTTCCAACTAGAAAAGGAATGTTAAAGAATTAGTAGCACATTTATTAACAGCTGTAAGATTTAAAATAGCAAACAACTGGAAGGAAAAACATAAATTCTACGTGAATTGTATAAGAAAATTTGGAATACAGCTCTTAATGACAAGTTGATACATAGTATTAAGGTGAAAAAGAGTTGACAAGAATAATTTTGATAAAATTTGGAGTTGTGTATTGAATATATATTAACAAAAAGGAAGGAAAACTTCGTATGACTGAATGCAATTTTAGATGGGGAAGAGGTCTTCCTGAGAGAGGTGAAGGAAAGAAAAAAAAGAGAGGATGTATATATATAGATCTAAATAAATAATTATCATGCATTTTGTATAATATTATTTTGTTAGTTAAGAAAAAAGAAAAAAGACTGGCTCCCTTGTACCTTTTTTGTGTAATAAAAGCTAATTACTTAGAATTATGTATCAGTGACCTGCCTCTGACAGGAGGCAAAGAGGTCTTATCACACCCAACCTCTTGTGTGAGTTGGCTCACTTGTGAGAAAACCCCAAGTTTCTTATGATACCTGTTCAGACCTCATGCAGGACACCGGTGAAAAATGAGTTCCAAGAGAAATGTTCTTCCGCTCAAACCCAGAAGTGGAGCACTAAGCAGCAACTGAACACTGCGAAAGGAAGGCAAACAAGGGACGCTACCCTGACCTTGCCCCAGAAAAGAACACCTGACTGAAGTGGTAGTGACTATTTCTTGGTGGATAGTAACATCTATTTTGGAGTTGGTACTGGAGTTGACAAGACGCTAAGGGAACTGCACTGATGAGATGTGACTGATGTACTGAAGCTCTGCTGGCGTGAACCCTCCACATGCCAGAATGGTGTTTGCGTGAATGTTCTTGATTTGTCAAACAGAAAGAGATCTCAGCTTGCTCCCTCTTGGCTTATCTCGTATTTCAAAGGAATTCCAGGAGATGATGAGCTCCAAGTTCCCTATTTCTCTGTAATGTGTCTCAGAGAACTTACATGCCCAGCCAAGAAGGGGCTAGGCAAAGGGTGCAGAACGTCTTTCACACCAAGGGGCACATTCTGTACCAGAGAAGAAGTTCTTGAGGGCCATGTTCCAATGCTGGGTGGGACCAAAGGCCAAAGGGGTGGACATGAAGGCAAAGTGAGCGGGACCAAAACAACAGAGAACTCCCAGCCTAATTAAACTTACAGCTCTTATTGCCAGTAACTAAGCTTTCAGAAGTGCATTTAATTTAGAAAGGAAGAAGACCAGTACAAAGACTAGGAAAATGCCAACGAATCCATGATTTGGGGAAATAGGTGGGGCCAGAGAAAGGGACATGGCCATTAGAGGAACCCTGAACAGCCTAATTAGTACCCTGGCCTAAGATTCTACACCCCTGGACTAGATGCACTGCTTTGAGAGTCTGATGTCCAGTGTCCCTGACTCTGATTAAACCTGAAGCCCTCTTCCACCCCAGCAAGGCCAAGAGGTATACACAAGACCCGTGTGTGCTCACCCAGGCTGCGGCAGCTCTCGCCGTCAGGCTCCAACATCCACCCCTCGTAGCAAGAGCACTTCACACTGTATTTGTTCTGCTCGCACTTCTGGCTGCACTTGAGGTGTTTGGCACAGTAGCTCTGGATCTGGCAGGTCTTGTTGTCAGCACCCAGCTCCATGCCCAGCGGGCACGAGCATGCAATGCCCTCACCTGGGGCCACGGTGCAGTTGTGGCTGCAGCCCCCGTTGTTCAGAGAGCAAAGGTCTGTCAGAAATTAGAGACACCAAGGAGACATTATGAGAAATTCTGCTTTGTGTTCAAGTTGCTCACAATCTGCTGCTAGGCCTGAGGGAGAAAAATGCTAGGCCTGCACTGTCAGTCCCCTGGCTAATAAACTCACTTTACTTCCACTCTCAGAACTATCAATGCAGAAATCTGAACTCAAGGTGCCTTCTTCCCTATGTGCCAGCATGACTCCTGAGATTGGAGGCAGAGGCCCTTCTCCGGGAACCCTCTTTGAAGGAAATTAGGAGAATAGTTACTTGGAGAAGGGCCTTTTCAGCGGTGGCACCCGACTGTGGAAAATGCTTCCCAGGGAGGTTCTCCTAGCACCGTCGCTCTATTCTTTTTGGCATCAGACAAAGACCTTTTTATTCTCCCGGTATTTTAACAATTAATTGGTTTTATCCTGTTGTTATTACTATTTTAGATGTAGTGTGCTGCGTGTCATTGTTATGGTATTGTTCTTGGTTTCCTTCCTCGTAAGCCGTTCAGAGACCTTTCTTTAATAATGGACGGCATAGAAAATTTTTAAATAAATAAATGGGCATCTCTTCCCCAGGGCTGACCCAAGTTATTCTGTAAGGTGAAAGGAAAGTGGTGCCTCTGTTTGTTCCATGTACAAAGCTGACCAGCACAGAATTTGAACCTTACTTCAGCACAAGCAATGGGACATCATCCTTTGCTGAGCTCACTCAGGGTGGGCCCTGGGCAGGACATGCATAGGTCCATCCTCCCAAATCTTCTCATCATTCAGCTGGCCGTATAGCTCTTAACTCATTAAAAAAGTATGATTATTGAATCTCAACCTAGTACTTAGTCAGTAGTAATTATTTGTTTATTTCAGGGGCAGGTGTTAAATCCTGCTGCCTAAGCAATACTCCCAAAGCAGATTAAAATGAAAATAAAATGATCCATTAATTTTATTGTGACTTCATGGCTGAGGTAAGATTTGAACAGGATGCTTCCAGGTTCAGAACTCACACCCTTCACCATTACACACCCTTCACACTGAATCACCAATGATGGACAGATGAGCGCCACTTCTCAGCCTGCCCAATTTCTTTGCTGAAACAGAGCAGAGAACTGAGGGGGTCCTGGTTCCTGAGCAGCATAAAGATGAACAGATCAAGGAATGGAAGCCAGCCAATCACCCTGGTTTCACGAGCCAGTGAAAGAACAACTTTAGGAGAGAACCCTGGCAAGTCACTTCTCAACCTCACACTCACCACAGAGTTTTCCTTCATCAGACCCATCCCCACAGTCATCGTTGCCATCGCACAACTTTTCAGGAGGAAGACAGATTGATGTGGTGTTGGCACAAGTGTGTGAAGGTGGCTTGCACACCAGTGACTCGCAGTTCTCCTCGTCAGAGTTGTCCTCACAATCGTTGTCCCCATCGCATACCCAAGCTTTGCTGATGCACCGGGCTAGGAGGAGAGGCGAAGACAATGTTCAAAATGGCAGAGAAGATGAGAGACAAAGTTAATTACTTCAAAGCAAATTCAGTGCATGCCTTTGCAAGGCCTGAGGGCCATTGGTGGCTCCCAGCCATCTCAAGCAGGCTCCCTGCTCTCTCTCTTGCTCTCTCTGACCTGGTTCACACAACAAAGTGAACCAGCTAGCATTTCCCTAATTATTCACACAGGCGTTTGTTTAGCAGCTGGCTGGTTGCTGTGACCTGGGCTACTAGACAGCCAGTATAACATAGTATAGTGGTTAGAGCACTGAATCGGACCTCTGGGTTATAGTCTCTGTAAGCCACAGAGCTCATTAGGTGACTCTGTGTCAGCCACAAACTTCCAGCCTAACCTACCTCACAGGGTTGCTCTTGTGGGGTTAAAATGGCAAGAAGGAGAACCTGGTAAAGTTATCTTGGGTTTCTTGCAAGAGGAAGAAAGCAAGATTGCAATGCAATGCAATAATATTAGAAAGGCTTCAAAAATGGAGGACAAACTACTCAGTAAGTTGTAATGAAGAAAGAGCACCATTACTGGCTAGCTGCACCAGTATTTGCATCCAAGAATCAAGTGAAACTCTTGGAATTCGGCTGAAAGTTGCCAGGGAATTAGGTGGTAGACTGAGTGACTGACCAAGGCATTGCTCATATTGGACAGGAATGTGGAGAGGTCTGAAAAGTCTGAGTCTGGTGTACAGTGTGATGACCAAAGCAGGGAAGGAGAGGAGAAAAGAACTCTGCCAGGAAAGTCCTCCAAGGGGCCTTCAGTGGTAGCACGCAAAGCCAAAGTAGCATGATGGGGCAGGAAGCCAGCTGTTTTTTTTACAGATCTTGTTTGTACAGAAATAGTTTCAGTTGCAAAATTGTTTCAAAATGTTGCATACTGGAATATTTTATGTGATATTTTATTGCATTTGTGAATTGTTGTGAACCACCCAGACAGTTTCAGCTATTTGGCTATATAGAAATTAGATTAATAATTACAACCATAACAACAATAATGGTGAAGGGCCTCCTGCTTGAAAAATAGTGACTGCTCACTATTTCCACCATGGCTACTTCTGCATGGAGTCATCTGAAGGAGATTTTCTGCACTATGAAAAGTCTGTTAGATCAAGGACTGGTGACAGTTGAAGAGGACATGGTTGCCCACTTTGACATTTTTGCTGAGTGTTTGTAAAATCACTCATATCTGCTCTGCCTTGATTCCAACAGGCTGGCCCAACGTCACCCCTTATCTGTGAACTTCCTGGACAGGTTAGGATTCAAAACCAGGTCTCCTAGCTACAGCCCAACACTCTACACACACACTGCACTCGTTCTCCAGAGGTGTTAGAACAGCACTTCTGAACCCTTACATTACAGTTATCTGGATGTGTGCCTGCAGAGCCAGAGAACTCCACCCCAAACCCTGCAATGCCATTACCAGAGTCTTTGCAGCCAAACTTGACATTTGGGTCACAGACGTGGGTGACACCCTCACAGTTCTTCTCATCGCTGGAGTCCATGCAGTCGGTGTCCCCATCACAGTGCCAGCGCATAGGAATGCAGAGTGCGTCCAGCCGGCACTGAAACTCATCTGTGTGGCAGCCTCCAGGTGGGCGTGTGGCTGGGGAAGGAATGACACAGGCAGGAGGTTAACTAGCTTAAAGCTGGCAACTAACTGTGGGTATCATTTAGGTGCCATTAACTTCCTGGGCCCATATAACCCCCAGCCCCATGCTTTAAAAGCAGCAATGCAAGCCTCACTTGTAGGTCCACCCTTAATATTAGTTAGACTAGTAGGCACTGTGGGCCTTCTCCATATGGATTCTCAGCTTTGTGCAATTCCTTCTCAAAGGATAGGCAGGCGGCTCCTTCAGCTGAAATATTTAAAATGCTTGAATGGCTTTTAATGGATGAATTTTATTGGTCATGCTGCTGGTTTATGGATCTTTTATAGCTACAGCTCTGGTTTCTTTTAATACAGGGTGAATTGCATGTTAATGTCTGATTATTTTGCATTTTTACATTTTATTACAATATCATTGCATTCTTACAGTTGTATATTACTATTTGCCTCAGATACTTTGTTCAGAAAGGTGACCTATACATATTTAAATTAGGAAATAAAATTAAGTCTTAAAATGGCAGGAAAAACTCCTACCTAACAAAATAGAAGGCAGGATGTCTATCAGGCTGAAGACAAATAGTCTTTGCTTGGAGAGGAAGGGCTGATTTGCAATCCAATCTTTTGGAACCTGGGGGAAATCTTCTGCCCCTACTGGCTATGCCAGAAGCAGAAGCCATTGTAACAATCTGACAACCAAAACCAGCAGGGAGAATGCAAAAGTCATGAAGAAGTTAAGCTTGTCTGAGAAGCTCAGGTTTGCTACATTTGAAAACAAGCCAGAAAAACAAGTGTCTACTTCTCTGGGGGAGAGAAGTCAAAACACACAGGCATTGCCTGTAAAAGGTTCTAATCCAGAGGAGCAGTGCTTTTACGGTCTTACACCAGGGGTGTTGAACCTCTTTCAGCCTGCATGCTACATTCCATTGTGGGGAGGCAAGAGTGGGCAGTGTAGGGCAAGGCCAAAGGCAAAATCTGGAGGGGCCCAAAATACCAGTGCCAGTATACTTGAGATTAAAGCTGTCATGGACAGTAATGAAGCCCCAAGAAATGCATTTCATCTGTCCAAAACGGGGAAAAACTGTGCCAGAGCTGGGAAACCACCAACTGGCACAGGGGAAGAGCATATGGGGCCAGGGGAAGGGTGTATGGCCAACTGTAAAAACCAAGACTGGGACCGCAGCTGGGGCAGATCAGGCTCAGGCATCTGAGATTCTGCAGCCTCGATCTATGCTGTTGCTGCTACCTCCAACATGGCTTCTCTGGTCATTGTTTCCTAACTGTTCCCACTTTGGTTTATTTATTTTACAATTTTTCTGTAGACTCTGTATAAATTGCCTTTCACTGGTATTTCATATTCTGAAGAAAACACATACCACAGAACCACTGATGATTGCTTGCACAGAATACATACACGCGAAGACTGGAATGACTATAAATGAAAATCAGCAGAACCCTCTATAAGATGCTTTGATTGTTAGTTGATTCAATCAACTAATTCTGAGCACAGGTTTAAGTTCTACATATGAAAATCAGATGGAAGCCGCTGCCGAGAGCCTTCCCTCTGGCTAAGTGTGAAGAGCTGGCTCACGCTCACCCTGGTTGGTGCAGTTGGCATGGGTCTCATCGCTGTAGTCCCCACAGTCGTTATCTCCATCGCAGGTCCAATGCACGGGGATGCAGCGGCCACTGTTGCACTTGAACTGGTTGCTGGAGCAGGAGTGGCTGCAGCCGGCTTCATCGCTGTTGTCTCCACAGTCGTTATCTGGAAGTCAGAGGAAGAATGCAAGAGGGAGATGGTTAAGAGGCCCCAGGGAGCAGACGTGACCCTTTCCCTCGCACACCCGCTAGGCTACTCCAAAGCTATACGCAGATTCCCCTGGCTGGCAAGCAGCTAGAATGCTCCAGACCTTTCAGCGATGCACCCGCTGTCTAAGCAGAAGGGACTGTGGCATCCCAACAAGTCCATGTTAATGGCACCCTCCTACCCCATGCATGCTTTAGCCAGGCATGCTTCCCATCATCCCAAGAGCTCTTGCCACTAGTAAAGCAACTAAAAAGACTAACAATAGTAGTAACAGTAATAGTAATAATAATAATGATGATGATGAAAACACAGAAACTGCATAGATCACCTCATGCACCATGGGGGAAAAGGGAGTGGGTGAAGTGACAGAGCAAATATCCTGCTACTAGATTCTTGAACCGTGGCATCTGGACATTCCTCTGCGCATGTATGTGTATGGCCAGTTTTGACCAGATCTAACACATCACTTTTACAGTCTGTAGCGGCTCATCAAGTTTTTAAACAAGGACAAACATTTCTTCAAAGAGTTTAGCTTGCAAAAGTTTCCAGCTGAATCAGCTTACTGCTATACACCCTTGCATTATCGGATTTTCTTCTCCCTGGCTAAAGCCCCACTTGGATTTGGTGGCTTGAATCATTGCTCCTGCTTCACCTCCCCCTCCCTTCATCAAAGTCTCCTCGCCAAATTCTGGAGCACAGTGTGGCACACGGAATGATGAATGGCCTCCTTCTCCCTTGGCTAAGCATGTTGGCAGGGCTAAACTGATTGATGCACTGGCGTTTACCCTGACAGAAAGAGAGCAGGAGAATGTGCACTCACCTGCTTCTCTCAGGATAATTTTGGCACTTGTTCCGAGACAGACCTTGGAGATCACTGAAATGCCATTCACAGATCTGTCTCAGAGCCTATCCTGTGCAAGGGATTACTCCCGTTAAAGAGGGCACCTAATTTTCACACACAGTTAAGAAATGCAAAGATGTTTTTGCTCCCTTAAAGCATCACTCGGAAGTAATTCCTGTGATGGCGACCATGGTGTTGCAGTGAGAGTGCTGGACAGGGGGGTTTGACAGATTCTGGTGTCTCTCCCCACATGGCAACTTTGAGCCAGTTGGTGACTCTCAACCTAACCTGCCTCACAGAGCTTTTGTGAGGATAAAATGGAGAGGACAACTACTGTGTAAGTTGCTTGCAAAAGGAAAAGATAATAATAAAAAATACAGGAGAGCAATAGGATCACTTAGTAAGCATGGGCAGGTTGAGCTGTAAATTCTATGGAGAGAAGCAGTCCCTGAAGATGTTTTTGTGCCAAAGATTATGTTTTTAGGGTTCTTTTTCATGTTTGCTAATTTTAATCTAATTACATTTTTTATTTTCTGAATGTTTTGTAAATTGCTTCAGTTAGCTTCAGAAAGGGGGGCACAGAGAGACAAAAGAGAAATTACCCACCACTTGAAATAGTCCCTATTCCTATCCTTCCAAAGCCTGACGGTTGTTCATAGAAGTATTACTGGATGAAGTGAGACCTACTTCTGAGTAAGAACACATACATGGACTTGGTCTGTATGACTGAAGCAAGAATCTAATTGATGGAAGCTTCTGCAATCTGAGCTATAAATCCCACAATAGTGAGCCTATGGGACACAGAGAAGAAATTCCTCCAGTTTCTTCCATGCTGATGAGAATGTTACTAGCTAAAAGGAAAGGCAGGTCCCAGAATAGGTCTTCTGAGCTTCAGAACTGTTGTATCCAATTATATTATCAGAGGCTAAACAAAGGAGGATTAGGAAAACGTCCTTTTGCTTTGCATTTTCCTGCAGTCACTTAGGATTGTGCAGAAAAGTGAGGGGTATTTAAGGGAACAGAGAGAGTGTGGGGGGAAATTGAGGTGCATGTTGATCTATGCACTAACCGGTAGCTTTTGGACAATTCTTTTCGTCAGAGCCATCCCCACAATCCTTTTCTGAAACACAGAAACCAACCAGAGAAGACAGGAGAGTGGGCACAGTGAACACACACACAAACAAATGCACAAACCAGCAATACGATATCCAAAAAGAAACAAGGTCAACATGAAAAGCAGAAATAAAATACAAAAATGGAGACAAACAGGCATGCTCAAGACAGAAGATGAAAGGGGAAAGAGAAAGAGGGAAGGGCACCAGGAGAGGCATCTCAAAGCCTGTAAGAGGGGATAGAAGCATAGGACTGCATCCGAAGCTGAAGTAGTCCTCACCAGGGATGATAGTGGTATATTGAGAGAAGGGTGAGGCTGTGGTACCCCCCTTAGAAAAATTCTAGGCTACTTTCCTGAATTTTCAGCTTTCAGGAAGAATGGAAGAAAGGCTATTCCAGACCACTAATTTCAATAAGCAAAGCATGCTTAGCTCCAGTCTGTTTCATGTGAAACAGTAAACCATAATTAAAGCATTATGTACTTGAATCTATGTGAGTTTGAGCCTTAGGCTCAAGTGCTCTCCCTTCCCCTTTCCCCTTCCCATGCACACAGGAGGAAAAGGAGGAATAAGCCATGATTCACTTTCACTTTCCTTGTTTCTTGTTTGCTACATACAAAGCAAAAATCATGGCTTATAATAAACTCCAGTTTGATGAACAAGCCAGATTCATAACCCATGGTTAAAGCTCAGCCTTCTTCAACCCACTGCCCTCCAATCACATTGAACTACAGGTCCCATAATTTCAAGCACCACCAGAGAGTTTTTCTGATTCTTTTATCTGGAGAAGCTGGAAACTGAAGCCAGGACTTTCTGCGTGGAAAGCACTGAGCTGGAAACTGAAGCCAGGACTTTCTGCGTGGAAAGCACTGAGCTGGAAACTGAAGCCAGGACTTTCTGCGTGGAAAGCACTGAGATGTATGGTCCCTTCCCTAATATGGCTCCATTCCTATTTATACTGACAACATTCTCTGTGGCTTGTTTGGAGTTACAGTCAGAGGCCTAGGAAGGACCAACAGTTTGTCAAAGTCCACCCCCGCCAGTCGAGGCAGCACTGAACTTCATCTTCCTTCTCCCCCTCCCCAACTATCTGTATAGTCCAGATTGCAATGTGTGAACCCACAGAGGTGGAGCCAACAGCATGACATATTTTACCAAGGGGTCTTCGGACAAGTAAGTATAACTGACTCAAGACAAGTCAGTCAAGGCACGCTTTCCTACAGGAAGGCAAAACAACAACCTCAGAAGTAGCACTATGTTCAGTAGCCTATTTCACCAGAGGAGATTTTTCCCACTCCTCATACTGCAGTCATTTAGATAATCAAGAGCTAAAGCTTTTCCTGTGCCCTCTTCTTCATGTCATGTTTCCCCAGGAGTGGGATTTGAATGCCACTACTCTCAGCTCAAAGTTCCCACCCATAGAAAACTGGCACGTCAGCAAGAAGGCAAAGCTTCTTTCCCTGGTGTGCAAATGCAGGGATTTTTGCTTGTGTGAAGTGTTCAAAATCTAATCCAATAGCTGCCTGCAGCCTGAAGTGGTACAATACAGGCAAACTATCATCATTTGATTTTGGTGAATGTGCTGGGCCTTTAATTTTGAGCTTAAAGAAAAAATCCATCCATGCATGCACTAAATCTCTCCCCAGAATGCTGCTGGGGTACAAATTTATTCCCATCTCCACCTTCAACATCTACTACCTGTAGTAGTTTCAGGAAAAGGGGTAATTCCTAAGCTCTGAAAGCTTCACAGCAGATCAAAGCAGTCCAAGCATGCAATGTGATGAAAGAGTGGCCCTAAACTAAACCTGATTCAAAGTCCCTAGTAAACCATCACTGGTTCATATTAAAAGTGTCAGTGGAACTGAACTATTCCTGAACTTCCTCAGTTGTGTGCTGGGATTTAAGGAGCACCTCAAAACTCATCCCTGGTAGAAAGGTTAGGCTGGTAAGATTTCACCAAGGGGAGATCTAATGCTTGCACTGCCAACTCAATGCTTTAGAAGTATCCTGGTAGAGCAGGAGAGAGTCCATGAAATCCCATTAGAGTCAAGGCAATCCCCCACTCTAATGTAGATATGGGATGAACAGGCAGCAGGGTAAAGAAAGCACAATGGGAAAACCATGAAGAGATGGCAAACATGGGAAACACAGTTCAAGATTACCCCATTCCAAAGCATTCCCTATTCCCCATCACAGCCACATCCCTTTGTTTCTAGCCTCCACAGCCAGAGTACTGCTCAGCAACATGGCACTTACCATTGTCACATCTCCAGTTGATGTTGATGCAGCGGCCATTGTGGCAAGTGAATTGGGTCAGAGGGAAGCAAGTTGGGTAAGCTGCAGAGGGAGAAAAAGGGCAGAGTCAGTCTTCCATATACAGGATGCCCTGTTATCTACAGAACAAAGCCGGAAACCATTTTGTGCCAGAGGGTTGCATGCAGTGGTGGGTGGCAAGTCAGGAACTGCATGCTGGAGGTGAGCCTAGCCAGGGGATTGGCCTGTGGGACATCTTAGTGTCAGCCAAAGGCCACTGGTTGCCCTTTGCTACTTAGGGCTTGTTATTCTGGCATGTACATTTTGCCCATCAAAATCATGATCAATATTATCTTGTATGTCTCTTTAAGAGCATGCACAAAAAGGTCCAATTTTGAATAAAACCTTTTCTGATTACTTTCTCTAAATCACATAAATTAACATTAATTAAGACACCATTCTATGTACACTTGCTGCAATAAGTTCTACTTCTCCCAGCATGCCCTGGCCAGAGTGAGTAGCTGGGGAATGCTGGGAGCCGTAGAACTATGAGGGCAGGGGAGAGAGATTGCACCTTTAGGACTGCAATAGAGTAAATTCTGCCAAGACAATACTGTGTGTTTAAAAAATATTTTAAGTCTTTAGCATCCATCTAAAAAAATGATGCATGAGGGGTACAAATGCATACTTAGAAACAAATCAGGATCAGGCACAATTCTCTGCTGAGCGTACACTTCATAGCCCATCTTGATGTGTGAGAAAGCCTATGGTCCACCAGTATGACTTCTCCAGGCCATTTGGCTACCGAATGCCCAGCTATTACCCCAGTGCACGTAACTATCAACACTGCAACAATTCTTATTGATTTGTGTCCATGCATTCATTGACCCTAATACACCTGCATATTTTCCATCACTCACCACATGAGGCTGACTCATCAGAACGGTCCCCACAATCATCATCCAAATCACAGGTCCAGGAGAGTGGTATACAGCGGCCACTGGTACAGGAGAACTGGTTGGCAGGGCAGGTACGAGCTGGGTGAACAGCAACAGATCAGAGAGGAAAAGTTAGTGGCAGAACTGGACATTCCTGAAATATCCCAGTAAAGCGACCATATGAACATGTAAAACACTGGCAGCTGAACATGTCAAATGGAAAGATCTGAACTTGAGGAAGCACCTGTTTGGTAGAAGTGACAATGACCACCAAAACGGGCTGCATTCCTTGGTACTGTCCAAGCTGGTAGGGCAAGGGGCAATTATAAGGTCAAAAGTCAACCTGCACAGATCCCAAATCCTCTAACCACAGACCAGAAAGACAAAAGCATTAAAATATCTGACTGTACAGCAGCCTTTCCAAACCTGATGCCCTCCAAATCCTTTGAGGACAGCATCCAGCATTCCAGACTCTTAGGAATGCTGGCTGCAACAGGTGAGAGTTGAAGTCCAAACTGTCTGGAAGACACCAGATTGGTGAAGGTCCCTCTACAGTCTTGTCCTACATTCAACCAACTCCCCTTACAAGGTTGCTGTGAACACAACATGGGAGAGAATGATGGGCACTTCGGAAAAACAGCAGGATAAAAATATGATAGATACAGACAAGATAAAAAGACAGAGCACGAAGGTCCCTCACCTGAGCAGGTGGAGTTGGACTCATCCTCGTTGCTCCCACAGTCATTGTCCCCATCACACAGCCAGCGGTTGGGGATGCAGCGATTATTCTCACACTTGAAACGGTCTGAGGGGCATGTGTGCTGATCTGGAGGATGGCAAAGAGAGGACCATCTTTTACAACCACATGGCACAAGGCAAGTCTTTCCCGTAAACATATTCCAGTGATCCAGAACCAGGTCAGAACAACAGTCTTCCCTCAACAAACGATATTATTGCTACTGCAGTTCGGACAACAGGCCCTGTGCAGGCAGAATCCATATGTGTGCAGCACAGAGACCACACAAAAGAACAGCTGTGGCTGCTGCTACTGCCATTGTGATGCATTGATATCCTCCTTTGTTCCTCTAGTGAGGAACCCAAGGCAGCTTTCCAGACTCCACTTATCCTTATAATAGCATACCTGTGAGCTAAGTTGGGCTAAGAGTCCACAACTGGCCCAAAAGCACTCAGTGAGCTTCATGGCTGAATGTGGACTTGAACATGAATCTCCCAGGTCCCACTCCGACCCTTGAATCATCACATCATGCTAGCAATAGCTCACCTAAGACTAGTAATGGGAAGTTATTCATTCAGTGAAGCCAGGTCAGTGAGTATTCTGTAACCAAATAACCAGCAAACAGAAAACCCAGATTTTCACCTAATTTATCATTGCATTGTAGGAAGCTGAATTATACCAGGTCAGATTCTTCACTCATCTAATCCAGGGCCATCTACTCTGGCTGAAAGTGCTTATTCTCCAGGGCTTCAGGCAGAAAAGGGTATTCTCCATCACCTACTATCCAATTCTTTTCACTGAAGGGGTCGAGGACTGAACCTGGGACTTTCCATGGAAGTACAATCTTCTAACCACATTTTCAAATAACTCAGGTTGGGAAAGGGTGGTGTTCCAGGAAAACACGTAACAGAGAGTAACAGAGGGTGAGAAAAATCAAGAAAAAAATTATTTTCCTCTGCTACCCTAAGGGCTAGCCATTTGTTTCTTTTCAAATGAAAGCTGAAATTCCACACCAAACAGATTTTCTGCTTACAACAGTAACCTTATCTATGAAATATACAGAACCGTGGCAAGGTCCAAAAGAGAAAACATGAACTCTGAACTGCACTGGTTCAGTTCTCCCACTTCCTTTCAGTTTGTGCTGAATGTGCAAACCAAGAGATCTGATCCCACAGTCCAACAGAACTATTTAATTCCATCTCTCATGTTTACCTCCAGATTCCTGGTCTGAGGGATAAACTGCATACTACCTTAAATGTATTGCATTATTCACCTGTTCCTTTTTGTTAACTTGAGTGTAAATGCATGGATTTCCAATCCAGATCAGGACTACATCATGTGAGTAGAATGTGGATTAAACCTACCCCCCTCCCCACACCAAGCCTCTTTCTCCACATTAAAATTTCCCTAGCCTACCTATGAGCTAAAGAAAGGGAAAAAAACTTAACTGGTTCCTATGGAGAGAGGGTTTTTCTTTGGCCCCTGTACTGTGGGGAGGGTAGTTTTTGGAGGAAAGAAGCTACAGAGGGAAGGTTTAATCTCACCCTACTCATGTGCAGGGGACCAACCTGGGGCACACTCAGTTACACACCATGCATTTAAAATAACAGTTTGGCCCTGTGACAGGGCACACCAAGTCTGTAGGTGGAGCCCTTGGACAGGGTAAAATCAATCAAAGAGAACCCTCCTCTTGCTACTCCTCAAGAAAATACGTACGGCAGAGCTCTGGTGCCTCATCGCTGTTGTCCAGGCAGTCATTGTCCCCATCACATTTCCAACGTTCCTGTATACACCGGCTGTTCTTACAAGCGAACTCCCCAGTCTGGCATTGCGGTGGTGGGACATAAGACGGGTTGGCTAGGCAAGTAAGGAAAAGGAAGAGGGTTGGAGGAAAAAGATTTTCAAGGAGAGGCATTTTCCTTAGGAACTAGAAACAGGTATTTTTTTTCCCAGAACACCTTTTGAATAGCATTCCTTAATTCCAGATTTCCCACAATGCCACAGAAGCTAAGAAATGTGCTGTACTCAAGGCCAATCTTGATCTGAAGTTATTTGTGCAATTAGCAATTGTGTCCATTAAAAACAAAAGCCTAAATGGGAGAAAAGGATTTAATCAGAACCAAGGTCTTCCTTAACCTGGTGTCCTCCCAGCCTTCCCCAGTCTTGCACCCTCCTAATGTTCTGGGCTTCCAATTGCCATCAGCCTTAGCCAGCCTGGCCAGTGCTCAGGAACTCTTGGAGCATAACCCAAAACATCTTGCAGGGACCAAGCTGGGGAAAGCTGCTTTAATGTTCTGCCCCTGCAGGATCCAGAAACTCTACCACCCTGGTTACCTGCACTGGAAGGAGACCTCTGTCTCTGCAAATAACAGCTGTTGGTGGAGGGAGGCTCTCTATTTGGATAGGAGGGAATGCTATTTACCAAAAAGTGCAACATTAATTAATACATGTGTGACTAGTCTAACACCTTGGTTTTGCCATTGAATACTATGGCTGTGCCATAGCTGGCTGGGAAAAACTGGTGTTGTAACCCGACACCATCTGGAGGATACTAGCTTGGGGAAAGCTGTCTCAGTGACACACACCTCTGCATAAAATAGTAACTCTTTTCTTATATAAATCAATCTGACCCCGAGATCTTTTCAGGAGGCTTTGCTTTGTTGCTATCCCACCAGGAAGAGCATGTTACCAAATAAGGGCATATACAGTATATCAAAGAAGTGAGTTCACCCCTCACATTTTGTAAATATTTTATTGTATCTTTTCATGTAACAACCCTGAAGAAATGACACTTTGCTACAATGTAAAGTAGTGAGTATACAGCTTGTATAGCAGTGTAAATTTGCTGTCCCCTCAAAATAACTCAACACACAGCCATTAATGTCTAAACCGCTGGCAACAAAAGTGAGTACAACCCCTAAGAGAAACTGTCCAAATTGGGCCCAAAGTGTCAATATTTTGTGTGGCCACCATTATTTTCCATCACTGCCTTAACCCTCTTGGGCATGGAATTTACCAGAGCTTCACAGGTTGCCACTGGAGTCCTCTTCCACTCCTCCATGACGACATCACGGAGCTGGTGGATGTTAGAGACCTTGTGCTCCTCCACCTTCCGTTTCAGGATGCCCCACAGATGCTCGATAGGGTTTAGGTCTGGAGACATGCCTGGCCAGTCCATCACCTTTACCCTCAGCTTCTTTAGCAAGGCAGTGGTCATCTTGGAGGTGTGTTTGGGGTCGTTATCATGTTGGAATACTGCCCGGCAGCCCAGTCTCCGAGGGGAGGGGATCATGCTCTGCTTCAGTATGTCACAGTACATGTTGGCATTCATGGTTCCCTCAATGAACTGTAGCTCCCCAGTGCCGGCAGCACTCATGCAGCCCCAGACCATGACACTCCCACCACCATGCTTGACTGTAGGCAAGACACCCTTGTCTTTGTACTCCTCACCTGGTTGTCGCCACACACGCTTGACACCATCTGAACCAAATAAGTTTATCTTGGTCTCATCAGACCACAGGACATGGTTCCACTAATCCATGTCCTTAGTCTGTTTGTCTTCAGCAAACTGTTTGCGGGCTTTCTTGTGCATCATCTTTAGAAGAGGCTTCATTCTGGGACGACAGCCCTGCAGACCAATTTGACGCAGTGTGCGGCGTATGGTCTGAGCACTGACAGGCTGACCCACCACCCCTTCAACCTCTGCAGCAATGCTGGCAGCACTCATCCGTCTATTTCCCAAAGCCAACCTCTGGATATGACGCAGAGCACGTGCACTCAACTTCTTTGGTCGACCATGGCGAGGCCTGTTCTGAGTGGAACCTGTCCTGTTAAACCGCTGTATGGTCTCGGCCACCGTGCTGCAGCTCAGTTTCAGGGTCTGGGCAATCTTCTTATAGCCTAGGCCATCTTTATGTAGAGCAACAATTCTTTTTTTCAGATCCTCAGAGAGTGCTTTGCCATGAGGTGCCATGTTGAACTTCCAATGACCAGTATAAGAGAATGAGAGCGATAACACCACATTTAACACACCTGCTCCCCATTCACACCTGAGACCTTGTAACACTAACAAGTCACATGACACCGGGGAGGGAAAATGGCTAAAAATGCCCAATTTGGACAGTTTCACTTAGGGGTGTACTCACTTTTGTTGCCAGCGGTTTAGACATTAATGGCTGTGTGTTATTTTGAGGGGACAGCAAATTTACACTGCTATACAAGCTGTATACTCACTACTTTACATTGCAGCAAAGTGTCATTTCTTCAGGGTTGTCACATGAAAAGATATAATAAAATATTTATAAAATGTGAGGGGTGTACTCACTTCTGAGATATACTGTAAGTGGGTCTTTTTGGTAGAGGCATCCATCCTGCCAGAACATCTGTGGACTGGGAGGTGGAAGCTGTTGCGTTGCCTCATAAAGATGTACCTCTTCATTCAGGCTTTCCCTGGTGTGTAATTGCACTACTCTATTTTTATGCTTCTGCATTGCTTTTACCATATTTATAATTTTATAATGTTCATATATTGGCTTTAATGTTGTATCTTAAGTATTTCTTACCTAAACCTCCTCGGGATCTTCAGATATTAAGCAGTATATAAGTAGTTTAAATAAAACAGGTTAACACCTCAGTATGATGACGATGACGAACTGCTACTGCCTACATAAAATCTATGTTATATAAAAATACAGCAGGGAAACAGGAAGACAGTAACACCCTTTAAATATCCCTCTGAAACCTCAAGACTTCAAGCAGCAGCTAGGGAATTACAAGGAAATGATCGATCTATAACTGTCCCACAGTTTCCTCACTAGCATCTGGGACTGAACATTTTCAGAAGCCAAAATGATAGGCTGGGCTACTTTCTGGGTTTGTCTGACCCATTTTAGTAGCTTGGTTGTATTTAATACAACATCTCTCCTACCCCCTTGCACACAGAAACATAAACGTAGAAACACAGAAACAGAGCAAGTCAGAAGGGGCCTCCCGGGCCATATAGTCTGACTTCCAGCACCAGCTGGCTCCGCTCACGACATGCCCACCATGTGCAAGTCCAGGCTATCCTTGAACACCTGCACCAATGGGGCCTCAACGACCTTTTGTGGAAGCCCATTCCACACCCCTGGGGTCCTAACTGTCAGGAAGTGCTTCCTGGCATCCAGATGGAATCTTGGTTCCCTGAGCTTTGCTCCGTTGAAGCACATCCTGCCTTCCTCTGCAGGGGAGAACAGGTCTCTACCCATCTCCATGTGACATCCCCTCACATACCTGTATGTCGCCAACATATCCCCCCTGAGTCTCCTCTTCTCCAGGCTGAAGAGACCCAGTTCCCTCAGTCTTGCCTCATCCCCCAACCCCTGCAAACTGTACACTGCACTGACTCTAACCTGGCTATATCCTTTCTGTAATGAGGGGCCCAAAACTGAGCACAATACTCCAGTTGCGGGCACACCAGAGTCGTATAAAGTGGTAGTAATACCTCTCTTGATCTAGAAGCCACACTTCTGGCTATGCAACCAAGGGTGGCATTTGCCCTCTTGACCACCGCATCACACTGCTGACTCATGTTTAGCCTGCAGTCAACCAGTACCCCCAGGTCCCTTTCACAAGTGCTGCTCTCCAGCCACTTGTCACCTAACCTGTACTTATGACACCTATTCCTATACCCCAAGTGCAAGACCTTGCACTTATCCACGTTGAGCACCATCCGTCTCCTGCCCACTTCCATAGTCTGTCCAGATCCTTTTGGATCTGGAATACCTGCTCCTCAGTTGTGGCCACTGATCCAGTTTTAGTGTCGTCTGCAAATTTGATCAGCAGACTGTTCACCCCTCCTTCCATGTCATTAATGAAAAGATTAAACAGGATCGGCCCCAGGACAGAGCCCTGGGGGACCCCGCTTGTCACTGGCCGACATCCCAATGTTTCCCCACTAATGGTTACCTTCTGCTTTCGGTCAGTCAACCATGCCCTAATCCACCGGACAGGGGTTTGGTGTATCCCAAAACTCCTCCACCAGTTTCTCCACCAGGATATCATGGGGCACTTTGTCAAAGGACTGGCTGAAATCTAGGTAAACCACATCCACTGCATCCCCTCCATCTAGCCACCTCAAAACCTTGTCGTAGAATTCCACAAGGTTTGTCTGGCAGGACCTTTTTGCGGAAGCCGTGTTGTGTGGCTGTCAGCCTCCCTTCCCTATCTAGCATCACTAGATCTCTATTATGAGCCTTTCCATTGTTTTTCCTACAATGGACATAAGGCTAACAGGTCTATAATTCCCCACGTCCCTTCTACTACCTTTTTTGAAAATTGGGATGCGTGCCAACATGCGTGCGTACACACACAATTAGTAGTGCTACATACAGAGTTTTGCTTATACAGTGGTACCTTGGCTCACGAACTTAATCTGTTCCATGACTCTGGTTGTGACCCAAGTCAAATTTCCCCATAAGGTTCAATGTAAATAAGGTTAATCTGTCCTGTAACTATTTTTTTTAATCAGAAAAAATTGAAACACAGTGACAAAGAACAACAAAGAAAGAAAGAACAACAAATTAACAAAGTACTGTGCAGTACAGTGGAGAACAATAACCTAAGTGGGGGGGGGGAGGTTATTGTTTTGAGGGAGAGTCCCCCACCATAAGGACATTGGGGAGATCTCTCTCAGGGGTTTCATCTCTTCTTTGTCTCTTAGCTGCAGGGTCAATTTTTGTGAAAAATCTGTCTGTAGTCACTTGTTTTTCCTGCGCTGCTTAACCCTCCGGAAATGAGAGAGCACGTTATTGTTCATCAGATTCAACACTCTGTTCATTACAGTTCTGTTGGGGTGGTGCTTCTCAAAAGAAATCCTGGCACTCATTCCATTTTTTCATAATGGATTGTATCACATCCCTGCTACCCTCCTCCCTTTCTTCCTCTTCCTTGGTGGAATCCTCCTCAGCAAGTGCCTTCTGCTGCTCACTCTGGAGTTCAGCAAGTTCTTCTGTTGTCAGCTCCTCAACAAGCTCCTCTGTGTCTGCACCACTGATGTCCAGACCCACACTCTTGCCCAGGGACACAAACTCCTCCACAACCTCTGCATCAGCCCCTCCAAAGTCACATTCAGTGACACATTCTGGCCACAGTTTCCTCCAAGCTGCATTTAAGGTCCAGTCCGTGACATCTTCCCAGGCTTTGTCAATGAGGTTGATGCAATGGAGGACATTGAAATGTTTCTTCCAGAATTATTTCAGAGTCAAGGACGTCTCTTCAGTGACATTAAAACACCTGCTGAACAGCACCTTCGTGTAGAGCTTCTTGAAGTTGCAGATCGCTTGCTACACCATGGGCTGCAGAAGAGCTGTCTTGTTGTGGGGTGGGGGGGGGAGAGGAACTTTATCTTTATGAAGTCATACTCAGTGTCCATATCATCCACCAACGTCCATCAGAAGAAGGCACCTTTCAGGCAGTTGGTTGTCAGAAAGTTATTTCTTAACAGTGGGTGCTAACACCTCATGCAGCCATTCCATGAACAACTGCCTTGTGACCCAAGCCCTTGCATTGGCCCTCCACATGACAGGCAGTCTGGCCTTGTTCACATTCTGTTCCTTGAATGCACGAGGGATATGGGACTGGTACACCAGTACTGGCTTAATCTTCAGATTGGCACTTGCATCCGCACACAGCAAAAGGGTCAATCTGTCCTTCATGAGCTTGTGCCCCAGCAGTGCTTTTTCCTCCTGTGTGATGTAGGTTCTGTTTGGCATCTTCTTCCAGAAGAGCCCTGTTTCATCGCAGTTGAACACTTGTTGAGCAATGTATCCTTCTGCCTTCATGAATTCAGCGAATTCTTTCTTGAAGGCTTCTGCAGCAGCCTTGTCAGAACTGGAAGCCTCACCATGTCTTATCACACTGTGGATGCCACTTCTCTTGCGGAAAGTATCAAACCACCCTCTACTGGCTTTAAATTCAACACTTGCTGCACTTGTAGAGAGGGTTTTTTTGTTGCAGTAAACCACTGTGCAATTTCCTAGCTTTTTCACAGATCATAGCTTCAGTAACGCTATCACCTGCCAGCTGTTTCTCATTCAACCACACTAACAAAAGTTTTTCCACCTCTTCCAGCACTTGTGTTCTCTGCTTGGTTAACATTGTTACTCCTTTTGCCACATCAGTTCCTTTGATGGCATCTTAACTCTTAAAATAGTCGAGATTGTCAACTTCACCATCTTGAACTCAAGAGGCCAGAACAGATACACGAATACCACACTCATGCTTTTCTACAATTTTCTTCTTCAATTCAATGGTTATTTTCTTTGAAACCTTCCTCTTACCATTCTTGCTCTACACGTTCTGGTCACCTTCATTACCACTCTGCACGTTCAGTTTACCACAGTGCTTGCTCTGCACTTTCTTTGGAGCCATTATTCCATCAGCTTTTCAGCAAGTGACCTCAGGTCTGTCTGCCACCGCGAGCGGGGAAGATGGCTACACCTGTGTGTGTGTGTGGGGGGGGGGGGAACGTTGGCCACTCTTGCAATTGTGTGGGTAAGATGGCGGCACATGCTCCGGGTGGGGGTCAGCAGATGGCCGAGATACCAGTTGTGCTGCTGCAGGAAAGACGGGTGCAATCTCAGCCATCTCCCCCATGGCTCTGCTGTGCTGTGCCCATCTTTCCTGCAGCAGCACGCCTGTGATCATGCACGTCTTCCCTGCACAAAAGCAACTGCGATCGTGGCCATCTCCCCACTCGGGAGGCGGGGGGGGAGATGGCTGCGATCTTGGTCGCCACCCAAAGCGGAGTTCGCGACCCAAGTAAAAATTTTTCAGAAATTTTTGTTCGTGACCCGAATTGTCCGTGAGCCAAGGTACCACTGTATATAATTTCGAAACTCAAGGAAGGCCCATTTCAAACAGGGTTGCCTGCTTTCTATTTTAATTAACCTTGTTCCTGTTCCTTTAGGAAGAAGCTTGGCATGCAAAAATTAAGCAAGTTTTTCCCTGCAAACCCTAAGTCTGTCAGATCCCCTAGTTTCATATATGAAGAAAGTGATTAAGTATCAGAAAAAGCCCACCCAATCCAGCTTCTAGTCCTGTCAAAACAAAGAAGATCAAAATATTAATGTAGTCCAGTATCCTGTTTCAGGGAGATCCATATGGCCTGGGATCCTATTTCTGACCATGGTGAGCAGCCCAAGCTTCAGACCGAAGTATGAAACAAGGCCAAACCACTTCTGGGGAAGATCAAGCTCATTTTACAGCTCTTTGCGCACAAATGTCCTATCTGCCACAGCATTTTTTATTAAACCCCCACATTGCGCACAGTATGATCCTGCGTTACTGTACAAGCATGAGCAAATATATGTGCGAGCAATAATAGGCAGTCCCCTCCGGGTGACCACAAAGCTGTTTACTAAGGGACAGTTCGTATTCTTTGCTGGATACTCAGGGCTTGGTGATTCACAGATGAATGAATCATTGGACACAGCTGGAAAGCGGTTATGTCCAATATGATATAACAAAACATGACAGTTCAATCTGTGCTGCTCTGTGATGGCTTGCTCATTCAGGCAAGCTGCCGTTTGAGGCTGCAACAGTGATGGATATGCACGTGGGAATCATTCCTAAGTCGGAGTAGTGAAAAGGAAGCTGGAATTCATTAATCCAAAGCGATACAATGTCCCTGCTTGCTACTGCAGTTGCCATGAAGAAGTGAAGGAACCATGGCAGCTACTCCTGATTTTAGGTTCCTTTCATCCCAGTCTTATAATCAGAGTAATTAAGATCTAGACTTTGACTTCCTCAGGTAAAAACACAGGAAGCTGCCTCATAGCAGGCTCAGGTTTATAGCAGGTTGGACTATCCACCAACCCTGACTTGTGTAGACTGACTGGCAGCAGCTCTCTGGCATTATCTGCTCCCTGACATTTCTTTCACCTGGAAGTGCCAGGTGTTGAACCTCAGACCTTCTGCAGGCAAAGCATGTGCTCTACCTCCTGGCTATGGTCCCTCATTGAAACTGATGAGGTAAAATAATAGTAATACATTATTCCCTAACCTTATCAGTGAGAGACTGGGAATTTGTGGCCAGGATACATCAAATGGAGAGGTCTATTCAATCACATGGTTAACAGTGCTTGTCACTTTAGTAGTGGAGGCCTGACAGAATACAGCTCTCCAGATATTTTGGAATTCAGCTCCCAGAAACCCCTGCCAGTGTGGCCAATGGTTAAGAATGCTGGGAGCTGAAGTCCAAATGTCTGGAGATCTACTATCAGCCCATCTCAGTGCTTGCCTGACATGAGCAAGATCTTGTCCCGACACGACCAAGAATACAAATGGGAATGTTTCTACAGAGAGGGCCAAACCCTTCACACCATCTCCAGTTCTCACAGTGGTTCCTGCAGCTTATTGCACAGATAATTACCTTGGCAGGTGACAGAATCTGGTCCCAAAATTTGGTCCTCTGCACAGGCACAGTGTCTGCCTTTAGGGATGGCCAAGCAAAGACTGCTGCAACCGCCATTGTTCACTCGGCAGCTGTTGGAGCCAACTGCAAAACGGAGAAGGAGATGCCATCACAAGAGCTAGACTGCAGTTTTATAGGGAAAGGGACATGCAAGTGTCACACACACAAGGAGGGGAAGGAACCAAGGGCCCACTGGGCTCCTATCTGTATTACAAAATTAATCTAAGGAAAAGCAAGAAATGCTTCAGGGAGAATGAAACAGAATGAATGTTTGGCTTGGAGCTTCTTTTTTAATCATGTGCCTAATCATGAGTGCAGCTTCTCCTAGCACAACTTCTATTTCCCCCACTTCCAACTACAACTGCATACATCAATTTAGCTCTGAAGGCTGTTAGCAGGCATGAGGGCAGCTGGGTTCTGTTGAAACCTCATCCTCCAAGCACTTTCTCTGAAGGCTTGTTCTTGGAATCACACCTTTCAAGATACTTTTCCCATCTCCCCCCTATAGTTTTTAAATCTCCCCCCCCCCGCTCCCCTTCACTTTTTTGTGATTGCATCTAAACATTCTCCCAGGTGCAAAGGACCCATTTATTCATGAATGGATTTCCTGGCAGCTGTGAGCTAGTTAAGGAGCTTTAACTAAATGGCCTCGTCACAAGGACAGGCCGGACCACAAGTGTCTTACCCACAAAACTAGCAGCCCAGGTGGAGGAGATTCATTCTGTGATAAAGACTCCTGCAATTGGCCAGGGCTATGCAGTTGGGCCTTTGCATCTTTCTCCCAGATCCACTCACAGCTAGCAGAACCATGAAGAGGCACCTCAGTGAGGCAGCTGGGCATGAGTTTGTTAAACTAAAGATGCTGGTTCTTCATAGCTTGCAGCGGAACAGGAGCAGCTGAACAAGTGGCCAGAAGGGAGGAGGAATTCAAAGCCAATGCTGCAACCATAGGTCTCTTTCAGCACAATTCAGCATGCATTAATTTCCACATGGACCTGTTTAACCACTTTGCTGCATTCAGTACAACCAGTTGGGTAAACAGAATGAAAAGATGGCTTGCTCCCATCATTGTACAGTTGCAAGTAACTACAGTGGGATTTGACTCTGCTGCACAGAATTCTGCTTAAGTCCCACCTAAGGGCCTGGAAAATCAGAGCTCCCTTCTGTGCCATAAAGGGAGCTGGCTGCCTAGCTGCAAGGGCCCGTCTTGAATAATGAATCCCTGAATGGCTTGCTGCTTCAGGTACCTGGGACACTGATCCCCAGCTGACCTTTTGCTGTTCCTGCAGAAAGTGCTGTGGCAATATGTTAACAGTGGTTGCATTTCAAGGACTGCCATCTAGCCACACACCTTGCTGCTGCTGGGCATCATACATGCGGATCTCAAAAATTGGTGGACGTTCATTGCGCAAAAGCGTGACAGCCTTGGTGTTCTGGTCAAGGCGATAGATGCTGCCACTCCGGTACTCTGTCCAGAAGAGGTAGTTGTCGTAGTGGCACAGCCCAAAGGCATGATTCAGCTCACTACCATCATACACGATCTGCACGAGACAAAAGAGATAAAAGAGACCTGGAAGAGGGCCCTTCCAGGGGCTGTGATGCTCCCAAGTAGTATAGCTATCATTAACCACTCACATCCCACCTCCAGTCTCTCTTCAGACTAGGGATGTTGAACATCAGGTTCGTGGCCAAATCCAGACTTTGCACGTTTCCCAGATGCCTTCTCTTTCCCCAGCTACATCCCCTTAGCTCCATTACTACTAATCATTTGCTAGTTTCCTGAGTCAACGTATCCCATTCCAAAAGGTTCCAATGTCTCTCTTAAACCTGTGTTACTAGCAGTAAAAGTGTTAAAGGTAAAACATGTGGATATTTTTGACACCTCTTTCCTTTTGCCTTCAGCCCCACACACTGCTGGAAGGAGGGTCTCAAGAACTTTTCCAAACTAGAATGTGAACCTTGGGCTTAAATAAGGTTCAACACTCCCATATTCTGACAATTGCATGGCCCCTTTGAAGGTGGACCAAATACATCAAGCAGATCAATATATATGAACAGATGGTGCCTTCTTTGTGCAGAAATGCCTGATCAGCAGCATTCAAACCATGAAGCCAAGTGGGCAGGAAGTGAAGCTCTTTCCTCTGCAACCAGCTAGTATGACAGTGGCTATGCTCCTGTTACAGGCATCCTATTTAAAGGGCCCTGTGACAATGCAGAGGGGGTGCATCATAACTGCCTCTCCCATCCAGCAGCACCACTTTGAGTAGTATTCAAACTAGGTTCCCCACCCCACTTCATCTTGAGACCCCACTGCCTCCAGTCACCTTTCCTCGCACTGGAGGCTGCAAGCTCACCCAGAAGCACCTGCCTCCTCAGGTAAAATAGTATATACTCCCTAACCCCATTCCATACAGCAAGGCCCTCTCTACTGCAGTTGCAGGGATACTGTCACAACTAGATAGGGCCACAGCTGATACAACAGGGGTATTGAACCTCCTTTGGCCTGAGGAATTCCATCTTGGAGGAGCATCTGGAGACAGCATTCCAGTGATGCAGAAGGCAAAAGAGTGGGGCTGACAGCAAAAAGGACAGAACCAAAAATATCTGCATACTGCAGCTTCAAGCTCTCTGTGCAAGCCTTTGGAGTGGCATCACATCCATTTAGAATGTGGGGAGAGCACAAAAAGCTGTGTGTTTTACTTGTGTATGTGTTTTACTTGTTAACTTCTGTTAACTGCTAAGAGAGCCTTGGCTATTGGGTGGCATAACCAATGGAAGGGGTCATAGTCTTCTGGGAAGCCCCAGGAGGCCTGACTTTGCCCCCTGGACTGGATGCTCTGCACCTCTTTAGTAAGTAATAACAGGAATAAATATTACTCCAATACAGAAGAGAGTCCACCTGGTTCAAGCCCAGAGACAGAGAAGGAATGAAGGTAGACCATCATACAGCCCGTGAACACACAGGGCAATCAGGAGCCTTGTATCACATTACTGGGCAGAGGACAGAATGACACAGCCAGGCAAGCAAAGATAACAGAAGGGCAGGAGTGTGCTCTGGTATGAGACTCCAGACAACACTGGTACTGACCTTGCGTTCGGAGCCATCCAGCATCACCATCTCAATCCGGTCATAAAAGGCATCCACCCAGTACAGCACCTTCCCTGGAATGTCCAAACTCAGCCCGTTGGGCCAAAGGACAGTCTTGGAGGTGATAAAGATGCTGCGGTTGGAGCCATCCATCCAAGCCCTTTCTATCTTCCCCCTCTTGCTGTCTTTTGGGTCTTCCTCCCAGTCAGTCCAGTACATCCACCTGAGAGCAACAGAGCACATAACTCAGGCTCACTGTATTCTTAACAGCAGGGTTCAGTTACATTTTTCTTGAATTCAGGGCTCTGTAGGGACTTAAATGATGTTTTGAATAACACAGTGTATTTTAGAGAGAGTGAATTATGAGGGACAAGTTTCAAAAGAACAGTTGCTTACTCTCACGTCAGCCCTTCTAGTAAAGTATTTCACTTGTTCTGTGTTCACATATTCACTACAACGATTATTCAGCTACTGATGTATTCCAATTTGCTTTGTCTCCAAGGTGTGAAAGGAAGTAGCGGCAACAAGAACATTCAACCTAATTGATACCACCAAGCAGGATTTCATTATGAGCGGAAATGAAGATTGACTGGGATACAAACAGAAGTCTGCAAGTGCAACTGCAGATACAGTGGTACCTTGGCTCACGAACTTAATCCATTCCAGGACTCTGGTCGTGACCCAAAATGGTTGTGAGTCAAGTTAAATTTCCCCATAAGGTTCAATGTAAATAAGGTTAAACCGTTCTGTAACTACTTTTTTTAATCAGAAAAATGTGAAGCAAAGTGACAACAACAAAGATTGTGGCCATCTCCTCCCCCCACCCCACCCAGCACAACCACAATTGCGCCCATCATCCCTGCATGCCCCCATCATCCCAGCATACTGGGGGGGGGGGCACGATCGCAGGCACGGTGGGGGAGGGAGAGATGGGCACGAACGTGGGTGAGGTGGGTGGGAGAGAGATTTTTGGTGAACTCATACCCACAATAACATTGTAAGCTTAGCATGCAATTTAGGATCATAACTCCACGGACAATTCATAAGCATTCTTCTAAACTACAGAAGCTAGAAGCAGGGCTAGCTTGCTTATTTATTTATTTATTTAAAACTTTTTAGACCATTCCTTACTGTGATCTTGGGATGCTTTAACAGTAAGACAAAAATCAAATAAAACACAGCATCCTAATCGAATTCTTAACTCTTGAAAGATTTCTTGAAAAGTTCTCTTTACTTCCATAACCCTACCATTTTGTGTCAGGTCTAGATTAAGCACTTTGTTCAATACTTTTTTTTTCATAGGCTGACTCCTTAAATAATAATAGGACTGACACCTGTCTCTTATTTCAAGAAACTGTTCCTTACTTGGTATTAAAATGCAATATTTGAAGGGATTGTTCCTTGATTAGTATTAACATGCAGTATTACTGTTCACATTATGGATAATTTACTGTAAACTAAAAATGTCATACATTGCAACAGAGCCTGGAAACAAGCACATTTGCTACTCCCATAATGATAAGAAAATAATACTGGAGAAAGGGTGTCTGAAACAGCTATGGAGAACCAAAGAGGTCAAAATTAGCTTGCAAATGCAGTAATTTTGACCCCTTTGATACTCTGTAGCCATGATGATGATGATGATGATGATGATGATGATGATACTATCATCATCACATTTATATCCTGTCCTTTTTTCCCCACAAGGAATGCAAAATGGCTTACATAATCCACTTTTCTGTTTTATTATCATAATAGCCCTATGAGGTAGGTCAGGTTACCAGCAATGGCTCTAAAGTCACTCAATCTACAACCTAGATCTCCCGAATTACAGTTTAACATTCTACTCACAACTCTACACTGGCTTTTCCTATTCTTCTTCTTATTTTAACTGGGGGCTGGGGGCGGGGCATGTAGTCCGTGGGAGGCTGCAGAACCTCCTAAAATTGCCTGGCCTGGTGTTACATGGACCTTATTTTCAAACAAAATACCATTAAAATTCGGACACATGTAATAACATCAACTGTTAATTGGATCACAAGGCTTTCCTCATTTTGGAGCTGTTCAGATGCAACTTTTGGCTCTGGCCTCTTGGCAGAGCAGCAGAGCAGCACAGGCACATGCTGGGAGCGAGTGCTGAGTGGCCAGGGGACTGGCGAAGGCAAGGTAGGAGCTGGGCAGGGGAGCAGAGGGCCAGGAGCAGCAGAGAGGAAGGGGGCGGGGCCAGAGAGGCTAGAGGGGCCAGGAGGGAGCAGAGGGGCGGGGCCACCAGCCTGAGGGACTGATAAGGCCGTGCTCAGCCACTGCCAGCCCTTTTGGCTCTGGCCTCTTGGCGTCGTTCCTTGTCTGCGTCCCTTAGCTGCGGCATGGGCTGTCCGGGGACTCCCTTCCCTGAGACACAGAGGTTTGATTGTTTGTTTGTTTTTCTTTGTGCTGTGCTTCACTTTATTTTTCTTCCAATTTAAATTTAAGTTTATTTCATCCGTGTGTGTGTGTGTGTGCGCGCGCGAGTGGGTTTTTGTCTGGGAGAACTGGGCGAGTGAGAGGAACTGCAGGACAAACAAGGTAGGGGACCAAGGTAAGGACTCGGAAGGGATACCAATGGCAGACCAGAAGATGGCCATGGCGGGAGTCATGGGTGTTGCTGTCCGCTGTGAGAGCTGCGACATGTTTGCCCTTCTCCCCCAGGAGAGGCAGGGATACACTTGCCCTCGGCGCAAGATGGTGATCCTGCTGGAAGAGGAGGTGAGGTGCCTGAAGGCCGAGAGAGCTCTCCAGGCCCCCCGGGAGCAGCCCCCCTCTGGACAGAGGGTTGAGGGAGAGGCCATGGGAAGAGCAGCTGCGGAGACGTGGAGGTATGTCACCCACAGCACGGCCTCCTCCTTCTCCTGGCACCAATGGAGCTGGGAAACAGGTTCTCTCCATTTGAGGAGGCTGGGGCTGATGAGGCCTTGGGGGACCAGCAGGACCCCCAGCCTGGGACGTCAGGCGGCAAGGGGGCCGCTGCAGGAGAGGCGAGGGCCAGGGCACGGCCACCCACCAGCACCGGGAAGGTACGGCGGCAGATGATTGTTGTTGGGGACTCCCTGCTGAGGGGCACTGAGGTGGCAGTGTGCCGCCCCAACCTGGAGACAAGGGAGGTTTGCTGCCTGCCCGACACACGCATCCGGCATGTGAAGGACAGAGGAGCATCTTGTTCGCTCCAGGGGTCACCAGCCGCTCCTGGTGATCCACGTGGGCACAAACGATGTGGCCAGGCAGGGTGCGCTTGGGACCACCAGGGACTTTGAGGCCTTGGGGAAGAAACTCAGGGAGCTGAAGGCCCAAGTGGCCTTCTCATCAATCTTACCTGTCCGGGGATTTGGGCCAGGAAGGAACAGGAGGATCTCCGAGGTGAACGACTGGCTTAGGGTGTGGTGCCAGAAGGAACACTTCGGGTTCCTCGACCATGGCACTCGTTTTCTTGCCAATGGACTTCTGGCAAGGGACAGGTTGCACCTCACGAGGATGTGGAAAAGGTCCTTTGGAGATGCTCTAGCGAGCTTCGTCCGGAAGACTTTAAACTGAGCCGGGGGGGGGGTCAGGCCCCCCAGTAGCGTGTCTGCACTGGACAAGTGTGGGGAGAGGATCAGGGCTCTGGGAGCAGGGTTTTAGAGATACTGCAGGGACTGACAGAACTCCTTCAGAGAGGGGCCAAGTATCAGGGAGGATGCGAGGAAGGAGGAGGCTGGGGACTCCAAGGAAAGGAAGCAGTGGGAAGGAGTTGAGGTGCATGTACACCAATGTGAGGAGCATGGGTAATAAGCAGGAAGAGCTTGAAGCTCTCCTGGGAATAGGAGGGTATGACCTGATGGGAATCACAGAAACTTGGTGGGATGAAAGGCAAGTCTGGAATGTGAACACAGAAGGGTATTACCTTTTTAGAAAGGAAAGGAAGGGAAAGAGAGGTGGGAGTGTGGCTTTATACGTCAGGGAAGGGATAGTATGCAGTGAGATAGAATGCAGCACAGATGGGGATTCGGTAGAGGCAGTCTGGGTGAAACTTAGGGGTTTTGACAGGGAAAGGGACCTGACTGTGGGGGTATGTTATCGCCCTCCAGGTCAACTTGAGACCCTGGATGATGTCCTGACAGGCCAGATTCTAAGGATATCTCGGGGGAGAGACACAGTAATTATGGGAGATTTCAATCTCCCGGATATTAGTTGGGAGACTCACTTAGCGGTGACAGCCAGGTCACGTCGCTTCCTAGAAGCTATAGAGGGAGGGTTTTTCACACAGAGGGTCCGAGAGGCGACGAGGCAGGGAAACATCCTTGACTTGGTCTTGACCAATAGAGAGGAGCTGATAGATGAAGTACAGATTAGGGGAGCTCTGGATGCAAGTGATCACTCCATCCTTTGCTTTGAGATCAGGGGACTGGGGACGTGCAGCAGGTCGAGCACTAGAAGCTGGGACTTCAAGAGGGCCAACTTTGGCCAATTGAAGGCCAGACTGGGGAAAGTCTCCTGGGATAGGTTACTGGAAGGTAAGCGAGTTGAGGAGGGGTGGATAGCACTCAAAAGGGAGGTTTTGGAGGTGCAAGCCTTGACGATACCTCTAGTCAGTAAGGTGGGGAGGTGGAGGAGAGTGCCGCCATGGATGCGAAAGGAGGTGGTTAGAGAGATTAGACGAAAAAGGAGCCTCCGTAGGAATGGGTACTGGGGCAAATAGACAAAAGGGTATACCGGGAGGAGGAGGCCCATTGCAGAAGGATTCTTCGCATGGCTAAGGCTGATTACGAGTGGAGACTTGCCAAGAATATCAAGAGCAACAAAAAGGGCTTCTTTCAGCATGTAAATGGGAAGAGGAAGGGGGGACAAGTGGTGGGACCACTAAATAAGGAGGAAGGATATCCAGGGACTGATATGAGGGAACAGGCACAGATGCTAAATGACTATTTTGCCTCTGTGTTCTCCCCAAAGCTGGATATCCACATAGGAGATTAGATGAGGCTGGGGACTTAGGGGCACAGATTAGAGTCACCCCCCTAGAAGTCGAGGGGCTCCTCAGGACATTACAAAGGCACCAGGCCCTGATGGGTTACACCCGAGAGTACTTAGAGAGTTGGCAGGGGTTCTCTCACACCCGCTGGCCTCCATTTTTGAGACCTCGTGGAGAACGGGTGAAGTTCCAGAGGACTGGAGGGTGGCATCAGTGGTCCCAATTTTCAAAAAGGGTAGTAG